AACAAGCTGTTTCAACACACAGCACAAAACACCACAAAAACAGTTGACTTCATGCTAAAACCTGGATCCTGCCCCCAGGGCTGCTGTTCATAAGGTAATAACGTTAAAAATATTTGAAAACATCAGAGCAAATATTGCCTTAACTTCTAAGTTGGAAGCCAACAGCCCAGTTCAAGGAAGGTAATTTTTTTTTTTTACATTCCTCAGTTTTCCTAACGATGTTCGTATGCCAGGCACAAATCAAGTAAAATCTCAAAAGTGCGTTAGCAACACACAAGTAAACAAAGATACGCTGTACCTTTTGACATGAGTTTCCTGTCTTTGAGGGACATAACTGTGGGTGGGAAGCCTTTTGGCTGACCTAGCTCTTAGGCAGTGTAGGTGGCTGGGGAGGGTGTTTGCAATTCTGCTAAGACTCTTTTCAGGTCGTGGTACGTGTGTCGTGGAAGCAGAAAAACAAAAAAAAAAGGGTTTTCTTTTCCTGAGAGAACAAATTGTGTTTTCTCAGGTTTTGCTTTTCACCTTGCTGCATTGGCCAAACCAAAAAAAAAAAAAGCAAAAGGCATTGGTGGTTGGCACTCCTGGATTCCAGGATGGGGTTCAAGTCCCTGCAATGCCCTTGCTTTCTATCTATCCAGATGCCGTGTACCCTTGGCAAGAGAGTCTGAAGTACAGGGCTCAACTTCAGTTCTGCTCATCAAGGCTTCTGGGCGTCCATTTTCATGAAGAACAGGACTTGTAACTTGGTTTGTGGAATATTTCACTCAGAATAGAGCTGAAATGGAGACCTTGGAGGTTTTCTAGTCCAACCCACTGCTCAAGCAAGAGATCCTATACTATTTCAGACAAATGATTGTCCAATCTTTTCTTAAAAACCTCCAGGGATGGAGCACCCACATCATCTGGAGGCAAGCTGTTCCACTGGTTAATTGCCCTCACTGTCAGGAAGAGCTACAGAACATACCCACCCTCAAAAAATGGATTTTGGTTGCTATATTGAATTTTGAAGTAGTTGTTTTAAAAAATTGTAAAAACAAACCAGTGTTTTCAGATAGATACCAGTTTTTGTAATCCTTTGACCAGTGGCCACATTCACATGCTTCTTATTAAACTTATTAAATAATAATAAACTCTTTGTGTGAATTCAGTGAATACAGGCTCTTTTGTTACTGCAAGTTTGAATCATTTGCAGATAGGCTCCTTTAATGAGACGGTCAGGTGTATTGCCTAAGTGTATTCACACAGCCAGTGAGTGAAAGGAAGTGAAAAAGGGCTGGTTTGCTTAAAATATTATCATTTCCTAAATTCCAAGATTTATCCATGGACAAACAAGAGATTCAAAATTATGATATTAAACTGGAGTTTACTCCTAAGGGGGAAAACATGACTAATGGAAGCCAAGTAGAGGTAATCCTCAACTTACAACTTTTTAGTGACCGAAGTTATAACAGCACTGAAAAAAATGTGACCTAATGACCATTTTTCACACGTATGACCATTGCAGCATCCCCATGGTCACGTGATTTACATTTGGATGCCTGACAGACCACTGGTTCACAATTACGATGGTTGCAGGGTCCTGGGTCCATGTGATCCCCTTCTGTGATCTTCTGACCCAGCAAATTCAGTGGGGGAAGCTAGGTTTGCTTAACTGAGTTACTAATTTTGAGAACTGCAGCAATTCACATAACGAACATGGCAAGAAAAGTGGTAAAAATGGGGCAAAACTCACTTAACAACCAACTTCTCACTTAGCAATATAAATGCTGGGCTCAACTGCAGTCGTACGTCGAGGACTACCTGCATGTAGCAGGGAGATGGGCCCTTTTCTTCACGGATCTCCAACATAGTGCAAGGATGGAATCTACTGTCTTAAGCACAATGAAATAAGACTGGCAAAAATCTTACCCAGGTAGACCAGCTGCAGCTCATCCAGCATATTCTAAATTTCTTCAATCTGAATAGCAATGCCAATTGGGGAAAAGGGAAAGTGCAATCTACTATCCTGATACATTGCTACGGAGGTCAAGCAGATTGACCTACAATCTCCCGAGTCCATTTTTCTCCCCATTATTGTAGATTAGAACCACACCAGCTCTTTTCCAGTCTCTGGTAGTTCCCCTTTTGCTACAGCAGCTTGGGAACACAGTGGCTCTGAGATGGTGCCTGCCAGCTCCTCCAGAACCCTGGGATGCAAAGCATCTGCTCTGAGTGATTTGTGCTCATCCAGGGTAGATTTTACTTAATCCCTTGCCTATTTGGGAATTTTTATACCTATTCCATCTCCCTCGGGGTCGTTGCTTTCGATAGGTTGGGCTGTTTCTTCCTTTTGCATAAAAGCAGATGCAAAGAAAGACCCAGCTCTACTGCAAGGAGTCTTTGCCATCTATTCTCATTAGTGGACCTATCATCTTGATTTTCTTCTTTTTCCTCACATATGGAAAGAAACTTTTATTATTTTTGTCATTAGCTCGTAGCTCATTCTACGCTTTTGCTTTCCTGACTCCCTCCATGCAGATTTGAGCTATTGGTTGGTATTCTGTTTTAGTTATAGTATGTCAGTTTCATCTTTGGGGGAAATAATAGAGGGGTGGGGGTAGCCACTGCACAAAAATAACTGTGCACCCTGTAGATAGATAGATAGATAGATAGGTTTCTGCAGTACGTTTCAAAGGAATTTGTGGATGATGACGAGCCAGCCCTGTGCAGCAACAGCCAAAAAAGCGAATACAATCCTTGGTTGTATAAACAGGCATAGAATCAAAATCACGTGAAATATTAGTACCACTTTATAAATCCTTAGTAAGACCACACCAGATGGTCATCACATTACATAAAAGTTTTGAGACTTTGGAAAAAGTGCAGAGAAGAGCAACTAGGATGATTGAAGACCTGGAGACTAAAACAGATGAACAATTGCAGGATTTGGGTATGGCTAGTCTAGAGAAAAGGAGTGGGGGGGGGACACGATAGCAGTGTTCCAGTATTTGAGGGGCTGCCACAAAAAGGGAGGGGGTCAACTTATTTTCCAAAGGACCAGAAGGCAGGGCAGGAAACAATGGATGGAAACTAATCAAGGAGAGAAGCAACCTGGAATTAAGGAGAAATTTCCTAACAGAACAATTAACCAGTGGAACAGCTTCCCTTCAGAAGTCGTGGGCACTCCATCACTGGAGGTGTTTGAAGAAGAGACTAGACTAGTGGTTCTCAACCTTTTTAATGCTGCGACCCCCAACTGGTCGTAAGTCGAGGACTACTCAACCGGTCTTAAGTCGAGGACTACTCAACTGGTGCAGCACCGTTTACAGACTGGGACTTTTGGCGGGCTCAGCAGGGCAGAGACAGCCTGGACAATTCCTATTGGCTTTTGAAAGCCAATAGAATTAGACTCTATTCAAGAGAGTCTATTCTATTGGCTTTCAAAAGCCAGTAGAATAAAAGGGAGTAGCACAGCTAAGGAAAAGGAGGGAAAAATGGCAGACTGCGTTGTTTGGCGACCCCCGTGAAATGGTCGTTCGACCCCAAATGGGGTCCCGACCCACAGGTGGAGAACCACTGGACTAGACAATCATTTGTCTGAAATGGTATAGGGTCTTCTGTTTGAGCAGGGGGTTGGACTACAAGACCTCCAAGTTCCCTTCCAGTGCTATTCTGATTGATTGAAATAGAAAGTTCCCCAAATCCTACGGCAGGTGGATATGATTGTCAGGTTTCAGGATCTGCTGAAGTTGCTTAAATGCTTCAAGGGGAAAACAGTTCTACTGGAGCAGTATCGATTCAATTGATTTAATTCTGATTTACAAATGAAACCAAAACAAGTAACATTTTTGGGAAAATATTAAGAAACTGGCTATTCTATATAAAATTGTATTTTGGAAGCATCTAGAAAAGAGAAAGATTAAGCAATATAAATTGAGAAGCTTGTACTAAATGTTATCAAAATAGTCTCTTCTTTAGCAGTTTATAAATATGAACTGACAGCATCCAAGTACAGAATGTGAGCCAGAGAAGGGAGACAGAAAAGGGATAAAAATTTGCTTCTTCGAAAGTAGTGATTACATTTACTGCCAACAAAATGCAACTTATTGGCTTGTGTTAATGGTGGCCTTACAGCATCCTTACTACACGCAAAATGGCTTGAGTCACAATGGGGAAAGGTTTTCCTGAACTGAGAATATCAACGTTAATGATTTATATCAAACCTCTGATAAGGTGGCTATGCAAATATTTGATTCTGAAATCTGATCTGAATCGATTGGTTGAAGAAAATGCTAAAATGTTAAAAACAAAAACTCTGGATCAAATTTGACCGAACAGTAAAACTGTTTCTGAGCCAGCGTTAAAATTCCATGATTTGAACTGTAGGTCTAAACCAGGGGTAGGCAACCTTGGCTCTTTTATGACTCGTGGACTTCAACTCCCAGAATTCCTGAGTCATAAGAGAGCCAAGGTTGCCTACCCCTGGTCTAAACTGATCCGTTTCGAAGGTAGAAAGCCTTCAAATGAAATGAACGGTTTAAACTGGGGCCTCACACAAAACTCACCCTTTTAAAAAAATAATAATAATAGAAGAAGAACCCTGCCCTTCGGGCACCCTTCATTGCAACTGTTCCATAATGCCCTATTTTGGAAGATGTCTGCAAAAGAGTCCCAGAATCAGTTGTCATTGGCTCTGGGTTTTAACTTTTGCAAAGATATAGACGTTAATTTCTGGAGTTTTTTTCTCTTTGTTTTAAAATCCCATTTTAGTTGCCTTTGCCTCTGTCTTAACTCCCTAGCACAGGATTAGGTAACCTTGGCTCTTTTATGAGTCGTGGACTTCAACTCCCAGAATTCCTGAGCCAGCCATGCTGAGGGGAAAGGGAGGGGTTTCCAAGCTGAGCCATGGCTGGCTCAGGAATTCTGGGAGTTGAAGTCCACGAGTCATAAAAGAGCCAAGGTGGCCTACCCCTGCCCTAGGCTGCTTTATGACTGACTGGTGGACTTCAACACCCAGAATTCCTGAGCCAGCCATGCTGAGGGGAAAGGGAGAGGTTTCCAAGCTGAGCCATGGCTGGCTCAGGAATTCTGGGAGTTGAAGTCCACGAGTCATAAAAGAGCCAAGGTGGCCTACCCCTGCCCTAGAAGGAAGTAAGATGCATACAAAACTTAAAAGGGGTCATTTCACAAGGCCAAATATTCATCTTGATCGCCCAATTCTTAACGAGCATAAAAACACTTAAGAAATTGGTTTTTCTGATTTTGGAGCTCAAAAGTATTCCACATGGAACTGCTCCAGCCCTAATTACAGGCTAAAATATATTTGGTGACCCAAATGTTTAGCTTAGCAACATTACTGTTTTAGCTTGAATGTTATTTTAATTAATGCAACCTTCTCCAACCTGCTGCCTCACCCAGACTGCTGGTCTACAAACTCAGGCGTTCCAGTCCCAACTCACTGGGGTAGCACCAGGGTGAAGAATGATGAGTAAACAGTGTCCCCCCCCCCTCTCCCTCCAACCCTGTTCTTTGGGTTCCCCTGGGGCTTGGGGCATTTTTGATTTTATTTTCAAATGGTCCTTTGGGGTAAACGCTGCTTATACATCCCTGCCATCGCTTTGGCTGCGCTGTAGATCATCTGTTGGCGAGACATGCCAGTGAATGCCGCGTGCCAGTCGGTGCGGTTGACGTGCGGCAAGTTCCTGGCAATCACGTCGCCCACCGTCACCAATAAACCCGACCATCGGAGGTTGTAGTCCGCGGGGGTCAAACTCTGCGCCTGCAAAACGAAGGAAGACGGTTTCTCTTGTGGGTTTACTCTGCGACTTTATTTGCGCGAGCCGAGAACGAACAGAGAACCTGTCGATTAGAGGTGAATGATCTTGGATCAGGGGTGTCAAGCTGCCGGCCCGCGGGCCGGACCCGTCACGTGGAAGCCGTGCCCGCCCCACTGCCGGCAATGGCAAGACAGTCCCGATACGTCACGCCACATCGCGTGTTTGACATGTCTTAGATCAGTGGTTCTCAACCTTTTTAATGCCGCGACCCCCAACCGGTCGCAAGTCGAGGACTACTCAACCAGTCGTAAGTCGAGGACTACTCAACCGGTGCAGCCCCGTTTGCAGAATGGGACTTTTGGCGGGCTCAGCAGGGCAGAGACAGCCTGGACAATTCCTATTGGCTTTTGAAAGCCAATAGAATTAGACTCTATTCAAGAGAGTCTATTCTATTGGCTTTCAAAAGCCAATAGAATAAAAGGGAGTAGCACAGCTAAGGAAAAGGGGGGAAAAAATGGCAGACTGCGTTGTTTGGAGACCCCCATGAAATGGTCGGTCGACCCCAAATGGGGTCCCAATCCACAGGTTGAGAACCACTGCTCTATAGGCAACAGTCCTAAATTCCTAAAATTCCTGCCTCAACAAAAAGCAGCATTCGTTGTTGGAACTGGGCGGTAAAGCTGAATTTGCCCAAAAGACAAAAGTTTTGTAACTGTCCTATCTGCCGGGGGGGGGGGGTGATCTCCCTTTTGGGGGACATAAGGACTCACCTGTTGTATGTATTCCAGAGGTATGGGTGTGGCCTGAGTAAAGGTTTCCAGGTGAATCCCGTGAACTGGGTCCTCCAGGATCAGGCAGCCAATATCAAACCACCTGTAAAGATTTTTTTTTTGAAAGATTTTAGATTTTATTCCATCATACTGAGGTCCACAAGGAGGCTAATGTCCCCCAGTTTGGAACTCTGCCTCCCAGTACAGGTAAGTCCTTAACTTACAACCATTCATTTAGTGACTGTTTGAAGTTACAGCACTGAAAAAAGTGACTTAGGACTGCTTTTCCACCCTTGACCACCGTTAATTTGGTCACGTGATCCAAATTTGGCCACTTGGCAACTGGCCTGTATTTATAATGGCTGCAGTGTCCCCGGGTCACGTGATCCCTTTTTGGGACCTTCCGACAAGCAAAGTCAGTGAGGGAAGCCGGATTCACTTAACGACCATTTTACTAACAACTGCAGTGATTCACTTAAGAACCGTGGCAAGGAAAGTCGTAAAATGGGGCAAAACTCTTTCTCAGCTCAGCCTCATCACAAGACCACTATAAGGGAACAAAGCCTACATTTATGGCCGGCTGGAAACACCTTATAGATTTTTGTGTGTGTGTGTAGAATGGGAAAAAATGAACACAGTTTGTCGTCTTGTTGATTAGGGGGGGGGAGCTAGATAATAGAAAAGAGTGAGCTTTCTTTAGCCATCAGAGTAAGAAGGAATTTTATAATTATACATATATTTGTTTCAAAGAAATTAGAAGATTCTTGGTCTTCTTTTCTGTGCTTTGCTCTTTTTTTTTCCTTTCTTTTTCTTTCTTCCCCTTTCCGCTGTTTCTTTCTATTCATTTGTGTTTTGATCCCGATTGTAAAACTTTTAATTAAAAAAAAAATTATATATAAATGAACAAGCAAGGGGAAAATTGGGGAAGGAGATTTTTTGCTCCTGGAGGAAAGACAGGCTACAGATAACCCTTGACTTGCAACAGTGACCGTTCAAAGTTGCCAACAGCACTGGAAAAGTTTTTTTTTCACACTTACGACCGCTGCAGCAGGGTCATGTGGTCAAAATTCAGACCCTTGGCAATTGACTCATATTTATGATGGTTGCAGCGCCCCCGGGATCACTTGATCCCCTTTTGTGACCTTCTGACAAGCAAAGTCAATGGGGAAGCCAGAAAGTGTGTTGGTAATTTAACAACTGCAGTGATTCTCTTAACCACTGTGGCAAGCAAGGTCGTAAAATGGGGCAAAACTCACTTAACAAATTTCTCAGTTAGCAACAGAAATTTTGGGCTCAGTTGTGGTGGTAAGTTGAGGACTTTCTGTGAAAGAGGGGGGGTCAGGAGAGGGCAATTGTTTATCTAACTCTCCAGGATGCTTCCAAGTTCCCAGCTGCGTTGAAAGACTGTATCTCACTTGTCAGGGAGCAATTCTGCAATAAAACTCTCGACGGACAGGCCTGGTTGCTTCTGGTGGATGACTCCCGTCCTGCGTAAACCGTCCAGCCTCTCTTGGGCCCCCTAAAAGTCAAGGAAAGTACCAAAAACATGAATCAACACAGAGCTTGCCACTTCAGACCAACTACATCCACTAAACCAGGAGTAGGCAACCTTGGCTCTTTTATGACTCATGGACTTCAACTCCCAGAATTCCTGAGCCAGCCACGCTGAGGGGACAGGGAGAAGTTTCCAAGCTGAGCCAGGACTGGCTCAGGAATTCTGGGAGTTGATGTCCACAAGTCATGAGGGGGCCAAAGTTTCCCTCATGCTGGCTCAGGAATTCTGGGAGTTGAAGTCCACGAGTCATGAAGGGGCCAAAGTTTCCCTCATGCTGGCTCAGGAATTCTGGGAGTTGAAGTCCACGAGTCATGAAGGGGCCAAAGTTTCCCTCATGCTGGCTCAGGAATTCTGGGAGTTGAAGTCCACGAGTCATAAAAGAACCAGGTTTGAAGACTCCTGGTTTAAATATTTAAATATTTTTTCCTCACGGTCACCTGATCAAAATTCAGGCATTTGGGCAGGGGTAGGCCACCTTGGCTCTTTTTATGACTCATGGACTTCAACTCCCAGAATTCCTGAGCCAGCCATGCTGAGGGGAAAGGGAGAGGCTTGGTTTGGCACCGCAACCAAACAGGACAGGTGCAGACTTCAACGGATAGTTAGGACTGCAGAAAAAAATTAAATTGCAACCATCCTGCCTTCCATTGAGGAAAGGGTCAGTAAGGGGGCTGAGAAAATATCTACAGACCCATCAATCCTGGACATAATCTAGTTCAACGTCTCCCCTCGGGATGGTGCTATAGGGCATTGCATGCCAAAACTACGAGAAACAAAGATAGTTTCCCCTCCCCACCCCGTGCCATCACTCTGCTGAACACCTAATTCACACAACGCTGTCTTAGTGCGGATCCAAGCACTGTTATTACAATTATATAATGATGTATAGTATAAGACCTTTTTATTATTTAGTGATAATTATATTTGCATTATATAAACCAAGTGGCTGTGATTTTAAACCAAGATTTATCGCTAAGGGCCATAAGCCTAGCTATATGTGACTGATTCGGTCAGCCACAGTAAAACCTCGTGGCTTAATACAATGTGCAGATCAACCCTATTGGTTATTTGGGATTTTTCCCCTCAAAAAAGAACTCTAATGATTCTCTGGTTGAGTTTGCACAACATGCTCGGCTAGGCTTAAAATGGGATTCAGCAGCTGTGTTGGAAGCGTGTTTCCAGTGTGGTAAGGAGGGACACCACGCTGCGGAATGCTTTGCCCCACATCCGTTGTCAGCCTGCCAACTTCGAAATAAGCCGAGAAGATGTAACAGAGACTGAAATTAAACCGATTAAAATATGGAGCCCACTAACTTGTTTAGGACACCATTTCCGTGGAGTCTTCAAAGCCTCTTAAGCTTTTTATGATCTGTCCACCCTTCAAATGGGATTTTGTAATCCTTCAGGAAGTGTCCCCACTTTGGACAGCCCCAGTATTTTAATCGTTTTAATTTCAGACTCCATTACATACTTGGACACTCAAGCTGGAGGTGACAGTAGCCCTGTCTTGGCTTAACATGTGAACCAGTCCATCTCATTAAGCCTTCATCTGGTTTATTTGTTGGCCCTCTGGATGTTTGGTAAACTGTTGTCTTTTCTTAAACCAGGGTGAAAATTCAGCATGTTGTGTGTGTGTGTACCTGACCCTTTAAGGGCCAACGTGCTGCAAATTTGGGGAAATTCAACACCTTCCCAAATCACTCACTTTCAGTCCAGCTGCGTAGCCAACAGGCTGGGGGGCTATGTTGGAGTGGCCGTCCTCCCCTGTTACAGTAGCCATGCCAAAAACCTCCTGGAAAGCTTGTCTCACAGCAGCGACCTTGATTTCCTTCAGAGAGGTGACCACGATGTCCAGCTCTCCTCCTGATTCTAGAAAAGCAGAAACACCCAGAATTGCCTTTGTGGCCAAAACAAGCTGTAACTTAAGAAGATGACCTTTAACACACAAGACACGTGAAAACCTGACCGACAAAAGTCCGTAGAGGCAAAGCTATGGTTTTCCCAGGAGCAATGGATGGCTGTGAGTGTTGGACCAGAAGGAAGGCTGAGTGCCAAGCATTGATGGTGCTGGAGAAAACTCTGGAGAGTCCCTGAGACCAGGGGTTGTCAACCTTGGCTACTTTAAGACTTGCGGACTTCAACTCCCAGAATTCTGCAGGTGCCATAGTTGCCTGTCTCTGCTTTAGAGCAGGCATCTCCATCCTTGGTCACTTTTAAGACTTGCGGACTTCAACTCCCAGAATTCCTCAGCCGGAAGGTGCCATAGTTGCTCGACACTGCTTTAGAGCAGGGGTGTCTAAACTTGGCTACTTTAAAAGGCTTGCAGACTTCAACTCCCAGAATTCCTCAGCTGGAAGGTGCCATAGTTGCTCGACACTGCTTTAGAACAGGGGTGTCTAACCTTGGCTACTTTAAAAGGCTTGCAGACTTCAACTCCCAGAATTCCTCAGCAGCCAGCTGCTGAGCTAACCAAGGTTACTATTAGCTCTGCCATCTTTGGTTTGACACCTTGCCGGCATCCGGCCATCAAGGGCTAGGGGAGAGAGGGCAAGAGGGACAAATGGGCAATCAACATGTATGGGATGAGAAATAGGGAGGGGGGAGGACAGCTGGAACCAGTTTGTGCCAGTCTTCAAGGCCACTCACCCTGAGAATGGGATGTGGACTGACCCAAACACCTCAGCATTTCCTAAAACACCTATGTGGCTCCTCATTGGGTGAAGACAAACTGGTCACAGGGGGAGTGGGGGAGAGCTGGGATGACAGAGAAAAATTGTAACCGTTGCATAGGAATTTTAGTTCTAGCTTGACTTTACTGTAACCAGCAACCTTTAGTGAAAGAACCTATTCACCTATGGAGTCGAGGGTCTCTCTTTCCTAAGGGACTTGACTGAGGTGAGCCTGACAGTTAAGAGCAGGCAAAGTCCTGGTTCAGGAAGAGAGAGGATGTTGCAGCTTCCCTTACTGATATATGGGGCCATGCCAGGATCCAGCGTTGTGATCATGGTCTCCATTGAGTGTTTGGTTTTATCCAGCACTGACTTGACCACAGGATTGCCAGCCACGCCCTGGGGGAACAAAGGTGGAAGTCACTAAATTTGGCTCACCTGCCAGGCTAACCTGAGGCCCCAAACATGGCTTGTTTTCTGCTTTGCTAGCTTTGTAGATGTTTACTTCGGGGAAGAAATGGGATATCCAGCATCTCCTGAACCAGTAGCAGCAGAACAGAGTGGTTAGGCTAGTGCAGGGGTAGGCAACCTGAGCTCTTTTAATGCCTTACTTTTATGAAGCCCCACAGTCCTCCCGCGGATGCTTCGTTGTGCACCCCAATACATTGGGGGCCTCCATGATCCTCCGGAAAAGTGATGGAAGAGCCGCTCGCTAAGGTGGGCGCAGACATAGGGACTGGCTGGGACAGAGGGCTTGTCAAGACACCTGAAAATCAGAATACATGCATGTAAGGCTGCAGCCATGACATCCCCTGGTTTCAACCAGGCGTCAGTGTTTATAAATGTCAAAATTGATTGTCAAAATCAAAAAAAAAAAAAAAAAAAAACCATGCATGAACTGGTGCGTCCCACCTTGTGGTAAATCCAAACAGACAAGACTCATGAATGCTCAAGCATCACAGCCAGGGGCTTTGAGCTGCAGAAGCTGACGCTTTTTCTCAAAATGACAAAAGCAGGAGCAGCCTCGGAGGACCCGCGCCGCCATCGTTTCTGCATGCCTGCAATGCTGTGACGCAGACACAACAGGGCAGAAACGCAGCCTGAGAATGCAACGGCTCCTTTTGGTGCTATCCTGTGGGCATCGTGGAACAGATGGGCCAGGCTGGGATGTGACCACTCGCCAGGGCCAATTCGCTGTGGGTGTAAAGTCCTCCCAAGCAAGCAGAACTCTTGAAACTGGCATTGTTTCAAAAGGAACTTTTATTGGAAGAGAGTAAAAGCAGAGAGGCAAAGCAAGATCTGAATATTCCTGCGCGAAAACGTTACATTAAATCCCTCTCTTCAAAACCCCTCCCAAATGCCCAGTCCATTTCCAGCCAATCCAAAGTAGAAGAACAAAGTGAAAGAAATACATTACAGATAGCTCAAAGATTCCCTCCTCCCAACAGAATGGTGGCATCCTGATAGGGATCTGACAGGCCTGACAGCGGGACAACTCGCCATGGGGACAATTTAACAATTTAATTATTTTAATTTTTGTCATTCACATTTCATTCTGTCCCTCCTTGGCATCCTTCCTTTAATGATTCTATTCCACCATTTCTTTGATATTAGTGTGACTCTTGGCCTGCATTGAGTTGTGCCGTAGCAAACTGTCATAGACCCGGACCAGGCCGGGGAGAATTCTCTGGGACAGGACCGGCTTGGGGTTCCCACCATCTTAAGAAGCAAGAAACGCGCTCCGCTTACCTGTCACAGGCAGGGCCGAGTAGGAGGGCATCAGAGGGGTCTGGGGTGCTCGTCCGGCGTGGCCTTTAGTGATGTCATAGTTGGAATTCATGGAAAACCCGGAGACCGGAGGCCCGGTGGGAGGCGTGGGGAATCCTGGCGGCCTGGGAGCAGAGCTTGGCGGAGGCGAAGCTGCTGGAAACTGAGTCACGGGGTTACCAAAAGCAGCGGTCATCGGGGTAGCGACCGACGGCGGGCCGGGCATCCCAGGAGGGGAGCTGGTGCAGATGGCTGCAGAAGGCAAAAGGGAAGTGGGGGGTGCAGAAGGGAGGGAGGAGACCATTGGGGGGGCGGTGGGGGAGAAGACGGGAGAAGGGAAAGAGGAAGAGGGCGGTTCCTTTGGAACAGGGAGAGCAGCTGCTGTCAGGGGAGGGAGGGGGGTGGGAAAATATAAAGAAAGCATGTTAACATTGGCCCCAGGAGACCCCCTTTGAGGGGGAGGGGTTCGGAAATATGAAATAGCGCTAGTCCTCGAGTTACAACCACAACGGAGCCCAAAATTTATGTTGCTAAGTGAAACCGTTGCTGAGCATTGTCCTATTTTATGACTTTGCTTGCCACGGTTGTTAAGTGAATCACTGCAGTTGATAAGTTAGTAACCTGGTTGTTAAGTGAATCTGGCTTCCCCGTTGACTTTGCTGGTCGGAAGGTTGCAAAAGGGGGTCACGTGACCCCAGGGACACGGCAACCGTCATAAACAAGAGTCAGTTGCCAGGAATCCGGATGTTGATCATGTGTCCCTGAGGATGCTGCAATGGTGGTTAAGTGTGAAAAAACGGTCCTTTTTTCAGTGTCGTGGTAACTCTGAAGTGTCACTAAATGAACCGTTGTAAGTCAAGGACTGCCTGTATGAATAAACAAACTCCTTTGAAGCATGGGAGAAAAAGCAGCGCCCGCATGAATGGGGGCGCAGGGCCGCAGGCAAACCGCGCCCTATAATATTTCATTATGTCTCTGCCATGCAAAGGGGAAACTCACCTTTCCTCTAAGTTGCGTTCAACGCTGGTGCAGTTTTTAAACAGATGTGGCCTGCCCTTCCCTTCTTCCAGAACACACACACACAAACACACATACACAGGTAATCCACAACTTACAACAGTTCATTTAGTGACCAAAGTTACAACAGCACTAAAAAAGGGACTTAGGACCATTTTTCACACTTACGACCGTTGCAGCCTTCCCCCATGGTCAGGTGATCGAAACTGACTCGTATTTATGACGCTAGCAGTGTTCCAGGATCATGTTATCCCCTTTTGCGACCTCCTGACCTCCAGCAAAGTCAGTGGGGAAGCCAGATTCACTTAACAACCGTGTGACTAACTTAACAACTATGGGTCATTGTTGTTGTTGTTAGTTGCGAAGTCGTGTCCGACCCATCGCGACCCCATGGACAATGTTCCTCCAGGTCTTCCTGTCCTCTACCATCTTCTGGAGTCCATTTAAATTCACACCTACTGCTTCAGTGACTCCATCCAGCCATCTCATTCTCTGTCGTCCCCTTCTTCTATTGCCCTCAATCTTTCCCAGCATTAGGCCCTTCTCCAGTGAGTCCTTCCTTCTCATTAGGTGGCCAAAGTATTTGAGTTTCAACTTCAGGATCTGGCCTTCTAAAGAGCAGTCGGGGTTGATCTCTTCTAGGACTGACCGGTTTGAACGCCTTGCAGTCCAAGGGACTCGCAGGAGTCTTCTCCAGCACCATAGTTCAAAGGCCTCAATTCTTTGGCGCTCAGCCTTTCTTATGGTCCAACTTTCACAGCCATACATTGCAACTGGGAAAACCATGGCCTGGACTATACGCACTTTTGTTGGCAGGGTGATGTCTCTGCTTTTTAGTATGCTGTCTAGATTTGCCATAGCTTTCCTCCCCAGGAGCAAGCGTCTTTTAATTTCTTGGCTGCAGTCCCCATCTGAGGTGATCTTGGAGCCCAGAAAAATAAAATCTGTCACTACCTCCATTTCTTCCCCATCTATTTGCCAGGAATTGAGAGGGCCGGATGCCATGATTTTGGTTTTCTTAATGTTGAGTTTCAAGCCAACTTTTGCACTCTCCTTCTTCACCCGCATCAAGAGGCTCTTTAGTTCCTCTTCACTTTCTGCCATTAGAGTGGTATCATCTGCATATCTTAGGTTGTTGATATTTCTCCCGGCAATCTTAATTCCAACTTTTGATTCATCTAGCCCTGCCTTTCTCATGATGTGCTCTGCATCATGGGTCATTAATGGGGCACAATTCACTTCACAAATGTTTCACTTAGCAACATAAATTTGGGGCTCAATTGATCGGGATCGTAACCCGAGGACTACTTGTATAGCAAATTCCCCCAGCAAGACTTTTGTGTGTAGGGCAGGGGTAGGCCACCTTGGCTCTTTTATGACTCGTGGACTTCAACTCCCAGAATTCCTGAGCCAGCCATGCTGAGGGGAAAGGGAGAGGTTTCCATGCTGAGCCATGCTGGCTCAGGAATTCTGGGAATTGAAGTCCACGAGTCATGAAGGGGCCATAGTTCCCCCATGCTGGCTCAGGAATTCTGGGAATTGAAGTCCACGAGTCATAAAAGAGCCAAGGTTGCCTACCCCTGGTGTAGGGAGATGGAAAAGACTGACACGATTCCCACAACGAAAGAATGGATGGTGAGGTTAATGGGAGCTGCCAAGATGGTGAAATTAACTTCCTTGCTTAAAAGAAAAAAATTTGTCTAGCTGGGTGGTGTCACCCACAATTGTTTAACAAGCCCGATGTCAACGCTGCTAAATATTGAATATTCTTGCTTTGACAATATATGCAGAACTGTCTGGTATTTTTAGAGTTAAATCAGGTGACAGCGAAAAGGGAGGAGAATATAAGGAAAGCCCGGGAAAAAGAAAGGGAAGGGAATCTTTGCCCTCCAAGTTAATTGGAAGATGTGAATCATGATCCCAAAATAGGGGAGAGGAAATGCCTGGAATGTTATGGGCAAAGGAAGGGAAATTCAGATCTTGGCATTTCCACCATGCCGTGCTGACATCTCTGTAACACTAATAAAGGCTTTTTAGGTTAAAAAAATGCCTGAAAGTTCTTTGAAGTTAATCAGACACATGACACCCTCCTTGCCTCACACACGTCTTTTCCAACTTTTGCTTTGAACCACTTTGGGGAAATCGGGAAGGTTCTGGGTGCGAGAAGGAAGAAGCTAGGAAACGGTTGGAAAAGTGATACCTAGTGAGGCTGGGGGTGCGGGAGGAGCAGCAGCCCAGGCCGTGGTGGGCGGGGGAGTCGTGGGGGGCGTTGTCTCTATCCCGCTCTCTTCCATCATTTTTTTTTTTCCAGCAATACAATCCTGGGGGGAAAAGGAAAAAAACATATTCAGGAAAGGAGGAACTCAGAATGCAACAAGGGCCAACCAAATAAATCAATAAACAAGATATGGAATCAATGTAGATAGTCTTCACCTTACAACAGTTCACATAGTGACTGTTCGAAGTTATAACCTCACTGAAAAGGGACCATTTTTCACACTCACGACTGCTGCAGTCTCGCTTAGCAACAGAAATTTTGGGCTCAATCGTGGTCATAAATTGAGGACCACCTGTACTCCTTTCTTTGATACTATTCTTTACAAGTCCGTCTGCTTCTAATCCTGGAGACTCTACAGCTAGTCCTTGAGTTACGACCACAATGGAGCCTGCCCATTACGATCATAAGTCAGAACAGAAGTAAAATCATTTGGTCACACAACTGACCCAATTTTACAGGGGCCTTTTTTTTTTTTTTGCAGCGGTTCTTTAAATGAATGCCATGATCATGAATAGAATAGAATAGAATAGAATAGAATAGAATAGAATAGAATAGAATAGAATAAGAATAAGAAATAGAATAAGAAATGGAATAGGAATAGGAATAGAATAGGAATGGAACGGAACAGAATTACAAATAGAATAGAATATAGAATATAGAATACAGAATAGAATAGAATAGAAGCCATGGCGTGGTTTTGCCAAAAATTGGAAGTGCCGTGATTTTTTTTGGTAAAACTGTCGTGAAATATGGTCACATGACCCTATAAATGGCTGAAAATGTGGTTGTGTTGCTGACTGCCCAAAGTGGCTGCGGGAGAAGGGGATGATAGTTGGAATTAACAGAATAACAGAGTTAGAAGGGACCTTGGCGGTTATCTAGTCCAACCCCCTGCTCAAGCAGGAGAACCTATATCATTTCCGAATTCCAGATCTGATCGTAAGTTTCAGGTAGGTTATAACCTCAACCGATCCCTAAGTGACTAGCCGTAAATCAAGGACAACCTGTATTTAACCAGAAGCATCACTCACCTGCCCTCTTGCTGGTTCCCTGTTCACAGAATGACACTTTCCATCGTGCTCCAGAATTTGTCCTGGAGGAGAGGAAAAGGGAAAGAGAGGGATAGCAATGCAAAAAAGAAAAGGAATTACAGGAACAAGGCTGGATTTACAGAACATGGTCAACTGAGGAATAATGTTCTTAGTTTGCAGAAGACAATGCAAATTAAAATAAAACAAGCTGGGGTTGGGCGCCCATGGAAACCCAGCCCAGAAACTAAAGTCAAGATCAGCCAAGCCGAGCAGAACCTGTGAATGCAATTACAGACAGTCCTCGACGTACGACCACAACTGACCTTCAAAATTTCCACGGCTAAGCAAGACAGATGTTACATGAGTCGCACCCGACTTTACAATCTTTCTGGCCACAGTTGCTAAGTGAATCACTTTGGTTGTTAACTGAATCACATGGCTCTTGCTTGAATCTGGCTTCCCCACTGACTTTGCTTACTGGAAGCCGGCTGAGAAATTTACAAATGGTGATCATGTGACTGTGGGATGTCGCAGTCGTTATTGTTCAGTTGCCCAGGGCCCGAATTTTAATCACGTAATCCTGGGGATGCTGGCTGGGGAATTCTGGGAGTTGAAGTCCACAGGTCTTACAACTCCCAGATTGTTGGGGGCAAGATGGTGACCTTGTACACCACTCAAGAGAGGGCTGAAATGAAGTATGGAGCGCTGTACAAGTCTAACTGAGGGGTCCATGATGCGCTCTGAGCTACAAATGTTCTCCTCCATTGGTACAAGTCTACTGCTATAGTAGGATTGGAACCTGATGAAGTGTTTGTGTAAATCAAGGCTAATGAGGAGAGGAGGGGGGAAACCCGGGGCAAATAAGAGAGAGAAAAAAAAGAAAAAGTGGGAGAAATAAGAGACTCAGCCCTAAAGGAAGAAAACACTAAAAAGCAAAGAGGAAAAGAAAACAAAACAAGCCAGAAAGCCGCAGGCCCTCAGGCCAAGAGAACTACGACTCCCGACATGCCACGGGAAGGGCGGGGTGTACCTCACCGTTTGCGCACGCGCCGACCGGCATTGCCACGTCTCGGCGATTCGCTCCGCCGCGCGGCTGTGCGCGTTTCCCCCTCTCCCCCCACCACCATAACGTTTCCCCCCCCCTGCGGCGCTCGGTCCCGGGCCCGCGCTCGCGCGCATGCGCGGGCACGGGGCGAAGTCTTCCCTGAGGGGAAGAGGGGCGGCCGCGGTGAGTCCCCCTCCCGCCCCCAACGGGAGCAGCCGCGACCCCCGCCCGTAATGAGATCAGAATCCCCCCCCTCCGCGAAGACCCCTCCCCTCCCCCTTCCGGGAGCGGAAGGACCCCCGCGCCGCCTCACCTCGGCCTCCCGCTCGGCGCCCGGTGCGAAATGGAGGGGCGGGTTCGGACGGCTGCCACGTTCCCTCGCCCCGCCACCAGGGGGAGGAGCCGTCTCCAAGGAGGGTGGGAGGGAAGCCGAGACCCCGCCCCTCGCCCCGCCCCTCCGCCTTGCTGCCGTCCCGCTTTCAGCCACACTTTCAGCCAGACGCGGGTCAGCAGAATGAAGGGGGTGGGTGGGCAGCCCCAGGACAGGTGGTCATTGGCTGGGAGCCCCTCAATTTCTGTTGGTAGGCAAGACCATTGAGGGAGTTTGGTCCCATTTTACCACCTTTCTGTCTGCCGTTGTTAAGGGAATCGCTGCCCTTGATTAGTAAGGAAGACGGTTGTTAAGTGAATCCGGCTTCCCCCTTGATTTTGCTCGTCAGCAGGTAGCACTGGACCCGGGACTCAGCAACAGTCGTAAGCATGAACCAGTTGCCAAGCGTCCGAATGTCGATCACAGGGATGTTGCCGAAGTTGTAAGTGTGAAAAATGGTCACGTTTTTCAGTGCTGTTGTAACCTGGAACGGTCACTAAATGAACTGTTGTAAGTCGAGGGCTGCCTGAAATCACATGCAAAGCTGAAGTGCTGGCCCACATTGCAAGACCCCAAGACCCGCTGCATCTGGGTTTGGCCTGACCTCGGCTATGTGGGACGGGCTGCTTCCCACAGTGCGCAGAGCCCAGGGTCTGTTGACAGAAGCTGGTTACAATCCCAGGCAGGGAAGTTCAGGTTGTCCTTGACTTGCAAGTTCGTTTAGTGACCATTCAAAGTTACAACAGCATTGAAAAATGTGACTTAGGACCATTTTTCTCACTTACGACCATTGCAGCATCCCCATGATCACGTGATCGAAATTCAGATACTTGGCAAATTCGTTCAAATTTATGACCGTTGCCATGTCCTGGGGTCACGTGATCCCCTTTTGCGACCTTCCGACAAGCAAAGTCAATGGGGGAAGTCAGATTCACTTAGCAACCAGGTTACCAACTTACCCACGGCAGTGATTCACTTAACAACTGTGGCGAGAAACGTTGTAAAACGGGGCAACGGTCACTTAACAAGTGTCTCGCTTAGGAACATAAATTCTGGGCTCAGTTGTGGTCATAGGTCAAGGACTACCTGTAGGCCGAAGTTAAATAATTACATGTAATTGTAATTATTGCAAAGATGCCCGTCTGAGCTGCCCCTGTGGAGGATTGCTTTTCCCCTAAAGGTGGAATTCATCTCAAAAAAACCAGGGTTCTGAAGAGGGAGGTGTTCTCTGGGCTTCTTTAACAGGTTCTGCTGCTTCGAAAAGGTTCTGTGGGTTGCTGAGATGACACCCCTCAATCAGAATCGGCTTCCCACAGCGCCCTTCACAATACATGAAGCACAATTCTCAAAAGATGGGGGCATTTCCATTGACAGACCTACAGTTCAGTTCTCCAGGATGCTGTATTTTTCTCTAATGAACTGATTGAAAAATGGGAATGATTTTTGCTTTTTCCCGACTTCAGGAGCGGGTTCCCTGCTAGTGATTCTGCAAAAAGTCCTGAGCTTTTGCAGAAATGATAGGCAAGCTTGCAGGAAGTAGGTGGCAGCTGTTAAAAAAAAAAAAAAAAAAAAAAAGGGGGGGGGGGTTTGGACATGGATCAGCCGCTATAATTGTGTTGTTGACACACTGCTGTTCAGAAAAGAATAGCAGGCAAAATTGCATGCTGGAGTCAAATGCACTCTGGAAAAACACATCACCTGTGCTTAGGTACCTGAACTGCAGAAACTAACTGGAGCAGATCTGCCTACCTGGTGTGCTGTAGAGACCAGGCCAAGACCGAAAAATGATTGAACTCTGTGAAACGTTATCCGTTAACCATGTTTATGCCATTGAGTGTTTTGTAATAAAAAAGAGTTACCACAGTTAAAAAAAACCATAGCCTTTTATTCTGAATGCTGTTTCAGAGATCCTTTACAACAGTGTTTCTCAACCTTGACCATTTTAAGGCATGTGGACTTCAACTCCTAGAATTCCACAGCCAGCATTGCTGGCTGTGGAATTCTGGGAGTTGAAGTCCACATGCCTTAAAATGGTCAAGGTTGAGAAACACTGCTTTACAGGCTTAAAACCAGAATTATCTTTACAAACACAGAATAGGCGGGCAAAGTCAAAAGGACACAGGAAAAAATGAAAATCTCAAGTCATTTGACAACAACAGTCAAAAGGTTAAGGGGGAAAAAAAATTAAAAACGATTAGTCTAATACAAAATTAAACAGGTGGCAATTAGGGCAAACAAATGGGAACCGCTCTCCCCTTTGCCAAGACTGCATCCTATAACAGCCTTCCCTCCACCTGAATTCAGCCCGGGAGTTAGGAAGGTGACGTCTGCAGCATCCACAGTGGGGGAGTTGCAAAATGGAAACTCTTTCAGCGCCGTCTTCGGTCAGGACTTCGGCTTCTTCTACGGCCGCTCCTAGGCAGAAACGGACCAAGAGAACATTAAACGGAGCTGGGTCTCTTGCGATATTTGCAAATGTTTTTCTGCTACACAAATCCATTCAGGGCCTGACATATTTTCATGTGTTTACAAGAAAAATAATGCATGCATCATAGAATCACGGGTCTTGAAGGTCTTCTAGTCCAGTGGTTCTTAACCTGGGCGATATCGCCCCCCAGGGGGCGATTTCATTTTTCAGGGGGGCGATGGAATGAAAAGGGGGCGATATGGGGGCAATGGAGCGAGATGTTTTGGGGACACTTTTGAGACTTTTTCGTACACTGAATCGCTGTATATCTGTCGTACAAAAACATCCGATCGCTCGCTCTTAGTGGATTGAATTGTGTTTTCAAATGTTCCTCTAGCTAGCTTCAGTACAGAATGCCGTACATATGTGAATACGCATCGCTTATCTTCATGCGCGTTGCGGTTTGTTTTTATGCCCTTTTTATATATTTTTTTTTGCATCTTAAATTCCACTTGTAATTCAATCATTAAATGTTACTGTTTTTCTTTTCAGGCATTTCACTTTCTTGCAATTGAATTTTGTTTTCAGTGGTCATTACATTTAAGTGTCTTGAATAAATAAGATAATAATGAAATACATGTATCACGAAGTTTGGGAATAAAGTGACAGGTGGCATCAAAATTTTTCGCACAGTTGAGAGATGGGGAAAAGACTGGAAATAAATTATTTGCATCGATATGTCCAGATGACAATTTTAAAGAAAACAAAACAAGTGTTTGCATAAATTGAAGAATTATTTCTTATGTTGTGATTGAGAGGGGGGCGATGACAACTTCCCCATTGGCTCAAGGGGGCGATTTGTTCAAAAAGGTTAAGAACCACTGTTCTAGTCTAACCCACTCTAAGATAGGAGTCCTCATACCATCCCAGACAAATAATTCTGCAATCTTTTCCCGAGAACTCCCTTCATGTAGCATCCAGAACCACGAGTCTAGGAGGCAAGCTGTTCCACGGACTAATTGTTTGCACTCTGAGGAAATTCCTCCTTTTTCAGATTTGATCTCCAATAAGCTTCCATCCACTGGTTCTCAGTCTGCCTCCAGGTGCTTTGGAGAATAAGTCAACCCCCTCTTCCCTGTGACAGCCCTTCAAGTTCTGGAAGACAGCTATGGGGTCTCCCCTAAGGTAGCTTGAACATACCTAATTCTTTTCAGTTCACCCTTTCAGCCTCAAAAGCTTCCCAAAGTAGTTTATATACGATTAACGAAAAGCACCACCAGGACCAGATTATAACTATCACATTCAGGAAACATATCAGAGGTCGACTAGGCCTCTGCAGCAGGATTTGCCCTTGATAAAAAAAACATCCAAGACTTTGCAATTCCTAGCAGCAGAAATATCCAAAGGCGTCTTTTATCAAAAATTGTGCGAGTCAAAAGAGAATTTGTGATGCACCAAGATTCAGGGATCGGGGCCTTGAACTTAGATGTCGGAGCTGTTTCGGAGCTAGAAACAAGGAATGCATTTTGCCATGCTTGGTATACAGCTAGTCCTTGACTTACGACAGTTCATTTAGTGACTGTTCAAAAGTTACCACGGCACTGACGAAAGTTGACGTATGACTGTTTTTCACGCTCAAGACCGTTGCAGCACCCCCATGGTCATGTGATCAAAACTGGATGTGACCCAACTGTCTCACGTTTATGACCTTTGCAGTGTCTCGGAGTCACGTGATTCCCCCTTTCACGAACTTCAGACAAGCAAAGTCCCTGGGGGAAAGCCAATTCTCTTAACAACCATGTTATTAACTTAACAACTGCCAACGACTCACTTAACAACTGTGGCAAGAGGCAGGAAACTCTATACCATTTCGGACAAATGGCCGTCCAGTCTCTTCTTAAAAACTTCCAGTGTTGGAGCATTCACTGCTTCTGGAGGCAGGGTGTTCCACTGGTTAATTGTTCTAACTGTCAGGAAGTTTCTCCTTAGTTCCAGGTTGCTTCTCTCCTTGATTAGTTTCTACCCGTTGCTTCTTGTCCTGCCTTCAGGCGCTTTGGGGAATAGCTTGACTCCCTCTTCTTTGGGGCAGCCCGAGATACTGGAAGACTGCTCTCATGTCCCCCCTCGTCCTTCTCTTCATTAAACTAGACTTCCCCAATTCCAGAAGCCATTTCTTATATGCTTTAGCCTCCAGTGCCCTAATCACCTTTGTTGCTCTTCTCTGTACTTTTTCTAGAGTACTTTAACTACTGTACTTTAACTATTTCGCATCCCCAGAAGGTACACACAGACTTTGTGCACATCTGGTAGACCGAACGTTTGTTTGTGGGCTTTAAAAAAAAACAACCCACCTTCGTTTTCCTTTCGGAGGGCCTCTGACGAAGCACCAATCCACGCTGATGGGCTGCCCCATCAGGTCCTGTCCATTCAGGCCTTCCATGGCGGCTTGGGCCTCTTTGTAGGTCTCGTATTCCACCAGCGTGTAACCCTGCGAGACATTTGGGAAAGAGGTGTGAATGCTCCCAAACATGCAATCAGCCCAAAGGATTCATTCAAGCAGGCCTTATTCTCTTGATCCCTGGCAAATCTATCGACTATCTTGACTTCCTTGGCCACGGTTTAGACAGTTAGTCACAGACTGTGCCACAATCAAACCAAACGTTGGCTTAGTACAGGCTTACAAGTTCATTTAGTGACTGTTCAAAGTTTATGACGGCACTGAAAAAAGTGACTTACGACCATTTTCACAGTTATGACTGTTGCAGCATCCCCATGGCCACGTGATCAAAATTGAGAGGCCTGGCAACTGGTTCATAGTTATGATGGCTGCCGTGTCCTGGGGGGGGGGGGTGTCACGTGATCCCCTTTTGTGACTTCTAACAAGAAAAGTCAATGGGAAAGCCAGATTCACTTAATGATCTGGTTACTAACTAATCAGCTGCAGGAATTCACATAACTGTGGCAAGAAAGGTCCTAACATGGGGTAAAATTCACTTAACCAATGTCTCGCTTAACAACAGAAATTTGGGGCTCCACTGTGGTCGTTGAGTCGAGGACTACCCTTCCTTCAGCCTGCTGACCCGCTCAATTGCGGTCGTAACTCAAGGACTACCGGTCATTTGTAAACTCATGTCAAGAAAGCAGGCAACCAAATCTACAATTATATATATGTGTGTTTAATTTAGTTTGATGACATTTTTGTTTTATGGAAATTTGATATGGAATTATGAAAGTTAAATGTGGAGTGAAAAAAGAACTTGGCTTTATAGAGACTAAGAATGTACTCCTTGGAATAATAGATTGATTTAGGCTGGAATTTTTGAAATGCTTAATTAATTAGATTTTTGTATATAATATGCTTTGATATGGTATGATAATTAATTAGATGGAATTTGGTTTTTTTATTAAATAAATGGAAATGAATTAAGTCAAACACTACTATAATTAACAAAAATGGAATTATTGACTGAAAGGTTAAGGATCATGATTTAGATTTAAAAGCAAAAAAACTATAACCATATACATGCGTAATGTTTAATTACTTAAGAGATGTTTGTGCATAATAATATGATTTGATAAGATATGATATTGTTTTTTTTAATTAAATTAGTTATTATTGGAAGAAAAAATAAGTAAGATTGGTGATAGAAAAGGGATGAGAGGGATTAAGAATTTGAATATATTTGCAAGAGGTATTTGAAGTGATAATATGCTGATGTAAAACACTATCTGACTATGGTAATTGAAATCAATTTTAAGTTTTAATAAACAGGTTTAGTAGTAATAGAAATTTAGGATAGAAATGAAATGTATTAAATTTGCTATGTTGCTTGAGGGAAATAGAGAGATGATAGCGAATGTATTAAGTTGAGCTGTTATTGTGTGATTTTATGTTGGAATCTTTGTGTACCCAAACACCACGGTGTGTCTTAAGTACTTTTTGTTAAAATTATAAAACCAATAAAATATATTTTAAAAAAAAGAAGAAAGAAAGCAGGCAATCAGAAATACCTGTCGCTCCCAAAAGCCTCTCATCAAAACACTGAATGTGTTTTCCATCTCAGCTGAGCCTAAATGACCATTCGTTGACTGCCCTACGCCTTTCTCTGGGAAGAACCAGCCCCACAAGCAGCCCCACTCGTACATGCCTTCAGATAGCCTGTCCGCCGGTCAAGATTCAAGTGGAGGTTCTTGATCTCCCCAAACTCTGCAAACTTGTCATGAATGTCCTCCTCAGTGGCCTCCTCGTGCACACCCGTCACAAAGAGGATCCAACCTTCCACCGCTGGAGAGACACAAAGGGCCCAAAAAAGGTGAGGCTCAAAGCAAAGGACCATTTGAAACGCACACAGGGCAACTGCTGACACGCTAAAACGGAAGAAGAAAAAAGTAAGGGCGTCGTCTCACATCTCTGAGGACCCGGTTCGTCGCCATCTTGTTCCACACTGTCGTAATCCTCACGAACGCGGGCTCTGGAGCCCTCTTCTGTTCGGATATGCCCATGAGCAAAAAAACAGAAAACGGGTTTTAGATAGAGAGAAACAAAACTTTTGACACATACACATACACACACACACGTAATTAAATACAAGTAGCAACTGAGCGTGTTCCCGGAGGTATTGTAAGCTGGTTCTCACTCTCAGAGGATAGCAAATGGGAAACCTGCATGGCACACCTCGCCTCCCAGACAAGGGGAGAGAGCATCAGCACTTAGACTTATATCCCGCTTTATAGCCCTAAGCGGTTTACAAAGCCAGCCTCTTGTCCCCCAACAATCTGGGTTCTCATTTTACCGACTCGGAAGGATGGAAGGCAGAGTCAACTTTGAGCCGGTCAGGATCGAACTGCCGGCAGTGGGCAGAATTAGCCTGCAATGCTGCATTCTAACCACTGAGCCACTGCTGCTCTAGGGATGGCAAAACCAGTTTAATTTCTCACAGCTTGGCACTGAAGGCAGGAGGAACCTGCCTTTGGAGAACCTCACACTGATGACACAAACAAACGTTTTGTCAATGCTGCTAACATCGGGTGTTATTGCTTTGACAACAGATGGAAATGCATTCATTTTTGTCTTTCGCTTTTAGAGCTGATTGATGCTGGGAGGGGGGATGTGGATGAGAGTCCAGTTAGTCATAACAACAATAACTCAGCTGTGGGAATTCAAGGTTACTGAGCCCAGAGTTGATAAAGATTTGGCGAGCTGGAGACAACGCTAATATTGGATATTATTGCTTTGACAAGATATGCAGAACTGTCTGGCATTTTTAGAGTTAATTCAGATGATGGTGGAGGGGAGGAGAAAGATAAGGACTGCTTGGGAAGGGAACAGAAGTGAATCTTGATTAGAAAATGCTAATCATGACAGCAAAATAGGGGAGGGGAACAGCCTGGAATGTTATGTGCAAAGGAAGGGAAATTCAGATCTTGGCACCCATCCATGTGTACGACACTGTTATACTGTAATAAAGGCTTTTAGGATAAACAATGCCTGAAAGTTCTTTGAAGTGTTTCATTAGTCGGAACTATGACACCTGCGTTTCAAGCTAATTGGGGAATGTGATTTATGACAGTTAGTTGGAGGAAGGAATTGTGCTTTGCTACTTCGTGCCTAGAGGAGAGGAATTCAGTTTTTGGCTTCAACTATGTAGTGCCGATATTATGCTTCTCGAATAAAAGATTCTTTAAGGTAAACAATGCCTTGAAGTTCTTTTGAAGAGTTTCATCGGTCGGAACCATGACACCTTTATTCTGTTCGAGTGATGGTCAAGCACAATTTTTTAGCTATCTAGGTCTCAAACCATGTGTGTATCTTGTGTAGGTTGGGATGGAACATGTCACAGACAATACTATTTATTTATATCCCACCTTTACCATTTTTATAAATAAAATATCTTTTATCACTCAGGTAAGTGATTCAAGGTGGCAAACGTACCCAATTCTCCTTCCTCCTATTTTTTTTCCAAAATAACAACCCTGTGAGGGTAAATTAGGCTAAGAGAGTATAACTGGTCCAAAGTCACCCCATCGGTTTTTGTGCCTAAGGTGGGACTGGAACATACGGTCTCCTGGTTTCTAGTCCTCATGAACAACAGCAGCTAAGCTGAAAGAACAACTTACCTGACCCAAAACCTCTGCCTTTCCTTTTCTTCGCCTTTTCCTTCAATTTGTGGATGCTTTCTGAAGAGAAATCAAATATAGTTGGATCGATTAATGACAACAAAGAATGGAAAATGCTTCACTTGTAATGACTGCAGTCACTCTGAAAGCCCAATTCACAATACAGATAGTCTCGACTTACAACCATTCATTTAGTGACAAAGTTACGGCAGCATTGAAAAAAAGTGACTTACGATCATTTTTCACACGGCTGTTGCAGCATCCCCATGGTCATGTGATCAAAATTGAGGTGCTTGCCAACTGACTCATATTTATGACCGTTGCTGTGTCCCGGGGTCATGTGCGATCCCTTTTGTGACCTTCGGACAAGCAAAGTCAATGGGGGAGCCAGATTCACTTAACCGCCGTGTTTACCAACTTAGCAATTGTGGTGATTCACTTAACTACAGCAGTAAAAGACGTAAAATGGGCAAAACTTAACAACTGTCTTGCTTAGCAATGGAAATGTTGGGATCAACTGTGGTCGTAGGTTGAGGACTACCTATACAAGTTGAACTCCCCAAATGGATTTATGCCTACTGAGAAAAGAGCAGCACATTTGCAAATAAAACCCCGTCTCTGGTCCTTCGGTCCCACGCTTCTAATAATTTCAAGATTAGGGAACGAGCAATTAAACCTTGTGACAAAGGATGACCTTGGACTGTTTATTCTTCATACAGAAAGGATTGTGTGGGGACGTAACATTCTTCAAAGCCTGAAAAAATCCCACATATAAGAAGTTAACTCATTGCCCCCTTCCATCCCGGAGTGCAGAACATGGAATGACAGATTTAGGTACAGGTAGTCTTTGACTTACAACAGTTCATTTAGTGACTGTTCAAAGTTAAGGCGACACTAAAAAAAAGTGCGGCTGCTGCAGCATCCTCCCGGTTACGTGATCAAAATTCAGATGCTTGACAACTGATTCATATTTATGACGGTGGCAGTGTCCCGAGGTCACGTGATCCTCTTTTGCGACTTCTGATAGGCAAAGTCAATGGGGAAGCCAGATTCACTTTACAACCAGGTTACTAACTTATCCACAGCAGTGATTCACTTAGCAATTGTGGCAAGAAAAGTTGTTAAGTGGGACAAAGCTCACTTAACAAATTAGCAACATAAATTTTGGGCTCAATTGTGGGTGTACATCAAGGACTACCTGTAATAGGAAACCGATTATAAGTAAATACCAGGAAAAAAAAATTTTTTTAACGGTAAGAACAGAACCAACGAGCTAAGAAAAGGGTCATCTGCCCTACAATCACAGGACAGCTAGATGACCTGAAAGAAAGTTCCCTAGTGGGATCTTCAGTGGAAATTAACAACATTCAGAAGAGAAGCCCCTTAACTGTTACGTGCAAAAAAGAAGAAAAGAAAGAAAGAATAAAAACAAAGACAAGAACCCAGAATTCACACACAGGGAAAATAAGCCCATCAGTAGAAGAGCAGGGAAAACAGCTTTTTAACTATAACATGATTTGAACATGAACATATAAAACATTTAAACTTCGGTTTTACATTTCCTTTACTAATTTCCTATTTATTTATACTTCATATTCCTCAACCGTCCACCTCCCTCGGAGAGGGGCTCTGGGTGGTGTGCAATATAATCAGAACAAAGTAACAGAGTTGGAAGGGACCTTGGAGGTCTTCTAGTCTAGCCCCTTGCTCAAGCAGGGGGCCCTAGACCAGGGGGTAGGCAAACTTGGCTCTTTTATGACTCGTGGACTTCAACTCCCAGAATTCCTGAGCCAAACCTCTCCCTTTCCCCTCAGCATGGCTGGCTCAGCAATTCTGGGAGTTGAAGTCCACAGCTCATAAAGAGGCCGTAGTTCCCCAGCCCTGCTTCTAGACCAGGGGTAGGCAACCTTGGCCCTTTTATGACTGGTGGACTTCAACTCCCAGAATTCCTGAGCCAGCCATGCTGAGGGGAAAGGGAGAGCTTTCCAAGCTGAGTCAGGCTGGCTCAGGAATTCTGGGAGTTGAAGTCCAGAGTCATAAAAGAGCCAAGGTTGCCTACCCCTGCCCTAGACCATTTCAGACAAATGGAGGAGAGGCCCAAGGCAATTTGAGTACGTTTAATCCTTAGAAAAGATCATTGAGGGATGTAGGATAACATTTTTCAAATTACACAAAAGCCACACACCTCCTCAAGACTTGTTGTCTCTCATGCAGTTTAGGACGCTAGTTGATCTCTTGAACGCTCAAGAAAATAACGGTGATAACAGAATAACAGAGCTGGAAGGGACCTTGGAGGTCATCTAGTCCAACCCCCCCCCCGCTCTGGCAGAAGACCCTATACAAGTGGCTGTCCAGTGATGGGGCACCCACAACTTCTGGTGGCAAGCCGTTCCACTGGCTAATTCTTCCTCCTGCCAGGACATTTCAGCAAATAATTAGTGAAATGTGTTTAATGGCCGTCTGAAGCGCTCGCTAAAATTGAGAAATAATGTATTGAAAGGAATAAAAGCAGCGCGCATGCGCAGCTCCTCAGCCTCCACGGCCCACCTCGCAGGGCTATTGCGACGCGGACAGGCGCTGAAGAAGTTAACGCAGGGGAATGGCGTGAGCCGTACCGTCGCCGTCCTCGTCCATGGCGAAGTCCTCGCCGCCCGCCTCGTGAAGGTCCAGCACGTCAGCCATGTCGGCCCACCCAGCGAAGCTTCTCCAAAGCGGCCGTCGAAACCACTGCCGCCGGGCTCGCAAGGGATGACGGGTTGGCTTCCGGCCGGGACCGGAAATGCAGCCTGCGCCTGAAGGCAGAGGGCGGTCCCGGCAGCCATTCAGAGAATGTCCGACCTACAAGAGGGCTACTGAGTCTGCGCGGCACCTTCGGAGACGGAGCTCCTAGGGCAGAGCGCCATTTTGGGAAGGCTTTTCCTCGGAACGATGGAGGCGTTCCAGGCCGCCCCTTGCGGCGCCGCCGGGAATTGCAGCGTCAAATTCCAAATGGCTGCTTTCATAGTTTACCTAAGACAGGGGTAGGCACCTTGGCTCTTTTATGACTCATAGACTTCAACTCCCAGAATTCCCGAGTATGCTGACTCGGGAATTCTGGGAGTTGAAGTCCATGAGTCAGAAAAGAGCCGGAGTTGCCTACCCCCGACCTAAGACCATTGCAGCATCCCCATTGTCATGTGATCAAAATTTGGATGCTTGGCAACTGACTCGTATTTATGACAGTTGCAGTGTCCCAGGGTCATGTGATCCCCTTTTGTGGCCTTCTGACAAACCAGTTTCACTTAATGACCGGGTTACTAACAAGAACAAGGGGGGACATGATAGCAGTGTTCCAATATCTCAGGGGCTGCCATAAAGAAGAGGGAATTAAGCTATTTTCCAAAGCACCTGAAGGCAGGACAAGAAGCAACGGGTGGAAACTAATCAAGGAGAGAAGCAACCTAGAACTAAGGAGAAACTTCCTGACAGTGAGAACAATTAATCAGTGGAACAGCTTGCCTCCAGAAGCAGTAAATGCTCCAACACTGGAAGTTTTTAAGAAGAGACTGGACAGCCATTTGTCCGAAATGGTGTAGGGTTTCCTGCCCGAGCAGGGGGTTGGACTAGATGACCTCCAAGGTCCCTTCCAACTTTACTATTATTATTATTATTATAACTGGTGATTCACTTAACAATGGTGGTGTAAAAGGTCGTAAAATGGGGCAAGATTCACTTAATTATTAGTACCGCTTTATAAATCCTTAATAGGGTCACACCCGGAAGACTGCAGCCAATTTTGGTCACCATATCACAAAAAAGATGTTGAGAGTTTGGAAAAAGTTCAGAAAAGAGCAGCTAAGATGATCCAAGGCCTGGAGACTAAAACATACCAAGAACGACTGCAGGATTTGGGCTTGGCTAGTCTAAAGAAAAGAAGAAATAGGGGAGACATGATAGCGGTGTTCCGGTATCTGAGGGGCTGCCACAAAGAAGAGGGGGTCATGTTATTCATCAAAGGACCAGAGGGAAGGACGAGAAACAATGGTTGGAAACTGACCAAAGAGAGAAGCAATCTGGAATTAAAGAGAAAGTTCCTGACAGTGAGGACAATTAACCAGTGGAACAACTTGCCACAAGAAATCGTGGGCGCTCCATCACTGGAGATTTTCAAGAAGAGACTGGACATTCACCTCTCTGGGATGGTATAGGTTCTCCTGCTTGAGTGGGGGGCTGGACTAGAAGACCTCCAAGGTCCCTTCCAGTTCTATTCTATTCTATTCTATTCTATTCTATTCTATTCTATTCCATTCCATTCATTTCTATTCTATTCATTTCTATTCTATTTAACTCATTTTTTGCATCTGTCTTTACACAAAGGGAAAAAACAGACCAACCTATCAAAAATAGTACCATAAAAACCAGTAAAGAAATGCAAGTTAAGATAGGCAAGAAAATGGTAAGTGAGCACCTGTCCAGCCTAGGTGAGTTCAAATCACCAGGACCAGATGGATTATACCCCAAGGTTCTCAAGGAACTGGCAGATATGATCTCAGAACCACTGAACTATATTTTTCAAAGATCTTGGAGCACTAGGGAACTACCAGAGGACTGGAAAAGAGCCGATGTAGTTCTCATTTTCAAAAAAGGAAAAAAAAATGGATCCAGGAAATTACCTATCAGCCTGACCTCAATACCTGGGAAGATTCTGGAAAAGATAATCAAACAACGAATTAGCAAACACCTAGAGGCAGTCATTACCAAAAGCCAACATGGATTTGTCAAAAACAGATCATGCCAGACAAATCTTATTGCATTCTTTGACCAAGTGACAAAATTAGTGGATCAGAGGAATGCTGTGGATATAATTTACCTGGACTTCAGTAAGGCATTTGATAAAGTAGACACAATCTACTGCTTGATAAGATAGAAAAATGTGGGTTAGACAGCATCACCACCAGATGGATTCGTAGCTGGCTGACCGGCCGTACTCAGTGTGTGCTCCTCAATGGAACCGCATCTACATGGAGGGAAGTGTGTAGTGGGGTGCCCCAGGGCTCTGTTCTGGGCCCAGTGCTCTTCAACATCTTCATCAACGATTTGGACGAGGGGATAGATGGAGAACTCATCAAATTTGCAAACGACATCAAGCTGGCAGGAATAGCCAACACTCCAGAAGACAGGCTTAGGATACAGGAGGATCTGGACAGACTTGAACACTGGGCGCTATCTAACAAAATGAAATTCAATGGTGAAAAAAGTAAGGTTCTACATTTAGGCAAGAAAAACCAAATGTACAGATATAGTCTAGGGGGTACCTTGCTCAATAGTAGTAATCAGACTGGGCTACAAACAACTTAAGTTCTAGTCCTACTTTAGGTACAAAGCCAATCACTCCCTTCCAGCCCTAGGAAGTAGGCATGGGTAAATCATTCCTGAAAACATTGCCAAAAAAACTGCATGGACTTGTCAGTGATCACCAAGGCCTGCTCCCTCCCTTCCATCCTTCCTTCCTTAACTAGGACACAGAAAAATTAGCGCTTGGGACCTGTTCTCATGCTTGGCCCCCAAAATCCCTTGAACTGTCCGATGCATGATTCAACCTTGTCCCCCGTCCCTGACCTTCAACGGAGAGGAACACTTCGTTTAGGACCACCTAGAAACCCCTCTGCCCCTCTTTCTGAAAGGATTTGGGGACAAAACAGTCAGCTAAGAAATGGCAACATGATCTTGGTTTATGCTTGAACAGTGAGCATCCCAAAACCCAATGCCTTAAAAAGACAGAATCCATCCCTTCTTTCTCCACCCATCGTCTTCTAGACCAGGAGTGTCCAGCCTTGGCAAGGGCTTGGAACCTCAACTCCCAGAATTCCGCAGCCAGCCGGCTGGACCTCCTTGTCCAGTCTTTTTTCTGACCTTTGAAGGAACTTCTCACCAAGGACACCCCAAAAATGGCAACTGAGACACGTCCAAAGATGAAGCAATACTCAACGGAAGGGCCCTCCAAACTCGCTTGACTGTACATCTAATCAGTTAAAAAAAATAAAATAAAATAAAATTTGACCCCAAAAATATATCTCTACACATGCAGCAGTTATCTAACACATTGTGTACGTTAGAAAGCCTGTTGCAATGTAAACACTCTCTTGGGGAAAGTCCAAGGAAGAAACTTACGGTCAATACCCCCATTTGTTCCAAGTTCAAGGGAAACATGCAAGCAACACCCCAGAGTTTTACCCTTTAAAGGGGGGATTTGGTCCTGCAAGGAGGTCACAGCTCCACACCCAAGGACATCGGCACAAGCGTTCCTGTGACCAGCAGGTTCCTCCATCGTCTGCCAAGATGGTCCTCCGTCCGTCCTTCCTTCTTATCCTCGCCTGTCTGTCGGGATCCTTTGGCCAACAAGGTAAGGCTTAAACCCATGTAGAAGCAGCTCTATCTGGCCATTGAGGGTCCTGTGGTCTCCAGAAGCTGGGTGGACTTCTCTGAACCTTTCATTGGCATTGTTCTCAATGGGGCTGTTGGATTTTCTCTTCATGGTAGAGCTAATTGGTTGTGGAGAATGTCAAATCGTAAGTCTGTGGGTTGATTTCCACACAACATCTTTCTGAGGTGGGTTCAACCAAACCCCAGGTAGAGTTTCCATCACTAAGGAGGGGTCTGTACTCATGACCACCATATCTCCTTCCTTCCTTCCTTCCTTCCTTGCCTCCCTCCCTCCTTTGCTTCCCGTCTTTCCCACCCTCCCATTCTTTCTCCTTCCTTTCCTTCTTTCCTTCCTTCGTCCCTCTTCTTTCCTTCCCTTCTTTCCCACCCTCCCATTCTCTCCTTCCTTCCTTCTTCCCTCTCTCCCTCCGATGCATGTTTCAAAATTCCCTCATTTCCTGTACTTGAATTGAGAGGAACAACTTCTTCAGGATCCCCTAAGAATCCGAGTCAATGATTCCTGGATAGATGACTTAATTTGATGTCCTCTCTGCTTTACTCTCTGCTGGGCCAAAACAGGCCCGTGGGAAGTTAACTCTGCTCCACAAGTTCTCAGGCTGGTGTCCTGCTGACCGGATCTCTTTTTTCTCCTTCTAGATCTCCGGAACAAGGCCTTTGTTTTCCCAACATCATCTGCCACGGCTGCTGTGCATCTCGACGTCTCCAACCAGCAACCCTTGACCAAGCTGACCGTCTGTTTGAGACACTACACCCTCCTGTCCCGTTCGTAGGGCCTCTTCTCTTACGCGACCCAGTCAAATAACAACGATTTTCTGATTCTGAAGAAGGACGTGAATGAATATTCCATTTATGTCGGTGGTTCCGTCGCAGTTTTCAAGGTTCCTGAGAAGGCTGAACCAAGCTGGGATCACATCTGTGTGTCCTGGGACTCCACCAATGGGCTGGTCTGGTTCTGGCTCAACGGGAAACCTTTTCCTCGGCGGAGTCTGAAAAAGGGCTACAGCATCAGCCAGGAGGCTTCCATCGTGCTGGGGCAGGACCAGGACTCCTTCGGAGGGGGCTTTAAAATCGGCCAATCCTTTGTGGGGGAGATCTCAGACGTCAACATGTGGTCCTGGGTGCTGAGACCATCTCTGGTTAGATTGTCCAAGAACAACATTGACATTTCTAACCCTCTGATTAGCTGGAAGTCCCTGAGCTACACCCTCAAGAATGAGGTCTTTCTGGAAGATTTCCTGAGTCCCCAAGAGAAATGCATCTGAGTTGAAAGAAAAAAGAAAGAAAATTCGCTTTGAAAAAAAAATATCTATATTTCTGCAATGGGATGCCAATTGCTTAAGTAGCCGTTGATGAATTACAGGCAGGTGATCCATGCTTGAAAAGCTGGTGTGAGCATGCTAGTTTCTTTATCAATAAAATTAACTTCCTTTGTCATGTTCGGCTGCGTGTTCCTTGTGGGTTCTTCTTTATTGGGAAAAATTCCTAAATGCAGGTGCAGGGCCCATAGTACTACCATAAAGCAACTACAGATAGAATCTTGTAAGTTTTGGCATGAGTCTCTCTGTGTTTTTCTTCCGACACATCCTCCTTCAATGCTCTTTTTTATAGAGATATTCGAAAAAACCCTTATCTTCCCAATAATCGATAGGTATTCGGACCATTCCGACATGGCTTATCTCCAGCGTTGCCTCAATGATAGACTGCAATTACAGCACTGGTGGCTAGATTCTGCACAGTAGCACTGGGGATTTGTCAGAAACAGGCAATTCATCCATCCTAGTGATTTTACACAATGCAGCAAACTGTTATTATCCCTCTCTTGCATTTTAGTATTTAATGATGATGGGCCTCACAGCGTAAGGATTGATATTATAGCTAGGCCGTGCTAAGTTTTGCTCGTGGGCAACTGACAGACTGGATGCCAAATTGTGATTTTAATATAGATGTTCTGTTATTTATTATTTTGTTCTATAATTTTTTCACTGGATGTTCCTTGAGAGTTTTTAACTTGGCTCTGGTCTTTTGACTGTAATAAACATTGACTTGATTTGGCTCACCTGGGTCCTGACTAACTGAAAGGCATGTGGGGGTGCCCATGAGTGCATCCACATAAGATTTACAAAAGTGTTAATTCTTTAAAAAAGGAATGGGTAGAGAGGCTTGGCAAGCTTCCTGCTTGAATGGACAGACCCCTTCATGTGGGCAGTAGCCGTAGGAGGGCTGCTGTTAAGGACCTCTCTTTTTTCTTCAGCTCCACAATAAGGCATCACCTGGTACCGATATTCCTGCAGCCCAACAGCCACGTCTGTCTCAGGGGCAGCAGATAAGATCCAAATGTTTTTAAAAAGGCTTCACTCCCAAACAGTGAAAAGAACAAGAACTTTTCCCAAATCCTGTTTATTACACAAAGCCACGCATTACAAACCAAGTCCGGAACACACAAATCAAAAAAGAGGCAAGCAGCATAAAAGGGTAACACTGCATGGATAAACTGGAGATGATCAATAGTTACAGAAAACAGAATGGTCAGGAAAAAAATCAGCACCACAAGGAAGTACCGTATTCACGTTTGGGTCAAGTGAAAACGGTGCTATTCAGTTTTCAAAACTATTCAGACTGTCTCTGGACAGATTCGGGCAAGAAAAAATAACCCAAATACGGTAACCTACCAGTCGGCCAGGCTAGAGTGAACACAGGAGACATTCATGTACACATTAGTCTTCAAAGAATTTTAGTTGTAAGCTAACTTTATAAATGCTTTAAACATTAATATTGTGTAAACAATAGCTATGTATAAAATATATAAATATATATATATATAAAAGAGGATATTGTTTTATTACTTCATGTATACAAATGACAAAGTATTGAAGATCTGAAGACCAAAGAACGTTTTCTGGAGCCCATTGATCAACAGTTAATAATTCCACCAATCAATCACATCTTTATTATAATCATAGACCAGAACAGACCACCCATCTTTTGCAAATTGTTCCGTTTACGTTGAGAGGGCCTGAAGCTTTTGATCAAGAGATCTCTTATGCCAAGTTTTTGTACCGGATTAGGGCCTGAAGCTTGTTTATGCATGAGAAAAAAACAGCAAAGAACCAAACTAACCTGACATGCAGGAGACCAACATTCTCTAAGTGTCCGGAGACTTTGAAAGTGAACCCTGAACAAAACAACAACGTAAAATTAAGTCATGGTCAATGCAGGTAGTCCTCAATTTACAATATCAGTGTAGCAACTCTTCAAAGTTAGTGGCACTGAAAAAAGGAAGGACAGTCCTCACACTGACAATCATTACAGCATTTCCGTAGTGACGTGTTTGGCCCAGATTCCTGCTGAATAAAAGCCTTCAATGAATTTACTGGATGGGTTGCATAACGCAAATAAAAGAAAAAAAAACATACAAAGAACGGTTGCTGGAATTGGGTACGTCTAGTCTAATGAAGGACAAGGGGGGATATGATAGCAGTCTTCCAGCCACATAGAAGAGGGAGTCCAGCTATTCTCCAAAGCCCCTGAAGGCAAGACAAGAAGCAACGGATGGAAACTAATCAAGGAGAGAAGCAACCTGGAATTAAGGAGAAACTTCCTAACACTGAGGACAATTAACCAGTGGAAAGAGCTTGCCTCCAGAAGTTGTGGGTGCTTCATCACTGGAAGGTTTTAAGAAGAGACTGGACAGTCACTTGTCTGAAATGGTCTCCTGCTTGAGAAGGGGGTTGGATGAGAAGACCTCCAAGGTCCCTTCCAGCTCCATTCTGATTGACTGACAGACTGATTGACTGAAAAGAAAATAAGTGCTTTATGCTTGTAATTTAGGGAGCACCAGGGAATTTTGCGGCGAGACCACCCGGCAGATTAATATGCCGCTCAAAAAGCAGCATTATTCAGTTAAAAATACAATCTGAGTGCTGGTTGGACCATAATGGAAATGAGTGTTTTAAGTGCTGTGCTTACAAGTGATAAGATGGTGTATATCGAAGTACTTTTAACTGTAGCTACGTATTTGCGTAACATATATCAATGCATTATACCCTAATATCAAACACTGGCGTTATTTTGGCAGCGTTACTTTTCTACATAATACTGATGTCTGTACAATACTTGGATAGAATCAAGATTTGAGCACAAGACTATTTCTCCAGAAAGGCTACACTGTACGTATGTTCTACAAAAAGTTCTTCAGCAGAGAGAAAAAGATAACCAAAGAGGTCCAAGTATAAAATCTATACAGAATTTTTAACGATTTTTGTTTTTTTAAAAAAATGTGCAACTGGTCCTCTGTTCTTGGAAAATGAAGCATCGGAGGCTGTTTAATGACACAGTTCAGGTGATTAGAATTGAAGCCAAGTTCTGAACAAACTCAATGTTTTCCCCCCCCAAAATGTTAATTCAGGTTTCCTTCTCTAATTGGAGGATACCTTACACTTCGAACTAAAAAATTAAGGCAATCAAGATTAGGATCAAATTCTGCACTAAAGTCTCCTAAACGCAAACATCAACATTGCACCATAAAATTAGGGAAAAATCTGGTTGAATACTGGGCTTCTTCATATCTGTAACATTCCTTTCGACCTCTTCAGCAAACTACTGCAGGAAGAGAGAGGCGTGAAAGGAGAGAGAAAGGGCTACGTGGGGTCCTAGCAGTTGGAAGAATGCATGTTCCCCAGCTGGCCAGCAGCCAACATCAAGATGTCTTTCTTCTCCTTGTGAAATCTCAGCTCCTTTCCAGCTAGCCGAGCTTCGTCCAGTTCACGCTCTGTCGAGGCCAGCTCCCTGGAAAGGGCCCCTGGGATGTTCTGCTCCCGGTTGACCCAGTCCGTTGCCATCTGGTTCCGTATGTCATCGTCCAGAGCACGATGGGAATAGTGTGCCAGCACTTCCTGGTGGGGGAGGAGAGAGGACATGAATGGGGAAAAAGATGCTCTCCCAAATTCCAGAACCAGCAAAGAAGTTGCTCTCCAGTCAGGCAGACGGCTTCATGCCGTACGTCAGGGGTGTCAAACTCAAATTTCATTGAGGGCCGCATCAGCATTGCGGTTGCCCTTAGGGGACCGGGTGGGTGTGGCCAGTGTGGGTGCGGCCTACTGGGTGGGTGTGGATGGAGTGGGTGTGGCCTACTGGGTGGGTAGGGTGCCTATGGGGGCCTGGGCAGGAGTGGGATCTGAGGGTCTCTGGCAGAAGCGGGTGGGACCGGGGCAAGTGCCAAGGCATGGTCCACTGGAGGAGCATCACTGTTCCTCTCAGGCCATGGGGGGGGGGGGCTGGATGGTGGTGCGGGCTGCCCGGAGCCCTGGGCAGCAGAGGTCAAATGCCCAGCCTGGCCCTTGAGCACCCGCAGCACCCAAGCCCAGCCCCACTTCCTCAAGGCTGCTGCTCAAGGTTCTCCTGGTTTCTCGCTGTTTCCGGACGGCCTTGTGGAGCTAAGACTGAATGCGTTTCGGCATAGATGGCCACCAGAAAATTGTACATTGGCTCCCGGCCGGCCTGGGCCAGGGCCAAGGCAGCGGGGGCCGTTCCCTCACTGTTTCCAGGATGGCTTCATGGGCCACATGAAACCATTTCGCGGGCTGCATCCGGCCCCCCAGCCTTGGGTTTGACATGTCTGCCTTAAGTCGCCCTTCAAATAACTCACACAAAAATATGGAACAGTAAGTGACCAAGGCAGACATGACTAGGTTCTTGGTAAAAGAACTGGAGAAATCATATACAAAGAAGAGGGGGAAAAAAAGTAGTCCCTGGCAATTAGTACAGGTAGTCCTCGACTTATGACCACAATTTATGTCGCTAAGTGAGAAACCTGTTAAGGGACTTTTGCCCTATTTTACATCTTTTCTTGCCACATTTGTTAAGCGACTCCCTGCAGTTGTTAAATGAGTAACCCGGTTGTTAAGTGAATCTTAACAACTTAGCAATTTCCCTTAGCTTTGCTAGTCATAAAGTCGCAAAAAGTGATGACGTGACTCCGGGATACTGCAACCGTCGTAAATATGAATCAGTTGCCAAGCATCTGAATTTTAATCATGTTACCGTAGGGATGCTTGCAACACTCACAAGTGTGAAAAATGGTCACTTTTTTTTTCAGTGCCCTTGTAACTCTGAATGGTCAGTCAACAAGCTGTTGTAAGTCAAGGACTACCTGTAACTTGCTGCTGGAGCCTATTCCCAATTTATTTCGATCAAGGGTGGACAAGTGGAACTAGCCCGAGCTCAGAGTCTTCTGGCTTAAATTAAAGGGAATAAAAAACGCAGCTTCTCCATTTTTACTCACTTCTCCAAGCCACAGGAAAGCTTCATTTGTGGCTTTGTTTTCCACAGAGACCAAAGCTGCTTTAAAACAGAGGTGGTACCGAGTTCCAGCAGCTTCAGAAGGCTCATAGCGAAGATGTTCAGCTATGCCGGAGACACTTCGGCTTCTGCCCGCTGCCGGCTACAGGCCCCAAACCCGCAGATCCTTTGAACAAACCTACCTGTCGTGAACACTGCCTCTCCCGCATGGCTTTAAGGCTACCAGTCCAGTGTAGCAGCTGGAAAACTGTCATTAGCTCCTGGCAAGGAAAAGCAGGCCAACTTTGAGCATGGTTATCAGCAGACAAAAAGGCACAACTAGATGTGCCCAAAGCCATTCCATCTCCTGCTGAGGGTTCCGTTTCTGAATATCGCACAAGATAATTTGCCTTTCAATTTGTTAACATAAAAAACTACTGGATGATTCATCATTCAACAATACTCTGGAGGTTTCCAGACTTTTTAAAAATCTAATTCTGACAACGTCCGAAACATTCGCCGTGTCACAAACACTAATTCCTTAAGCATTTTTTTATAAAGGGATTGCAACAGGCGTTTAATCTTAGGATATCTGATGATTATTTCAGAGTCCTGAGTTGGTCAACAAATTAGGAAGAACAATAACGATCCTACGTTTCTGTGCCAATTCCACCTCTCCTGCATATTTTGCATCTCCTCTCCCTAAACAGTTACTTGTAATTAAGTCAGTAGGTCAAGTTTTAGCAGCAAAAGTCTGGATTGCATAATCCAATTAAGAATACCTGGAACTCTAACATGGACTTCCCTTTGTTGGACTCCAACATGAAGCGGAAAGCACCAATACCTGTACTTGGGCTATCTGCTTCCTCTCTGTTGCCCTATTGGGAAGACAAACATTAGGTTAGATTGGATTAGCGTAAAAGGGCCAGCTTTTTATACAAAAAGGATTCCTACTTTAAGAAGAGTTTTCACTCAAAGCTGCAGTTTTTGGATGTATGTTGTATAAATATATGAATATTCCATAGGGCTGTGGCAGAGGTAGCCCTTAACTCATGACTAGTTCAGGGGTAGGCAACCTTGGCTCTTTTATGACTCCTGGACTTCAACTCCCAGAATTCCTGAGCCAGCTATGCCTACCCCTGGACTAGCTTAACTCATGACTAGCTTAGCAATCATTCAAAGTTACAACTGACCCCCCCCCCAAAAGGGACTTACAACCTCGATTTGAAGTTTGCTTAACGAACCTTATGGGTTCACTTAACAATTGTCAAGTGCAAGAAGTCAGGAACCATGGTAGAATTCAAAATAACTACAAATTGATCTTATGCTACTGGTACTGCTTATAAAGGCTTTGTGTGCTCAGTAGGTCTTGTGGTGGGTCAGGTGTGGGTATGCCAGGTGAGGGTCTTGGGATGGGGAGGTCATGTCAGGTGAGGGTCACTGGTAAGTGAAGCTGGCTGAGGGTAGGTGCTGTCCCTCATTGGCTGTATCTGTTGATGGAGTGCCACGATTTGATGAACTCATGTGCATGGCAGGTGGTAGCATGGCTGATGATTACTCCAATCGAATCGGTGCTGTTTGGTGTCAGTGTGGGTAGAGATTACAGATTTGGAACTGTGGCGTTTGATTGCCAGCTGATGTTCATGTATTCTGTTTTTTAATCGATGTGATGTTTGTCCCACATAGAATTAGTTGCAATTGTTACAGTGAATTTTGTAAAGTACATTGAAAATGCCAAGGGTAAATATCATACACACACTTATATAACTGGGAGAAGTACACAACAATGGTCAACACTACTTATTTTCATTGCATACATAGAAGCCTTAGCAATAAAGGATTCCAGAAGGATTCCTAAAGATTTATGAGTTTTCCCTACAATTATTGCCCTACTAATTACAGAACCTTTAAAAGGACTTACGTTGAAAGATGCCAAAGCCTCAATAACACTTTTCTCAATAAATTCGTCTGTGATTCTACGGGATGGATGTTCATTGAAGACTGAGTTCATCAGTGCAATTTTTGCAGCACTTCTCCTGGCTTCAGCCTTCGTTGGACAAAACTGAAGTGGGGTTGGAGAAGAATACAAGGCAGATGTAAGAACAGAAACTATATGGGTAAGTTAAAGTTATCCCTAAATTTTAATTGTGCTGCAAAAGGCACTATTGAATTGCTGTTCTCTCATAGGCTGCAAGTGTACATGCTGAAAGTCAGCATGTACATTTACAGAAATTCCACAGTAATATTTGTCCATAAAATTAATTGGTTTAAAACCAAACTCCAGCTACTTGATCCTAAACACCCAACGCTATTTCCAAGTGTTCGGATATCCCTGTTTATTTTGGATGCCTGCTTCAAATCCCACAAACGGAATAATTTAGCCAAAAATCTTTGCTGCTTTAGGCTCTGTTAAGCCCAGGATTTGGAACAGCTGAGGATTACAGCATTCTTGAAACTTATTGCTGATATTATGCAGTTAAAGGTGCCACACACTTTGAATTTTTCACATTTACAGTACAGTAAATATACAGTACAGTACACTGCTATGTCTCATAGCTTGTCTTTTCATTAAAATAAAGGCTGTTCAAAACTAAAGGTATTTTCATCAATTCCACCTGACTAGGATTCCATAATTTTTTTTTCTTTTTATGACCCTTCAAACTCTTTCTTTGGGGGGGAGTTGGGGCGACTAGGTGGAGCTGAGCGTTTACTGGCTGGATGCCCTTCCTGACGCCTACGCGGAGTTCACAGCAGATATTTTCTCTTTGCGCCCTGTTAGAGAAACATCTGTCGCTGCAGAGGATTGAACTCTCAACCTTCCAAGTGAGAGGTGAGACTCTTTACCTCTAGGCCAGGAGTCTGCAACCTTAAACACTCAAAGAGCCACTTGGACCCATGAGGGGTGGGGAGCTTGATTGAAGAGTTTAATTAAAAAGAAATAGAGGCTGCTGTGTATGAGTTCTCTCTCTCTCTCTCTCTCTTTCCTCTCCCTCTCTCTCTCTCTCCCTTTTTCTCTTTCCCCCTCTTTCTCTCTCTTTCTCCCTCTCTCTCTTTCTCTCCCTCTCTCTCCCCCCCCTCTCTTTCCCTCTCTCCAATCTTCTGCTCACCTGGCAAACTGGCTTCAGGCTCTTCTCCAACAAGCTAACACACATTGTTATTGGGCTGGCTCTCTCCTGCCCTTCCTGATTCCTGCAGAGGCGCAGCAAAGGGAGGAGCCCCGCCCAATAAGCTTGTCAGCTCGTCAGAGAACAGCGTGAAGCCACTCTTTTTTACACACACACACACACACAGAGAGAGAGAGAGAGAGAAAGAGGGAGGAAGTGCAAGTGCCTCTCTCTGTGCAAATGGCAGAGGAGGCTGGAAGCCGCAGGAGAAGGCTCAAAGAGCCACATGCGGCTCCAGAGCCGTGGTTGCCGACCCATGCTCTAGGCCATCACACCGTTCAAGTCTAAGATTCGATAAATGAGACAATCTAACCTGAAAACTGCCAAAACAGCTCCCTCCTGGCAATGTAACATAGCAAATGTAAGGAGGACTGTTGGATGGAACCATCTCGTAAACCACCAGAGCGCCATTTTTCAGATCAGCACCACGTGATTGCTTCATCTGCCAGAATTCCTGAAGCGCTTCAACAACATTGACTGAAAAGAGAAAAGCAGAGTCCATCAGAATATTAACAATTATTTACACACACAGCTACAACATAAAAGCTTTCCCGATCATTGCTGCAATTGAAGAATCCAGAGAGCTACTACAGATAAGTTTTCAATTTGCAACCACAATTGGGTTCACTGTCGTAATTGCGGAACCAGGTTAATAAGTAGCCCAGGGAAGTTCATCTTAATTTTGAATGGTCGTTAAGCGATCGATCGTAAGTCAAGGACTACTTATAGAAAAAAATGCTCCTCTAGGAAGTCCACCCAGCTTCTAAAATTAATTCATATATAAACACTACAATTTTTAAATAATAACTAAAAGAACCAAACAGAAAACTCAAAATCAAGGTTGAATTAAATGCTGGACATAATACACTAACTAAAGATAATCTATTTTTAATCTTCTAAAATGCTTTTTCAAATGAAAAACCAGAAATTTCAATACTAATGTTAATAAACACCTCGGCGTAACAAAACTCTGACCCTGAGCCTCTACAGCAGGGGTGTCAAACTCACAATGTCACGTGACGTGTCGTGACGTATCGTGACTTTTTCCCCATTGCAGGAGCTGGGGTGGGCGCAGTTTCGACATGCCGCATCGGCCCATGGGCCGGCAGTTTGACACCCCTGCTCTACAGCTACTTTAAGTTAGCATTTACTATTTCTAATGTAGAACATATAGGTAATCTCAACTTACAACAGTTTGTTAAGTGACCGTTCAAAGTTACAAGGGCACTGAAAAAAGCAACTTGTGACCCTTTTTCAGTTATGATCTTTGCAGCATCCCCATGATCATGTGATCAAAATTCAGATGCTTGGCAACTGGTTCATATATATGACGGTTGCAGTGTCCCAGGGTCATGTGATCCCCTTTTGTGACCTTCTGATAAGCAAAGTCAATGGGGAAGCCAGATTCACTTATCAACCTTGTTACTAACTTATCAAGTGCAGTGATTCATTTAACAACTGAGACAAGAATGGCTGTAAAATGGGGCAAAACTCACTTAATAAATGTCTCGCTTAACAACAGAAATTTTGGGCTCAACTGTGGTCGTAAGTCGAGGACTACCTGTGTACTAAATATTTATGGATCCTAAGCAAGGGAAGAAATACCAGCTGGAAAGTACAACTCTTCCGTATAAGAAAATCCTCATGTGAAGGAAAAGAACAAAAATCTCTAAAAATGCTCACGAAGAAAAGTGTTTCTTTCCTACACTTCCTGCTACCAAAGTTCAAATATTTACAGTCAGAAATCACACGTGTTCTTTATAAACACTGTTTACTCTCTTGGTCCCAAACTCTGGTCCTTGCCTTGCATATGACACACATCTGACTTGCATATTTAAGAAAGGGTAAATGATTCCATATGGCCTTGCAGGCTTTCAGAGCCAGAAAAGGAGCTCTAAGTCAAGCTATAGACTGCCTGCCAAGCATTTACTGTTTAAAATGTACAAAACAGCATTCACTGGATGCGCTCCATGCTACCCAACTGCCACTTAAGCAAACAATTGTAGCCAACGACCTCAATATGAAAACAATTTTTTTCCTGAGAATCGTTATAAAACACCCTAGTATTTCTTTCTCTATCCCTACATGTATTTCTTAAAACAATCAAATAGATTTTGAGAAAATAATTGACAGAACTTTACAACAGAATTCCAGAACAAATAGTTTGCAGTTCAAACGTGTTCCAAACTTTAGGGTTAGTACCGCTTTAAAAAGCCTTGGCAAGAGCACATTTGGAATATTGCCTCCGTTTTTGATCGGGACAATATGAAAAAAGATGTTGAGACTCTGGAAAGAGTGCAGAGAAAAGCAAGAGAGATGATCAGGGGGCTGGAGGCTAAAACATACAAAGAATGGTTGTTGGAACTGGATATGTCTAGTCTAGTGAAAAGAAGGACCAGGGATGATATGAAAGCAGTGTTCCAATATTTGGGGGGCTGCCACAAAGAAGAGGGAGTCAATCTATTTTCCAAAGCACCTTAAAGCAGGATGAGAAGCAACAGATGGAAACTAATCAAGGAGAGGAGCAACCTAGAACTAAGGAGAAACTTCCTTACAATGAGAATCAGTGGAACAGCTTGCCTTCAGAAGTTGTGGGTGCTCCATCATTGGAGGTTTTCAAGAAGAGACTGGACAGCCCCGTCTGAAATGGTATAGGGTCTCCTGCTAGAGCAGGGGGTTGGACTAGAGGACCTTCAAGGCCCCTTCCAACTCTGTTTTTCTGCTGTTCTGTTAACTGAAGGTTTTTGCTCCAAACTCTCAGAAGTGAAACCCATGTACAGGTAGTCCTCAACTTACGACCACAATTGAGCCCAAATTTTCTGTGGCTAAGTAAATTATGCCACATAGTCCTTTACGACCACAATTGAGCTTTCTGTGGCCATAGTTGTTAAGTGAAGTCACTGCACTGTTGACAAATTGGTAATCTGGTTGGTAAATGAATCTGGCTTCACCATTGATTTTGCTTGTCAAAAGGTTGCAAAATATGTTATGACCGGATGAATTTCTCCAGCCACACAATGTGGTATTGAGCAAACTGTCTTTTCTTTACTCATCATAATCATGAAAAGGTAATAAAATTGAAAAACTACACAAAGTCAACAGTGCAGTCTGCTTCATAATGACTATTATTAAAGCAATCTCAGATGTCGCACGTCAAGATGGACGGAAACAGAAGCCTAAAGAAGCTGTGATCAGAAGCACAGGCCTGCATCAAACAGCCTGCTAAAAAAGGAAGCCTATCATTATAATGTTGAATTTAAGAGACCACAATTATATGGTCCAACTTTCTGCAATCTTCAGTAAAAACTAAACCATCCTTGACAGACGGTCCCTCTTAACAACCTACAAAGATGAAGAGTTCACCACCTTGACACATGTTCACCTATAAAGCCACTTGACAGGAGTGAGTCCATGCAGGCTGACGCTCTGTTCTCGTCTCTGCTGCCTTTATCACCAACAATGAAATGCATCCTAGTCTATCTCAGGGGAATGGTCTGCACATTGGATAGCCCCATGTTCAGAAAAATGTTCCACGCGTGATCAGAAACGCAGCACCCCAATGAGAAAAGCACCCTGCGTGTGTTCACAGGCACAGCCTTCATAATTAACCAATGACCCCTGCTCCAGGTCTACGACCACTCGCCACAGCCAACTGGTCATGGTTGACTTCACTGCAGCCAGCTCAACGCAGCACAACTTGCCACAGGACAAGAGTTACCCTAATATCGAAGAAATAGTCAAACAGAATCATTAAAGAAAGGATGCCAAAGGAGGCACAAATGTGAACGACAAAACTTAAAAAGTATTTAATTACTTTAAAAAAACTGAATTGTTGAATTCTCCTGTAGGTTGTCCCATGGCAAGTTGTCCTGCAGTGAGTTGTCCATGCCGAGCTGTCCCATTCCACCTTGCTCCCACTTCCCTAAGCCATTACAGGTAGTCCTCGACTTACAACCATTCGCTTAGCGACCGAAGTTACAAAGAGTGCTGAAAAAAAGGCAATTGACCACTTTTTCACCCTTACAGCTGTTGCAGCATCCCCCAGTCACTTGACTGTGCCCCGGGGTCACGTGACTTCCTTTTGCACATGTTTTGACACGCCAAATGGGGAAGCCAGATTCACGTTGTGAAAAAACAACTCCTGCGACGTTTGGTTTACAACATTTAAGCACTGTTGTAACTTTGAACGGTCACTAAATATGTGGTCGCAGTCAAGGCGCTGGGCCACTGAGTTCGCATTTATGACCGTTGCTGTGCGTCCCAAGAGCCACGTGATCCCCTTTTGCGACCTTCGGCCAAGCCAAGGGGGAAGCCAGATTCACTTAACGACCGCGTTACTAATTCAATGGCAGGGCTTCCCTTAACGACGGTAATAGTAATAGTAGTAAAGTTGGAAGGGACCTTGGAGGTCATCTAGTCCAACCCCCTGCTCGGGCAGGAAACCCTACACCATTTCGGACAAATGGCTGTCCAGTCTCTTCTTAAAAACTTCCAGTGATGGAGCATTTACTGCTTCTGGAGGCAAGCTGTTCCACTGATTAATTGTGGCCAGGAAGGTCGCAAAACGGGACAAAACCTCCCTCAACGAGCAAGGGAAAGGTGGGGGGGGGGCGGAGTGTGGTCGTAAGTCGAGGACTACCGGCGTCTAACGGGCCTGCAGGCCGCTCCCCGTCCCCCTCGACCCAGGAGCAGCCCCGTTGAGGGGGTGAAGCCGAGGGGAGCCGGCCTTCTGCCCCGGGTGGGGCGGGGGGCGGGCGCGGCTCCTCACCGCGGCCGTATCCCTGCGTGTGCTTGGCGAAGCTCCGGACCACGGCCTCGACGGCCTCCCTCAGGACGGCGGGCGGCCCCGCGGCGGCTCCTCCTCCTCCCGGGGGGCTCGAGGCGGCGGCCCCGGCCGTCACCCCGGGCAGGAGGGAGGGCGGGGGCGGCGGCGGCCCCAGCGTGAGCGTCAGCCCGAGCGGCGGCGGGGGCGGCGGGAGGGGCGGCGCCGAGGCGGCCGAGGGGAGCAGCGCCCCCGCCGTCACGCCGGGCCGCAGCGAGCGCAGGGTCCCGCCGCCGACGCCCGGCTGCAGCCGCTGGACGCGGAGCGACTCCATCCCTGAGGCGAAGAGACGCGGCGGCCGCGCGCAGCTCCCTCCCCCCCCCGAGGTGTCAAGCGTCGCTGCGCGGCCCCCGACCAATGGCAGAGCGCCTTCTGCGGCGGGAGGCGGGCTCTCCCGCCCTCTTGCCCAATCGTCGTCGTGAGTCTCTCAAAAGCGGGGAGACTGACGGCCGAGTTGCCGTTGGGAGGCCCCCCCATTAGCCAATGGGAATCGCGGGCGGGCGCTCCGGAGGCTACGCAACATCTCCCCTCCCGACCTCCGTCGGCAGGAGCCAATCACAAAGCTGGGATGGATTTGACCCTCGCGCGCTCCTGTAGCGGAGGCGGAAGTGGAGGTGTTTACCTCTCCTCCACGGCCCGACAGTCGGGCCAGGGCCGAGGCGGTCGGCCAGGCGGAGGCTGCTTGGTCGCTTCCTCCTTATTCGGCCTCCGCGATGGATTCCTGGGTCCGTTTCAGCGCCCAAAGCCAAGCCAAGGAGCGGGTGTTCAGGTTTGCGCGAGCGAAGGGCGGTGGGTGGAAATCCCGGAGTACAGGCAGTCCTCGACTTACGACAGTTCGCTTAGTGACCGTTCAACGTTACAACGGCACCGAAAAAAGGGACTGGGGGCCGTTTTTCACACTTAACGACCGTTGCAGGGTCACGTGATCCAAATTTGGACCCTTGGCCGCCGACTCCTATTTATGACCGTTGCAGTGTCCCAAAGTCACGTGATCTCCTTTGGTGACCTTCTGACAAGCAAAGTCAATGGGGGAAGCCAGATTCACTTAACAACCGGGTGACCAACTTAACAACTGCAGGGATTCACTTAATAACGAACAAGAAAGGTCGTAAAAAGGGGCAAAGCTCACTTAACAAATGTCTCACTTAACAGCAGAAATTTCCAGCTCAGTTGTGGTCATAAGTCGAGGACTTCCCTGTACTTTATTTTTAAAAATCATGGGATGCATTTGGTTTCAGTTGAGTTAATCTCGGAAGGGATCAAGAGAAGAGAGTATTTGTGGCTCAGGATTGACCTTTGGGGTCCTTGGTGCTCTCTGAGTTTGGTGCTTTTCCTGCAGAAATGTTAATATCAAACTACTTAAAGGCAGCTGCCCCACTGATTCCAGTTGTGCTTTGTATTGCAAACAGGGACTTGCACGTAACTAGGCCACAACAACAACAGTGGCAACCCTTGCTTTCTTTTCCTCTTGGTGTTGCTTTTCTCTCGTCCTCACCCCATGGATGAAAGAGGCGTAGGTGCCCTTAACTCTGTCATCCACATTTTTATCTTTTGCCCCAACCCACACTCCGCCACTTCTTCAAAGAGAGTTTTAGGGTGGCTACCTTGGAAAGAATTTGGATGTCTGGAAACTGAGGCAACGAAAACAGCATGGATATCGGCAATGAGGGCATCAAATCTTATGCTGATAGAAGATAGCAAAAATGCTGCGGTTTGTTCCTAAAAGTGGATCCCCAATTTCCTTCCTTCCTTGTTTACTTAGGTGTATGTAATCGCATAGGGCAGGGGTCTTCAAGCTTGGCCCTGGAACTCGGCACTGATCCTGACGCTTCTGCTGAGCCCAGAAGAAGCGCCGATCGGCTGGAATGTTGCAGCATCTCCAGGGTCTTGTGATTTACATTCAGATGCTTGACAACTGATTCATATTTATGACGATCAGTGTCCCAGGGTCATGTGAAGTGACCAAAACCTGTTGCAACCACCCAGCAGACGGGGGGAATAAAAACCAAACACCCCCCACCAACACCCCCGCTGCCAATCCTCAACAGAAATGCTCACAACAATGAAAACCTCAGACAGGAGGAAGAGCGCAGCCGGGCAGGCAGGTGTGTCTTGCTCGGCTGTGGCTTGGGGGGCATTTTTTTCAGGGCCATTGTAACTTCAAACAGTCACTAAGCGAACTGTTGTAAGTCGAGGACTACCTGTACTTTATCACTTTTGTCCTTTTTTTTTTTTTTGGTCATCAAGTTTTTGATTCCTTGCTAGATGACTGGTGGTACTCGGATGTTGCCACATCCTAAAAGTGGTACAATGGGTGAAAAGGTTGAAAAGCCCTGCTTTAGCTAACACATCTCGTTTGGATCTCTTTAACTGTTCTTGTATTCTGTCCAGAGCTGCCCAGTATGCCTGCACTCTACTAAGCTATGCCCTGCAGAAGAATGGCGCTGGACCGGATTTTCTTGCTAGGATTAAGCAACTGGAGTCTCATCTGAGTTTGGGACGCAAGCGTAAGTGTGGCGGGAATTGACTGGGGTGGGAGGGCAGAGTTGCAGCAGGCATTTTGGCCCTAAAAGGGCAAGAAGGTGGGGGGGGAGAGAAAGGGAATTTGCTGCTGAATCGGAAGCAGCCGCAGCTATCAAGGGAAAGCAACAAGGGAGATAGCAGGAGGAACAAAGAAACAGGCAGAGAAGAGATGGAGTTTGTAAGGAGGTTGAGAGGCATGCAGTGCCAAAGCTGGCTATGCCCCCTGCATTTTTGCATTTTATATTATAAACTAATAAAAAAGAAAATTGATAATAAAAAAAGTAATTGCTTGCCATTCCACCCAGCCTATTTCAAGGCCTCTGTAAGGACCCACCCCACTTTGCATCTTAAGAAGACAGAACTCTTGGAATAGTTCTTCCAACAGGCATCCTTTATTAAGAGAAAATGGTTGCAGGCGTTCTAGACAGGACTTGGGTCCAAGCTCTCCCATTCAAGGTTTTAAGGGGTTCCCCAGTAGCCCCACCCAATCACCCCCTTCTTCCAGCGACAGTCTCAGGCATTACACTCCCACCCCCTTTTCCTTATTGCCAGCTGGAGGGAGATTTCAGAGAGGAGTACATGAAAGGTAATAGCCCCATTGTTATGGTTAGTCCTTTTGGTGCTATCCACATCCAGTTCCTTTGAAGTGTACCGAAGGAAGTGAGGGCCATACAGCCCCTTTGTTCACCCCCCTTCCCCTTCATCGTATGACAGAATCCAGAGAAGGCAGAAATGGGGTTTTCTGTAGTTGATAACTAGAGATGAAATATAATTGGATTCTGACAGCCTCTCTCTTGGCGAGCTGTGAAAATAAGCCAGGGTGGATTGTGCACGTCTGTGACTCTGGCCTTCCTTTTCAGTATTCCGGCTGGGGAACTCTGCTGACGCTCTGGAGGCAGCCAAAAGAGCCATCCACCTGTCGGATATTGTCCTTCGTTTCTGCATCACAGTGAGCCATTTGAACCGAGCCATGTACTTCGCCTGTGACAACATCCTGTGGGCGGGGAAATCGGGTCTCGTTCCACACATGGACCATGAGAAGTGGAGTCAGCGGTCATTCAGGTGAGGTGGAAGCCCCTCCCTCCGAGCTTTGACCTCTGCTTGAGGGCTCTCAAGTTGTGGAGGAAATGGCTAATTCAGTTCCGAGAACGCAAAGCAAGTCTTATCAAATTAAGAACTTTGAAGTGCTCTTTAAAAACTCATTTCCTTAGACCACAAAGAGCTTTCAAAAGCAATCCTTTAAACCACTGGTAGGCAACCTCGGCTCTTTTATGACTGGTGGACTTCAACTCCCAGGATTCCTGAGTCATAGCTGACTCAGGAATTCTGGGAGTTGAAGTCCACCAGTCATAATAGAGCCGAGGTTGCCTACTCCTGCTTTAAACAATGATGTACAGATGTTGCATGCCTATAATTGCTAAAGTCCAATTTAGATGGCAAGGGGAACTTTGGATTAAGAAGCTTTTACACACACACATATAAGAAGCCTGGGAATTTTATGTATGGCTTTTGAAATATTAGGCTGACTTTGAAAGATGAAAGCAGCGTATATATCAGTGGTGGCGAACCTATGGCACGGGTGCCAGAGGCGGCACTGAGAGCCCTCTCTGTGGGCATGCGCACCGTCGCCCCAGTCCTAGGTCTTCAGCTGGGTTTTATAAAACCTTTTCGCTTTAGGCCGCCGTGTACAAAAAAAAAAAAAAAAAGGTTCAATCAGTCAATTTCAACTTCTCACGGGAAAAAAAAAGACCTTGCAAAGTTGGAATTGATTGAACTTTTTAGTCCCACCCAGTCTGCCGTTACCACCGCAGCCACACCCACCCAATGGGCCACACCTACCCAATGGGTCACACCCATCCGGCACCCAATGATGCATAAGTGGGTTTTGGGTTGCAGTTTGGGCACTCGGTCTCTAAAAGGTTCGCCATCACTGGTGTGTGTATGTATGTATGTATGTATTTATGTAGGTCTTTGGTTATTCGGGTTTTCTCCCGCGTAAAACTGGAAGTGTCTTGGCGACGTTTCAACGAAGTCCCATTCGTCATCTTCAGGCTGGTGTTTTCAGCTTCGTGCTTCAAGGAGCAATGTGTGGTCTTAGCTGTTTCTTCCTTCCTATTTATTATTTTGCTCTTTCTTCACATCCTTTCCAGATATTACCTCTTTGCGCTGATCATGAACTTGAGCCGGGATGCCTATGAAATCCGTCTCTTGATGGAGTGCGAGATGAACGCCAAGTCTCATAAAGGAAGCTGCAGAAATGGCAGGTCCGCCCCGGGGGAGGACCATCGCTCCCACCAGCTGGCCCAGAGGCTGAAGCTGCAGCTCTGTCTCCTGGCCCAAGTGCTGCAGAACAACCCTCCGCTGCTCCTCGACGTGATGAAAAACACCTGTGACATTTTCATTCCTTTGGACAAGCTGGGCATGTACAAGACCAGTTCTGGTTTCGTGGGTCTTTGCGGCCTGACCTCCTCCATCCTCTCCATCCTCACCATCCTCCACCCGTGGCTGAAGCTGAAACCTTGATTGGCGCTGATCAGCCTGGCTAGCTGAAGTTCTTCCCTTCTTTTCCCAGTCCGGAAACTAGGCTGGGAAGCTAGTACGTAACATGGCAGACTCAGCCAGCCAGGCCCTGCTTGGGAAAAGGGGTTCCTCTGAAGTGGGGGGGGGGGGGCTTTGGAGAAAGGAGCCTTAAGTTGAGCCCAACAGGTTGACTAGCAACTCTACAAATGGACCTTGTGGGGGCCTTTAGTATTTGGGTTATCAGGCTGGGGATAACCGAAACAACGTTGTCATGTCCTATTTATTCCGGAAGAAACAAACGAAGAAAAACTGCACTAGCCATGTTGTAGATTAATGAAGATCTCCCTGATATGATGTTATGTTGCTTCTCAGCTAGAGACTGGGAACAAACCACGTTTGTTCCCTGTGTTCAGGGTCTCTTGGCTTTTAATTCATAGTTGGGATGGCCAGAGGCTTGAGGACCTGAAAAATAAACGTTTTGACACCAAGACTGACTCTCATTTGTTAATAGGGATATAGGACTTACAGGTCAGTGTTGTGATCTATGGCACTATTTACTCGTCTTGAATTATTTTCCTTCTTCAAAAAAGTAAACATTTTAAAATAAAGTTAACCACTGAAATATAAGTAGTGGGAGCTAAATGTAACCACGTTATTTTTTCCCCCTCATATATTCTGTTTTTTTATAAGTCCGGTTGTCACGACTGAACTTCCAGACAACTTTACCTGGGTGACTGAAAATCTTCATCAACATACTTATAGGACACAGGTAGTCCTTGACTTACAACAGTTCATTTAGTGACCGTTCAAAGTTACAATGTCCACTGAAAAAAGTGACTTATGACCATTTTTTACACGACTGTTGCAGCATCCCTCACGGTCACATAATTTACATTTGTATGTTTGACAACTGGCTTGTTGTGAGTCCGTGCCAGTCAGTGGACCCGGCAGTTGAGTCTGGGGAATCAGAGGAGGAGGAGGGGTCTGGACAGCCATCAGAGTCGGAGGAAGGTTCTGGTGAGCTCCAGGATTTACAATCTGGTGAAGAGCCTGGCCCCTCCAATATGCTCAGGCTATGCGGGGAAGCTGAGTCAGACTCTGAGGACTCACAACTGGAAGACATCATAGACGCCACAAACCCAGACAGGCAACAAGAGCAGAATAGAGGGAGGCCATGGGGGGACTCCAAGGGAGGAGGAGAAGGCATTGAAAAACCACACTGTGGGGCTGCATAATAAAAAGGGAAGGTGTGGGCGGTGCTGGTTGCTGAAGGCAAGTCCGTTGCAAAGGACTCAAGTTTCATGGAATTGTTTTGTTTGCCTTGCTTGTAACCAATTCTCCATTTGCATCGTGTTTTGTTTGCCTTTGCTTTTGGGACATTTTGCAGGTCTGTACCTAATTAATAAAAGGGGTTTGTTTTCCCTGCATTTCCAGCCTACTTGTTAAAAGAGGGGTTTGTCCTTGTAAGTTAACAAGGACTCACATAGGCTGGGACAGAACATGGCTCACATTTATGACGGCTGAACTATCCCTGGGGTCAGGGGATCCCCTTTTGTGACCTTCTGGCAAGCAAAGTCAAGGGGGAAGCCAGATTCACTTAACAACCGTGTTGCTAACTTAATAACTACCATGATTCACTTAACGACTGTGACAAGAAAGACTGTAAAATAGGGCAAAATTAACAAATGTCTCGCAACATACATTTTGGGCTCAACTGTGGTCCTAAGGTGAGGACTACCTGTACATGGTTATAAAATTTGATCCATGTGTTTCTTTAGGCAGATTTTCACAATGTCTTTTTGAGATGAATAATATATATAATATCCTTGTGCTTATTCCCCTTTCAACTCCTGTTCATCGGGGCCTGTACAGGAAAACCTGGATTCTATTATTGGATTTCTGATTCCAGGAACACTTTTACTCCCTAACAAAGTTCAGCACTTATTTTATGCCTTCTATGACTGACAGATGAGGGAAGGACATGCCGTCCTCAACTTACGACAATTGAGCCCAACATTTCTGTTGCTAAGTGAGACGCTTATTAAAGTGAGTTTTACCTCTCTTTTTTTGCCACAGTGGTGAAGCGAATCCCTGCCGTTCTTAAAGTCAGTTGCACGGTCGTTAAGCGAATTTGGCTTCTTCCCCATTGACTTTGCTTGTCAGAAGTTTGCCAAAAGGGATCACGTGATCCCGGGACACTGCGACGGTCATAAATAGGAGTCAGTTGCCAAGCGTCTGAATTCTAATCACGTGGCCACGGGGATGCTGCCATGGCCGTTAAGTGTAAAAAACGGTCCTAAGTCACTTTTTCCAGTGCCGTTGTAACTTCGAACGGTCACTAAATGAACTGTTGTTAAGTCGAGGACTATATCTGTAATGTAAACCCCAGAGACAAGCAAAAGCTAAATAAGACTCGTCATCTTTTGGCAACTGAGCAATGGCTGGAACACAGGCGCCCCACTCTCCAAAACAAAAGCCAAGGAGTGTTGGAGCCAAACATCTGCCAGGCAACTCCAGATGCATCAGCTGGACTCTGGAGGGCTGCCCAGGGCATCCTCCTGCTTTCCAGGTGTTTGAGCATCCTCGGCCGTTCAGGGGGGAGACAAGTTCAGCCACTGCCGGAGGGCGTACTTGGTACCGGTGCTGACTTGCTCCACGTCCTCCCCTTGTGCTGTGGCCAGGAAGGTGGCGGTGGGGATTACCAGGGTCTTGGTTGAGCCCTTCTCCAGTTCCACGATGCTGCTTACAAAGAGAGACAAGATACACAGAGATCTTTAAATGTGGGGAAGGAGGGAGACCAGTCTGCCCCTCGTCTCCCCCACCCTAAATTCCTTGCTAAAAATGAACGAGATCTGTCAAAGTTTGACCCCCATTAGTTCAAACGAGGAGGAGTGAGAAGCTATTAATTCAACAGACCTCTCCGTTTGCATGGCAACAGACCAATCATATATTTATACACTTGTAAACCAAATGGTAAAAAGAGACATTTATCTGTTGGGAGGTTCGGAGAAGAGCTAGAGCAGAAAGAGGAGAGACTTTGGACAAATCTTTAGTAATTGCCTGCCAATATGAAGGGCAAATTATTCAGAACGTTATCGATTGAAAAGCCTTAATAGCCCTTTCGTTTTACTAAAGGAAAAAATACTGATGTTCCGAAGAATCCAGTTTATCTACCTAAGACAGTGGTTCTCAACCTGTGGGTTGGGACCCCCATTTGGGGTCGAACGACCATTTCACGGGGGTCGCCAAACAACGCAGTCCGCCATTTTTTTCCCCCTTTTCCTTAGCTGTGCTGCTCCCTTTTATTCTATTGGCTTTTGAAAGCCAATAGAATAGACTCTCTTGAATCGAGTCTAATTCTATTGGCTTTCAAAAGCCAATAGGAATTGTCCAGGCTGTCTCTGCCCTGCTGAGCCCGCCAAAAGTCCCATTCTGCAAACGGTGCTGCACTAGTTGAGTAGTCCTCGACTTACGACCGGTTGAGTAGTCCTCGACTTACGACCGGTTGAGTAGTCCTCGACTTACGACCGGTTGAGTAGTCCTTGACTTATGACCAGTTGAGTAGCCCTCGACTTACAACCGGTTGGGGGTCACGGCGTTAAAAAGATTGAGAACCACTGACCTAAGAGAAGGAACCAATACTGATGGGCCAAACTATGTTTCCTTCAGCCAGCTTATGAGGACTAGACCAGGGGTCCCCAACTCCTGGACTGCGGGGCCACTACCGGGACGCGGCCTGTTCAGAACCAGGACGCGGGAGAAATGGGCAAGCACACACGTGTGAAGTTCCACTCGTGAGTGGAGGGCGGGCACGACGCTCGCACAAATGGAGCAGTGCGCCCACCTGCCACTCAATGGCCTCCCTCTTTGCCAGGCCACCACACTGGAAAGGTTGGGGACCGCTGGACTAGGCCCTTGGCTCTTGCTTTCAAACTAGACAAGCCGGGATGCTCTTCCCTGCCACGTACCTGACAGTGGGCGGTGCCCCCCTGCCCGCCCCTGGGATCTCGCCTTCTGCCCCGTCCTCCGTAGCCACAATGGATGCCAGGGTGGGGCGGTCCAGCCAAGCGACAGCGCTGACCTCGGCTTCGTTGGGCTTCAGCCTGGCCTATCGAGAGATGTGGATCAATCTGCAATTCAAGCATCAAGACAGCGTTCCTCTTCTCTATCTCTCCCTCCACAAGAGACAACAAGGCCATTAATTCATTGCCATTAATTCATTGCTGCTGATTAAGCATCCAGCACCAGGCTGAAGCTGCCCTTCGCTGCACGGACTCCTGCTGGTAGCGGTCCAACTGGGAGAGTGCGGGAGAACCATTTAAATCTCATCTCCTTATCATTAAATGGCTTCTTTTGAACATTGCAGTCTCCAATCCCGTGTGCAGACGTTTCACCGTAAGAAATTACCCCAAATTACAAAACTCTAATTAAACATTACAATTGAGAAGCAGCTCTGGAGCTTCACGCTTAGCCTGTTGGTAAACTCAGGAAGATTGTGGCTTAGGTAACAAACCATGGTTCAAATAAGATGGCTTTAAATATAACCTCGGGAGGTGGGGGCAATTTGCTGCTATCCTCTAGTCCAGTGGTTCTCAACCTTTTTAATGCCGCGACCCCCAACCGGTCATAAGTCGAGGACTACTCAACCGGTCGTAAGCCGAGGACTACTCAACTGGTGCAGCCCCGTTTGCAGAATGGGACTTTTGGCGGGCTCAGCAGGGCAGAGACAGCCTGGACAATTCCTATTGGCTTTTGAAAGCCAATAGAATTAGACTCTATTCAAGAGAGTCTAATTCTATTGGCTTTCAAAAGCCAATAGAATAAAAGGGAGTAGCACAGCTAAGGAAAAAGGGGAAAAAAAATGGCGGACTGCGTTGTTTGGCGACCCCCGTGAAATGGTTGTTTGACCCCAAATGGGGTCCCGACCCACAGGTTGAGAACCACTGCTCTAGTCCCTAAGGCATCAGGCTGGCCTGACTTTGGGCTGCTTGCTCTCAGCCCAGCCTACCTCTGTGTTGTGGGATCAAATTAAAGGAGAGCCCGATGCACGTCATCTCGGGCTAAGGAAAGGTGAATCCAATCAGTGGAATTAATGCCAGGAGCTGTAGTGGTGCAGTGGTTTAGGAGGCTGACTCTGCCCACTGCCAGCAGTTCGATCCTGACCAGCTCAAGGTTGACTCAGCCTTCCGTCCTTCCGCGGTCGGTAAAAGGAGGACCCAGATGGTTGGGGGAAAGATGCTGTAAACCGCTTAGAGAGGGATATAACGCACTATGAAGCACTATGTAAGTCTAGGTGCTATTAAAAGTAAGAAGACGCTTCTGCTCCAAACACCTCGGTGGGGAGGGGAGCGTGGCCAACGTGCCCCACTCACCTGGAGCTGCTGGTGGCTCTCGTGCAAGGCCAAGTGCAGGTAGATCACGATGTGGTGGCGCTGGGGCAAACCTTGGCTCAGCTGGGGAGGGTACACAGACTGCAGTGGGAGACAAGACAAGGTGAAATGGGATTGCAGTCGTGGCGAGTATCTGTAGCTCGGGCGGAGGATGAGGATGGAGGTTCATCCTCCGAGCTTCTGGGTTGGTTTCCAAACATTTCACTACGGAGCAATGCAAGAAGGTTTCACAGCAACACAAGACCCAATTCGCTGGAACAATGCAGGAGTCATCGGCCACGCTACCACCTGCCATGCACACGAGTTTATCGAAGCCTGGCACTCCACAAGCACTTCCATCAACAGACACAACGACCTACAAAGCCAATGAACCCCTCCGAATTCAAATCAACCGCACAGCCAATCAGGGACATTACTGACCCTCAAGCAACCCACATATTCCCCCCCCCAAACCAACACTTCACCTCCCAATGACCTTCACCTGATGTGACCTTCCCATCACAAGACCCTCAGCTGGCGTGACCCACACCTGACCCTTCACAAGAACTGGGGGGATCTTGGGGTTGTGTTACCTCCCAGAGGGCCAGCAGGTGCCAGGAGAATTCCCCATCCTGCAGCTGCAAGCCGGTCTCTTCCTCCAGCTCCCTCAGCCCGGCATCCAGCAGCTGCGGAGAAGAAAGGAACAAGGGTGGGGAGACAAGACACGTCCTGAAATTGATGGGCATCGGGGCTGCTGCACTCAGAAGAGAGCCTCTGACCATGGACAGAGTGCTCCCCATCCCACAGACCCCCTTGACTCAAGCTTCGATTCTCTCACCCTGCGTGCTGTCCCGCTCACTCAAATGTAACAGTGGTTTAGTGGGTTTATTAATATTCCCCAGAAATTCACCCAAATCTCAGAATTGTCCCAATGAAGTCCAGTCAAAAGCAGACCGGTGCTAGTCCACAGAACAGTGGCTGGTGAGTCTGCAAGGCACTTGAAAGTTTCCCAATCAAAATAAACCCTCCAGGCAAAATTAAATCCACAACACAAGCGGGGATCACGAGGCACAATCCAAGTCATGCACAGGGTTAATCCAAAGCAAGGCAGGAATCAACGACCAGAAAACACACAGCTAGGAAATGAACGTGTTGTTCCCCACATCATCTGTCTGCTGTGCTAAATAGCCAGTTTCTGGTGCAGCACATCAAGAGTGGCGAGGGTTTCTCCTCATGAGTAGTCGGGCTGACCTTCTCTGCTCCTGTCTTTTCTCTTGGATCGGGTGCAGAAGGCAGTTCCTCTTCATCACTGACCAGCTGCAGCTGCGTGCTTTCCCCACCTGAAGCCTCAGGGCTGTCCTGCTGCAGCTGCACTTCAGCTAAATCCCTCCCAGACGGCTGCTCGGAGCCACTGATCAACTCCCCTCCTGTGGTACCCAGAACTGGTTCATCCTCTGAACTGACCTCTGGAGAGGTATCTGGGGATGCGTTCGGGAGATCATAACACCCTAGGGTGTTTTTTGTATCTGCTGATGCAGAGACCACCACACCACATAGACTGCCCTCAATTCTTTTTTTAACCTTTTTCCAAGACAGAATTTCTTCTCCGAATCCCTCAGGCCTTCTCCCAACAGGCTTTCAGGATTCCAAGAGGGTTAGAAGCTTGCAAAATACTGGCCAGATTTCCCCCCCACCAAAGGCTCCCTAAAGTCATTCCTGGCCTTTGATGCTCTCTGGATTCTCCCTTTTTGGTTTTGATTTTAAAAAAAGGCCTTACCTCTTCCTCCAGTTCAATATGGCCGCCTGCAAGGGGAAAAAAAAAAAAAAACATCCAGTTTCTGCCCTCACCAGCTGCTTCTGAAAACTGGGATTCAGTACAGGTAATCCTTGACTTACGACCGCAATACAGCCCCAAATTTGTTGTTAAGTGAGACTTCATTTACGTGAGTTTTAACCCACTTTACAACCTTTCTTGCCACACTTAATAATAATAATAATAAAAAAGTTGGAAGGGACCTTGGAGGTCATCTAGTCCAACCCCCTGCTCAGGCAGGAAACCCTATACCATTTCAGACAAAGGGCTGTCCAGATTCACTTGTTAAATGAATCCTTGCAGTTGTTCAGTGACTGTTGTTAAGTGAATCTGGTTTCCCCACTGCTTCTCAGAAGATCGCAAAAGGGGATCACGTGACCCTGGGACACTGCCAACATCTGCATTTTGATCACATGACCAGGAAGATGCTGCAAAGGTCTTAGCTGAAAAAGATCCTAAGTCACTTTTCCCAATGCCGTTGTAACTTTGAACGGCCACTAAACGAACTGTTGTAAATCAAGGACTACCTGGGATCCCTTTTCTGTTTTATGTTACATAAAAAGGCTGAAATTGCTCAGAGGGCCCCAGTGCAAATACTGCTGAGGGCCAAGATTTCCATTTCTTTTTTTTTTTATAAACAATTTTTATTATTTTTCCATTTTACACCAACAGAAGCTTAAGAACCAGCGTGGAGATATGGTGGTCAACTACAAAAAAAACCCAATAACATTATATAGATACAATTCATACAATATTTCTTAAACCTTCCCTCTCTATCTATGTAGAAATTATCATCAATTAAATTCAAATAAATTCATTCATTAATATATCTAAATATAATCAATAAAAACTTTCAACTGCTCAATATCAATATAATAATCAAATTCATACAATCCTATAGCCAATTCCATCCCATCCTCTCGCACCCGATCCCTCCCCCCTTCAGTTCTTCTTACCAGGAGGCACCCAAGCAGTGGGGAAGAGGCTGAGTGTTCTCGCCCGGCGGGTCAACAAAATCTTTTGGTTCGCCGATTCCAGGAGAACGGCCACCCCGACATCCACCCCCTGGCACCGGCTCTCCGTGGGGAGGGAAGCCCTTTGCTCCACAGTCAAATGCTTGATGGGGCAGAACGGGGGGCGCTGGAAGAGAGAAAAAAATGCCTCTGGATCGTGGAAATGGAAGATTTCACCGTCATGATTACGGAGGGGGGGGGTCCTCAAATTATGGCTGGTTGTTTAACGATTTACGAGAGAAAGAAAAATGAACTCTCAAAGTTATGATGGCCACCTGATCTTTTGCCGTCACGTGGTCATATTTTGGGCTCTTGGCCTCTGGCTCGCATTTACACCCAGTTGTTGCGCCGTCCCACAGTCCCGGAATCACATTTTGCAACTTTTAAAAAACATTTTCCCACCGTTGGATAAGCTGGATTAGAATGGCTACCTTAACGACCATGCTAAAAATGGTCATAAAATGGAGTCCGGTCATGGGATGACTCGGCACAATGACTATAGGTAGTCTTCAACGTACGACCATAATGGAGCCCAGAATTTACGTAGCTCAGCGAGAAATTTGTTAAGTGAGTTTCGCCCCATTTTACGACTTTTCTTGCCACAGTTGTTAAGTGGCTCACTGCAGTTGTTACACGGTTGTTAAGCGAATCCGGTTTCCCCATTGACGTTGCTCGTCAGGTCACAAATGGGGATCACAGGACCCCGGGACCGTCATAAACATGAGTCAGTTGCCAAGCAACCAACTGTAAATCACGGGACCATGGAGACACTGCAACGGTCATTAGTGTGAAAAATTGTCACTTTTTTCAATGCGGTTGTAACTTCGAACGGTCACTAAATGGACTGTTGTAAGTCGAGGGCTCCCTGTATAAAATTCTCAGGGCCATCAAAGGCGGAGAAGCACCTCTGTTCTCTCCTGGGGGGGGGGGGATCAAACCCCTTCGCACCTTCAAGAGGAGTCTGGTGGAGCCAGGAAATTCCTGGTCAGAAACGAGGAACTGGAGGGGTTTGAGAGCGCAGTGCACGATGCCGCTGTCTTCGTGGGGGGGACAGCAGTGGCCAACGATGCTCTGCAAGGCAAAGACAGATTGTGACCCTTCCTGAAGCCATAACCCCTTTGATACCCAGCCTGGGGAGGGGGGGTCTCTCTGCAGAGGGAGCAGCTAGAATTTAAGTCATATTTAACGCGAACCAGAAGGAGGGCTGAGAAAATAAACTACATGTCCACATCCTGGACACAATCTGTTTCAACTTCTCCCCTCTGGACGCTGCTGTAGGGCATGGCATGCCAAAACAATCAGACACAAAGTGCCGTCACTCTGCTAAACACCTAATTCCCACAGCCCTGTCTTAGGCCTAAGGATATTTACCCATGTAGTAGGGCTGTATTGCTATTTTTTCTTTTCATCTTTCCTACTTCCTTCTCCTGTTGGTATTGGTATTTATTCCTTGTTGTTGTACCTTATGATTGTAACTATGATCTATGACCACTCACTCTGTTGTTGTATATACACTATTGTTGTATATACCTGCACTGGAGACAAATTCCTTGGGTGTCCAATCACACTTGGCCAGTAAAGAATTCTGTTCTATAAGGCATTCTATTCTATTCTACAAAGAATTCTGTTCTATAAAGAATCCTATAAAGAATTCTATTCTATTAAGAATTCTATTCTATTAAAATAAAGAATTCTATTCTATAAAGAATTCTATTAATTCTATTCTATAAAGAATTCTATTAAGAATTCTATTCTAATAAAGAATTCTATTCTATAAAAAATTCTATTCTATTAAGAATTCTATTCTAATAAAGAATTCTATTTGATAAAGAATTCTATTCTATTCTATAAAGAATTCTATTAAGAATTCTATTCTATTCTAATAAAGATTCTATTCTATTAAGAATTCTATTCTATTAAAATAAAGAATTCTATTCTATAAAGAATTCTATTAATTCTATTCTATAAAGAATTCTATTCTATAAAGAATTCTATTAATTCTATAAAGAATTCTATTAAGAATTCTATTCTATTCTAATAAAGAATTCTATTTGGCCAGCTCAGCCCACCAGCCCAGGGGAAATGGAAGGGTTTCATTCTGATCTGTCCATGGAGATTTCAAGGGACAGAAGTTCGAGGTGGCCTTGTCCAAATTGCCTGCAACTCTTTCATGGTTGCAAGATTTGGTTGTAGGATCTGCAGCAGTCCAAAGTGGTTTGGCTGGTTGCCAGGACCCAGGGAGCTCCATTGAGTTTGCCCACTGAGTTAAAGTTAATCCAGTGGCTGCATTTGATTTCTCAACCACTTGAGTTCATTCTTTCTTAAGTAAAGGTAAGTACAGTCCAACTTAAGTAAAGTCCAACCAGAGGATCCTACGCCATTCCGGACAAATGCTTGTCCAGACTTTTCTTAAAAACTTCCAGGGATGGAGCTACCCACAACTTCCGGAAGAAAGCTGTTCCACTGGTTAATTGCAAAAGGCGGCCTTACTAGGAACTGCTTCCATCCTGCGACGAGATCTGTAATAACATCAAACATCCACATCTGCCTATCCCAGGTCCTTGGGAAGGACTCGATAGGTAGACAAAATGCTAAATCCAGTCTGAACATCTGGTTGACTGTGCGATGATCCATAACAATAATAATAATAATAATATAATATGCAAAAATATCATTTGCCTGTAAGCAAAAACTGGTGGGATCATAAAATAGAGAAAGTCATAGAAAATGATAAAATTAAACTGCTCTGGGACTTCAGAATTCAAACAGACAAGCACCTGCAACATAACACCCCAGACTTAACAATTGTAGATAAGAAAGACAAAAAAGTCTGGATAGTGGACGTGGCAGTGCATGGAGATAGCAGAATAGAAGAGAAAGAACTGGAGAAGATAACAAAATACAAAGACCTACAAATAGAAATAGAAAGATTGTGGCAAAAGCAAGCAAGGATAGTACCAATAGTGATAGGCTCCTTGGGTGCAATCCCAAAACAACTGGAGCACCACTTGAACACCATTGGCATTGACAAATTCGCTATCAGTCAATTGCAAAAGGCGGCCTTACTAGGAACTGCTTCCATCCTGCGACGATATCTGTAATACCATCAAACATCCACATCTGCCTATCCCAGGTCCTGGGTAAGGACTCGATAGGTAGACAAAATGCCAAATCCAGTCTAAACATCTGGCTGACTGTGCGATGATCCACAATAATAATAATAAAGTTGGAAGGGACCTTGGAGGTCATCTTCTAGTCCAACCCCTTACTCAGGCAGGAAGCCCTATACCATTTCAGACAAATGGCTGTCCAGCCTCTTAAAAACTTTCAGTGTTGGAGAATTCACCGCTTCTGGAGGCAGGTTGTTCCACTGGTTAATTGCCCTCACTTGTCAGGAAGTTTCTCCTTAATTCCAGGTTGCTTCTCTCCTGGATTAATTTTCCATCCGTTGTTTCTTGTCCTGCCTTCTGGTGCTTTGGAGAAATAGGTTGACAACCCCCCCTCCTTCTTTGTGGCAGCCCCTCAAATACTGAAATAGTTGCTATCATGTCCCCCCTGGTCCTTCTTTTCTCTAGACTGGCCATACCCAAATCCTGCTACCTGAAGTATCATCTCCAGGCCTTTTAATCGTCTTAGTTGCTCTTCCCTGCAACTTGGTCCAGAGTTGTAACATCTGTTTGATATGGGGGCGACCCAGACTGGATGCTGTACTCCAGGGGTGGCCTTACTAAGGCTTTGTAAGGCAGTACTAACCCTACTGGACTCCAGAAGATGATAGAGGGCAGGAAGACCAGGAGGAACGTTGTCCATGGGGTCGCGATGGGTCGGACACGACTTCGCAATTAACAACAACAACAACTAACCCTACTGGTGGTCTGGATTCTGTCCTTCCCCAGGGCAGCCCCCGTGCCCACCCCGCGTTGCTACCTGCTCGAAGCGGGCCCGTTGCGGGAAGCCGCCCCCTCTGCAGACGTGCACCGCCACTCTCCTGCCGGCCAGCATGCTCGGGGCTCTTCGGAGCAGGAAGCACGTGTGAACGGTAGGCTCGGCTCCTGCGGGCGTCTCCTCTTGCGATGCCCGGGCCGGGAGGGAGGTGGCGGCCCTCTAGCGGCGGTTCCCAGGCGCTTCAGCCCTTCTCCTGGCTGGGAGAGCGCCCTCTGCCGGCCCTGCTTTGCAAAAGGAATCCAGTCCTGCAGGTTGAGGAGTTGGTATCAACTGGAGATGATCCAGAATTTCTGCCCAGGTTGATTCCTGGAGGGGGCGGGGTCAAGCTGAGTTCCTGGGAACTTGATTGACGTTCGGAATGCTCAAGCAAAGAGTTGGACTGTTGTTGTTAGTTGTGAAGTCATGTCCAACCCATCACGACCCCATGGGCAACGTTCCTCCAGGCCTTCCTGTCCTCTGCCATCTTCTGGAGTCCATTGAAGCTCACGCCTGCTGCTTCAGTGATTCCATCCAGCCATCTCCTTCTCTGTCGTCCCCTTCTTCTTCTATCGCCCTCCATCTTTCCCAGCATCAGGCTCTTCTCCAGGGAGTCCTTTTTTCTCATTGTCATTGTTGCTGTTAGTTGTGAAGTCGTGTCCGACCCATCGCGACCCTATGGACAACGTTCCTCCAGGCCTTCCTGGCTTCTACCATCTTCTGGAGTCCACTGAAGCTCACGCCTGCTGCTTCAGGGACTCCATCCAGCCACCTCCTTCTCTGTCGTCCCCTTCTTCTCTTGCCCTCCATCTTTCCCAGCATTAGGCCCTTCTCCTTCCTTCTCATTAGGTGGCCAAAGTCCTTGAGTTTCAACTTCAGGATTCGGCCTTCTAAAGAGCAGTCTGGATTGATCTCCTCTAGGACTGACCGGTTGGACCGCCTTGCAGTGCAGGGGACTCGCAGGAGTCTTCTCCAGCACCAGAGTTCAAAGGCCTCCATTCTTTAGTGCTCAGCCTTTCTTATGGTCCAACTTTCACAGCCGTACATTGTAACTGCGAAAACCATGGCCTTGACTATACATACTTTTGTTGACAGGGTTGGACTAGATGAGCTTTAAGGTGCACTGCAAGCTTGTTATTTATTCTATGTTCTGTGACGGACGATACATTTGTGCTTTGTTCTCTCCCTTGATTGGCATATTGCTTTCTGCATTTTGCCAGTAACAGGTACTTCTTGACATACCAGAGTCCATTTAGTGACCGTTCGAAGTTACAACAGCACTGTGGAAAAAAAAGGACTTATGACCAATTTTCACACTTACGACCGGTGCAGCATCCCCCTGGTCACGTGACGCTCAGCAACTGGCTCATATTTATGACAACTGTAGTGTCCCCAGGTCACGTGATCCCCTTTTGTGACCTTGACAAGCAAAGTCAATGGGGAAGCCGGATTCACTTAACAACCATGCTACTAACGTAACGCAGGGATTCACGAGAAAGGTCGTAAACTGAGGCAAAGTAGACTTAACTGTCTCACTTAGCAGAAGACATTTTGGGCTCAGTTGTGGTCCAAAGTAGAGGACTCCCTGTATACTAATTTCATTCCTATATACTTCTAACCACATTTAAGCCTTCTTCAAGCAGAGATGAACGCATATGTGTGTTTTGGGGCAACCAAACCCCTTGCAGCTGTCTTCTACTGGGTTTGGAGCTTCTCAGACAAGCCTAAGCCCGGATCCCCTGGGGCAGGGGTGGGGGAACCATAGTCCCTTTAGGACAGTGGTTCTCCACCTGTGGGTCGGGACCCCATTTGGAGTCGAACGACCATTTCACGGGGATCGCCCAACAACGCAGTCCGCCATTTTTTCCCCCCTTTTCCTTAGCTGTGCTCCTCCCTTTTATTCTATTGGCTTTTGAAAGCCAATAGAATAGACTCTCTTGAATAGAGTCTAATTCTATTGGCTTTCAAAAGCCAATAGGAATTGTCCAGGCTGTCTCTGCCTGCTGAGCCCGCCAAAAGTCCCATTCTGCAAACGGTGCTGCACCAGTTGAGTAGTCCTTGACTTACGACCGGTTGAGTAGTCCTCGACTTACGACTGGTTGGGGGTCGCGGCATTAAAAAGGTTGAGAACCACTGCTTTAGGACTTGCGGACTTCAACTCCCAGAATTCAGACGGATCTTGACAAGCTTGAACTCAGCTGGGCCCTGACTATCAAAATGAAATTCAATGTAGATAAAAAGTAAGAAAAAAAAACCCCAACTGTACAGGTAGAGGTTAGGTCAAACTTGGCTCAGTGCCAGAAACAGTTGAGAGGGATCTTAGAATCCATGTGAACAATATGAGCCAACCATGTGCGGCAGCAGCCAAAAAGAGCCAATGCAATCTTGTTGTTGTTGTTAATTGCGAAGTTGTGTCCGATCCATCACGACCCCATGGACCACGTTCCTCCAGGCCTTCCTGTCCTCTACCATCTTCTGGAGTCCATTGAAGCTCACGCCTACTGCTTCAGTGATTCCGTCCAGCCACCTCATTCTCCGTCGTCCCATTCTTCTATTGCCCTCCATCTTTCCCAGCATTAGGCTCTTCTCCAGTGAGTCCTTCCTTCTCATTAGGTGGCCAAAGTATTTGAGTTTCAACTTCAGGATCTGGCCTTCTAAAGAGCAGTCGGGGTTGATCTCTTCTAGGACTGACCGGTTTGAGCGCCTTGCAGTCCAGGGGACTCGTAGGAGTCTTCTCCAGCACCAGAGTTCAAAGGCCTCCATTCTTTGGCGCTCAGCCTTTCTTAGGGTCCAATTTTCACAGCCATACATTGCAACTGGGAAAACCATGGCCTGGACTATACGTACTTTTGTTGGCAATCTTGTAATGCAATCTTAGGCTGCATTAATAGAGGCGTAGAATCAAGATCATGTGAAGTATTAGTACCGTTTTTCCAAGCCTTAGTAAGGCCACACCTGGAGCACCAGTTTTGGTCATCACAATACAAAAAAGATGCTGAGACTTTGGAAAAAGTGCAGAGAAGAGCAACTCAGATGATTAAAGGCCTAGAGGGTAAAACATATGAAGAACGGTTGCAGGAATTAAATATGTCTAGTCTGGTGATAAGAAGGACCAAGGTGACATGATGGAATTAGAATTAGAATAGAGCTGGAAGGGACCTTGGAGGTCTTCTAGTCCAGCCCCCTGCTCAAGCAGGAGAACGTATATCGTCTCCAGTATTTGGGGGGCTGCCACAGAGAAGAAGGGGGGCCCCACCTATTCTCTAAAGCACCCGAAGGCAAGACAAGAAGCAACGGATGGAAACTAACCAAGGAGAGAAGCAACCTGGAACTCGGGAGGAATTTCCTACTGGTGAGAACAATTAATCAGGGGAATGATTAATTGTTTCAGAAGTTGTGGATGTCCCATCACTGGAGACTTTCAAGGAGAGACAGGACACAAAATGGTAGAGACTCTCCTGTTCATAGAGGGAACTGGACTACAATTGTAAATGTGAGCCACTGCCAAGCACCCAAATTGTGATCACGTGACCCCAGGGGTGGCGCAACGGTTGTAAGTGCAAGTACAGGTTGTAAATCACTTTTTCCGTTGTAACAGTCGAACAGTCATTAAACGATCAGATGTAAAACGAAGACTACCTTTATACTCTCTTTCCACACATTTTCCTGCATCAAAAAATTACCACCACACGATGGCAAGTTTTTTTTTTTTTTAAAAAATCTTTATATGAAAACAAAACAAATCAGACTTTAAAAACTAGAAGACCAAGACAGGATTTTTTCAAGCTCCAGCTGACGGGTCAGTGTCTGATGGTGCTGTTGATGTATGATTCCAAAATAAAGATGGTTTCATCCACTTGATTTTCACTGGCATCGATCCTTGAATAAAAAAAAAAGAAAATGCAAATAATCAAAAGGTTGCACCTTTTAATTGTTTAACTAGTTGGACTGATCAACCGAGCCATAGAGAAAGGCAAGATCTTGATGAAATCTTTTTTTTTAAGGGAAATGCTTTTAAAAATTGCAACGACCAAGCACTAATACAGAAAATGCATTAATCTCTAGAGCAGTGGTTCTCAACCTTTCTAATGCCGTGACCCCATAATACAGTTCCCCATGTTGTGGTGACCCCCAACCACTTATACATCACTGGGTGCCAGGGGCGTGGTCAAAAAGGGGGAAAAAATGGCAGACAGCCTTGTTTGGCGACCCCCGTGAAATGGTCGTTCGACCCCAAATGGGGTCCCGACCCACAGGTTGAGAACCACTGCTCTAGAGGAGAAAGTTCTTGGAGTGATTCACGAACAGTGATGCCTACAGTTAGAAGCGGGCACAGCAGCGCCTGCATTTTCTGCGCCGCATGAGGAAAGCACATCTTCCTTCCCCTGTCCTGACCACTTTCTACAGGGGGACGATCGAGAGCATCCTGTCCTACAGCATCACAGTCTGGTTTGGAAGCATCCCTGCTTCAGACAGGAAGGCGGTGCTGAGGGTGGTGAGGACAGCTGAAAAGATCATTGGCAGTTCCCTCGTTCCCATCCAGGACATGGCACAGAAGCGCTGCTTGAGCAGGGTCCGTAAGATTATCTGGGACACCACACATCCTCTTCACGACCTGTTTTCCTTGTTCCCTTCTGGGAGGAGGGGGGCTTCGTGGTATCCGTAGCAGAACATCCAGATTCAGCCAGAGTTTCATTCCATACAGCATTCGCCTTGCGAACTCTCAAGCTTCCTCCTTCCGTTATATATTCAAGATGGACAGTGTTTAATATTTATTTGCTACGTATATGTAGGGGTGTGGGTCTATACATATGTTGTGCATAGAATGTATTAGGTGTGTGTCATGTATGTGTTTCACTTTGAGAGCGGGCAACTAAATTTCAGTTTTGATGTGTGCCGTTGTGCCCACAGTATAAAAATGACAATAAAGGTTATCTTATCTTAGACATAAAAGATTATTTAAGATTATCTAACCCTCCCGTGGTTAAGGACCAAAAGTTTGGCTTTTCTAAAAATCTGTTAATTGATCTAGATTGTTTGGTGGCATCAGTTTTAGACGTGATCTCTCTTGCCTCATCACCTGGATGTCATGGTTCCAACTAATGAAACACTTTCAAAGAACTTCCAGACATTGTTTATCCTAAAAAGTCTTTAATCGTGAAACACATTGTCGGCACAGGATGGTGGATGCCAAGATCTGAATTCCCCTCCCCCTGAGCACATAATATTCCAGCATATTCCCCTCCTGTAATTTGCAGTCATAAATCACATTCTCCAATTAGTTTGAAGGGCAAAGGTTTCTTATCTTAACAATCTCCACACACACATTCTTTCTCCTCCCCTCCCAGCATCATCTAATTTAATTCTAAAAATACCACACAGCTTATACAGAGAGTGGCTACCTCTTCGTATTTTGTCAAAGCAAGAACATCCAATGTTAGCAGCATTGACACTGGACACAGTTAGGATTCAGAGGTGACCACGTCCTTTTGAAACAATGCAAGAAAGGAAAGGCGACAATCCTTTTAACTGGATTGGGGAACCCCAGGCTGGAGATCCCGTGGGGGAGGCCTTCAGCTGCTCCCCCCCCCAGCACCTGGGCCATACTCACTTGTTGACATTGTGCTTGAGAGTCTCCAGCTGCTGTCGTTCGGGTGCCGTGATCATTTCCTCAATCTCCTGCAGCTGTGCCTCCTCAGCCCCTGTGGCTTGGACCGAGGCAAGGATGGCCTCCACCCGCTGGCTCTTCTCCAGCAGACGCCTGCCAGGAAAGGCAGATGGTCAGACGGTCGGTCTTGTGGCTTCACCTGAGTCACAGAGACTGCGAGGCCAAAGGCAGGGGACCTCAGAGATACAAGGCAGGGCATCCCGTGAGCGCCCCACAGCTCTGCCAGAAGCTTCTTCAGCTCTGACTGGATGGTGGGGAATGGAAGGATTTATACTCCTTGCAGACAGCTGGTAATTTGCATCCTTTTAGAGAGTTGTTGAAGCCACTTGGAGGTTTATCTGTGTCTTCAGGGTCATTTGAGTAGTGCAAAAATGGGAGTGGAACACAGTCCTTTCAGCAATTCCAAGAAGGCTCCCCATCCATTTGCACCACTCAGATGACCCTGAGGATACAGATAAACCTCCAAGTGGCCTCAACGGCTCTCAAAGAAGGCAAATGACCAGTTGTTTGTTTTTCTTTGAAGATGTTTTGCTTCTCATCCAAGAAGTTTCTTCAGGTCTGACCGGATGGTGGGGAATGGGAGGATTTATACTCCTTGCAGACAGCTGGCCATTTGCCTTCTTTTTAGAGGATCGTTGAGGCCACCTGGAGGTTTACCTGTGTCCTCAGGGCCACCTGAGTGGTGCCAATGGGTGTGGAGCCTTCTTGGCTGCAGGATGTTTCCTGCCCTGGGTCCCTCCTCTGTTGAAGACAGGCGCAAGGCTCTTGGGGATGGGTCCGTGTTCTGTGCATCTCCAACTGAAGTGCAAATGGTTTCTGTAGTTTGCAAGGAGTATAAATCCTTCCCCACCACCCAGTCAGAGCTGAAGAAGCTTCTTGGATGAGAAGCGAAACGTCTTCAAAGAAAAACAAGGAAGTCCAGTGGCCTTCTGAAAAGACACCTTCGGGACAACCATGATCCGGAGGACTGAGAATCGCCATGGACACTTAAGGTTTCAAGCATCACTGCACAGAGTTGGGTTCAAAGGGCAGGAGTCTCAACTCACCGGTTCTCCTTGGTCTCGTGAAGTCGCCGTTCTATCAGGTTGGCCACACACTGAGAGGGAGGGAAATAAGAGGTTTCCATGAGTGCAGTCTGATGGCAGGAGAAGTTTTAAAAAAAAGGGAAAGCAGGACACAGACCTTGTAACAGCGCTGGAGCAGCATCCGGGCAGACGCGAGCGTATTGACGGTGTACAAGTAGAATGTCCGGGAAGGTGCGTGATCTGGAGTTTTGGGGATTTCCTGTTTTTGGGGGGAGGAAAGCCAGGTTAAGAGATGGACTTTGCGAAAAGTGGGTACATCTCTATCCTATTCCTGTCTAGAGGGCTGACGTTTCGGTCAAATTCCTGAGGAAATGGTTTCGCTCCCTCTCGGTGCCACCAGATCACCAGGAGGGCTTCTCCTCCACAAAGGAGGAACTTGGACCTCGTGTGTCAAAGGGATTCCTTTCAACTCTGGAATTTGAGGCAGTACAGGATTTCTGAATTACACGGCAAATAAAAACATGGCTGCGTTTGTGTATATATTCTTTAACGAAATGAATGAAACATTTGCAGGCTAATTCTACCGACTGCCAGCAGTTCGATCCTGGCCAGCTCAAGGTTGACTCAGCCTTCCCTCCTTCTGAGGTCGGTAAAATGAGGACCCGGATTGTTGGGGGGGAAATAAGCTGACTCTGTAAACTGCTTGGAGAGAGCTGCAAAGCACCGTAAAGTAATATATATATAAGCCTAAGTGCTATTGCTAGCGCTATGCTGCCCCCTAAAAGCTGCCCCAATAAAAGCAGCATCATTTTTGGCTTCCACATAGAATTGAACCTTTGAAAGAAGAAGACAGGCAGCAAACTGCTATAATTGGTTTTAGCTTGGATTCCCAAATTTTGTCCAAAAGATTTGGAAAGAGAATAAGCTTTGTGGATTCCATTAGGAGAGAGCGCATCATGCTTGATTGATTGTAGTGGCATTCAACATTACTTTCCAGAATAGAATAGAATAGAATAGAATAGAATAGAATAGAATAGAATAGAATAGAATAGAATAGAGTAGAGTAGAGTAGAATAGAGTAGAGTAGAATAAATAGAATATGAATAGAGAATAGAATAAAATAGAAATAGAATAGAAATAGAATAGAAATAGAATAAGAATAATAATAGAAATAAAAATTACAATAGAATAGAATAGAGTAGAGTAGAGTAGAATAGAGTAGAGTAAATAGAATATGAATAGAGAATAGAATAAAATAGAAATAGAATAGAAATAGAATAGAAATAGAATAAGAATAATAATAGAAATAAAAATTACAATAGAATAGAATAGAATATGAATAGAGAATAGAATAAAATAGAAATAGAAATGAAATGGAATAGAAATAGAATAAGAATAGAAATAATAGAATAGAATAGAATAGTATAGAATAGAATAGTAGAAATGAAATGGAATAGAAATAGAAACAATAGAATAAGAATAGAAATAGAAATTAGAATAGAATAGAATAGTAGAATAGAATATGAATAGAGAATAGAATAAAATAGAAATAGAATATAAATATAAATAAGAATAGAATAGAATAGAATAGTAGAAATGAAATGGAATAGAAATAGAAACAATAGAAATAGAATAAGAATAGAAATAGAAATTAGAGTAGAGTAGAATAGAATATGAATAGAGAATAGAATAGAGTAAAATAGAAATAGAAATGGAATAGGAATAGAAATGAATAGAATAGGAATAGAAATAGAACAGAATAGAAGCTGGAAGGGACCTTGGAGGTCTTCTAGTCCAGCCCCCTGCTATGTGGGAATCCAGGGCAGCAGGTTGCTCTCTCTTTCATGACGAGGGGAACTGACCTTCACTCAAGAATCCCTTGGCCAACCTGCAGCTCCAGAAGGCTTGCGAGGCATCTCATCACTGCCTCACCAGGTCTGCTAGAGTCCCCTCAATTCCCAGGCAAAGCCACTCGCAGCTCAGCCTTCAGGCCGGGCCAAAGAAGGAGAGCCGGTACCTGCAGAGCGACGATATTGGCCGACAACATTTTGTACATCATTTCTTTGGCTTCCTTGCCCGGGATCATGGCAAAGTCCTCGATCTGCTTCTGTTCCAGGTGCCTCTTTCTTAATAGAAGGCGGAAAATGCGGGCACAGCGGGACCCGAATCTGTGTCCGGGAGGAAAAATGAAGAAGAGGCTGTTCTGAGCAGGGCGGCGAAAAATGAATGAGCATTAATTAAGGTTTGGTGGAGATGTGCTAAAGCAAAGAGCTACTGGAAAAAGACACGTGCTTGGCTAGAAAAGATGTTGGGAGAACATGTCGATTTTAAACCTGAACTTTTTTTTTTTATTCGGCACAATGCCAGAAAAGACTGATAAACGAAGTATATATTTGACTTGGCATGTTACAACAGCGGCAAGAATTATATCTGCGCAGTACTGGAAAAATGAAGAAATACCATCAGATGAAGAAATAATTTAAAAAAAAACATTAGAATGCGCGGAGACGGACAGACTGACTCGGAGGCTGAAAGAAAAAGAAGAAACGAAATATTATCAAACCAGGGATTTATTTTATCGATGGCTAGAGGAAAGAATAAAGGATTGGGAACTAACTATGTATTAGCGAATGTAAACTCAGACAGCTTGTTGAATAAATACTATTGAATGTATGGGGGAAAAAAATCAATTTTTTTTTTTAAAAAATAAAAATTAATGAACACATTTTCTCCTACACCGAAATATGAAAACTTTCATGTAAGCTGGAAAACAGGTATGGTTCTCTTTCTCTCCCCGTCTCTCTCACACACACATACATACCCCCACACTCCCTTGCATCTTTCCCTCTTGCCGATCACATCCACCTGACCCACTAGAGTGGGGAAGCAAAGAATGTTGTGGGTCCCGTTCTCTAAGGCGGTACACCTGGTGGGACGCAGGAGAAGGGCCTTCCCTGTGGTGGCTCCCTCCCTCTGGAACATCATCCCTCCAGAAATTAGACTGGCCCCCACTCTGGCACTCTTTCGGAAAGCTCTGAACACGTGATTTTGCCACCCAGAGTGGGATGGATCCCATTAAAGGGCTGATATGAGTGTGTGTTGTTGCCGAGGGGTGGGGGTGGGGTTATTATTTTATTATTATTATTATTGCATTATTTTTATTTCTTCTCCATTGTGTTCTGATTATCTGTAAGCTGCCTAGAGTTGCTATGAGTGAGGAGGCAGCTATATAAATTATCTAAAACAAACAAAACAATCAAACAAACCCTAATAATAATAATAATAATAAAAAAGTTGGAAGGGACCTTGGAGGTCATCGAGTCCAACCCGCTGCTCAGGCAGGAAACCTTACACTATTTCGGACAAATGGCTGTCGAGTCTCTTCTTAAAAACCTCCAGTGTTGGAGCAGTCACTGTTTCTGGAGGCAAGGAGTTCCTCTGGTTAATTATTAAGCCAATTCACCAAAAAGCTACATGACTAACCCACTGCTGTAGCCGCTGGCTAGGATGCAAACACACCCCAGTATTTTGAAAGGTGTGGTGGGAGAGGAAATATTAGGCAAACTGTTTTTCTCCCCCAAAAATATAGCTTTACAGGTTACAGTGAGGGGAAAAAAAATATTTGATCCCCTGCTGATTTTGTACGTTTGCCCATAGACAAAGAAATAACCGGTCTATAATTTTAATGCTAGGTTTATTTTAACAGGGAGAGACAGAATAACAACAACAAAATCCAGAATAAATGTTATAAACATCACTGCTTGGATGATCTGAAATCGATCGAAGAGGAATCTTTGGAGCCAAAAGGAAAGTGAGAGGACACGAGAAACAGACTCCCTGGATATTAGGGAAAAAAGGCTATCCCAAGGAAATTGGGAAGTGAAACAAGTAACACAAAAAGCATGAAGAATCTTCTGGTGTGGAAAGATCAGCATAAACCACTTTACCTTTCCTGCACAATGGATTCCAGCGTTGCGGTGGCGAGAGAGGCCAGGCCCTTGTGAAGATCTGTTTGGCAGAATGTTAGGGAAAAGATGCCACAAGGCTGAAATCTCTCCCCCCCCCCCCCAGGTGCTGCTGACGCAAGTGACGTCAGCTGGCCATGCTTCCATCTACAGTAGTGGCCAAAATTGTGGAAACCTTTTGGGAAAAGTGTATTTTTGAGGTTTGATGGCTAATAACACCACTTTTTTTGCTGATGCGGCCCTGGCCCTTTGCGATAAATAAGTGGGTTTTGGGTTGCAGTTTGGGCACTCAAAGTCTCTAAAAGGTTCGCCATCACTGATCTAACTTTTCACAAGGCTCAGCTGGGCGTCCATTCTCACCCCCCTTCTTCCTTACAGTCCTCCTCCCCACCCCAACCATGACATCAGATGTGTTTGTCGTACTGGTCAGAGAAATGCACGCCTTCCTCCCATGCTGAGTGTCACCAGCAGTGCCAAGCGTGCTCTTGGCAGAAGCAAATGGCCGGGGGGGGGGGTCTTTCTTTGCTGGATGACCGAGTGGGGCAGTTGACACCTGCCTCCTTGCCTTGTTAACCCACATGGCTTTCTTCTGATTCCGGCTCTCGTGACAGCGGAAGGCCCCCGAAGGATACTGATCACGTACATCCCTCCACCGCTCTCCCCCGATTTCCCAACAAACTCAAGCTGTGGAGAGAATAAAAGACTTGGATGAAAAAAGCCTCAGGTCTGGGAAAAAAGGGAAATCAAAAAAGGACGCGCAACATTGCTGAAGGATTTTTTTTCTGTTCGTAAGGCAGAAAATTGTTTTCTTACCGGGTCATCTGCTAGTAAAGTTAGGTACTGATCAAGAATCTGCTTGGATATGTTGTAACCGGCCGGAAGTAACCGGAATATCTTTTAAAAAAGAAAATATATATATGGTGTCAACGCTGCAAATATTACATATTCTTGCTTTTGACAATATGCAGACTTGTCTGGTAATTATGGAGTTAATACAGAGCAGAAGGGGGGGTGGGGGTAAAGCCTGGGAAAGAAAGAGGAAGGAAACCTTTGACCTTCACACTAATTGGATAATGTGAGATATGAGGGCTAATTTAGGGAGGGAACATGCTGATAATTTAACTGCTCAGAGGAAGAGAACTTAGATCCTAGCATCCCTCCCTTGTGCCTGTGCCGACATTTTGTAACAATAAAAGACTTTTAGGAAAATCAATGCCCGGAAGTTCTTTGGAGTGTTTCATTAGCCGGAACCACAACACATGGGTTGTACATTTCGTGACTACTGAAGAGATATTTTAAAACAGGGGTCTTAAAACTTGGCCCTTTTATGACTTGTGGACTTCAACTCCCAGAACTCCTCAGCCAGCGTGCTGGGAGTTGATGTCCACAAGTCATCAAAGGGCCAAGTTTGAAGACCCCTGTTTTAAAACACTGCTATATACAGACTTACAACAGTTCATTTAGTCACCATTCAGAGTTACAACACCACTGAAAAAAGTGGCATGACCGCTTTTCATACTTACGACCATTGCAGCATCTTAATTAAACTTCAGACAGTCGGCAACTGACTCACATTTATGACAAGTTGCAGTGCCAGCAACGGTCGTTAAGTGTGAAAAATGCTCATAAGCCCCTTTTTTCAGTGTCGTTGTAACTTCAAACGGTCACTAAATGAACAGTTGCAAGTCGACGACTACTTTAGCACTCCTTTTTGGCCAGGAATCTGCACCTCCAATGTGAGCAAGACCTGCAGCAGTCTGGTCACTGAGGACTAGTGGCATGGCTTTTAATCTCCTGGCCTTTTGCCTGAACCCTGCCTCCTTTGGCCATAAAAATGAAACCCATGACTTAAAAGTTCAAAGGGTGACTCACCTCATTGGAAGAGAGCGGCTGAGTGTAGGGAGCGTTAGAAGAGGTTGTGACTTCACTCATTCGCAACATGGTCCGCACAATTTCGCTACTGGTCTGTGGAGGCAGAAGAAAAGTTAGGAGGTGTACCAGAGGCCCTTCTTCTGTCAATCAGTCAAAATACAGCTGGAAGGGACCTTAGAAGTCTTCTAGTCCAGCCCCCTGCTCAAGCAGGAGACTCTGTGCCAGTGATGGCGAACCTTTTAGAGACCGAGTGCCCAAACTCAACCCAAACCCCACTTATTTATCGCAAAATGCCAGGTCTGCATCAGCATTGTGGTGCCCTAAGGGGGGGGCAGGCGGCGTGGCCCACTGGGTGGGCATGGCTGCAGTGGTCACGGCAGACTGGGTGAGCATGGCCGGGGTCAGGGCAGCAGGGGCCAGTCCCTTGCCATCTCTGGGGCATCCCCGGGGGGGCCAATGCTGCTTGCTCGCTCACTTCCTGCCCCGTCACTTCCAAACGCCATGTGCTGGCTACTCTGGCGAACTCTGGTGGGGCAACGGTGCGCGTGCCCACAGAGAGGGCTCTGAGTGCCGCCTCTGGCACGTGTGCCATAGATTCGCCACCACTGCCCTATGCCATTTCAGACAAGTGACTGTCCAGTCTTTTCTTAAAAAGCTCCAGTGATGAAGCACCCACAACTTCTGGAGGCCAGCTGTTCCACTGGTTAATTGTTCTCACTGTTAGGAAATTTCTCCTTCATTCCAGATTGCTTCTCTCCTTGATTAGTTTCCATCCGTTGTTTCTTGTCTTGCCTCCTGGTGCTTTGCAAAATAAGTTGACCCCCCCCCCTTCTTTGTGATGTTCCTGTTGAAATAGTTACTGGGTTTGTGTATTGTTATCTAAAGAAAAAGACTTTGACCCAATTTGGGGTAATTTACCCAGGTTTCAGAAGCACTGGGTTAATAGCACCAGGCTAGATCACTTCTTTCCTTGATTAGTTTCTATCTGTAGTTTCTTGTCTTGCCTTCGGGTGCTTTGGAAAATAAATTGACCCCCTCCTCTTTGGGGCAGCCCCTCAAATACTGGACAACTGCTATCGTGTCCCCCCTGGTCCTTCTTTTCTTTAAACTGGACATACCCAATTCCTGCAACTGTTCTTCAGGCCTTTAATCAACGTTCTTGCTCTTCTGTGCACGTTTTCCAGAGTCTCAAGGTCTTTATTTAGAATGTGTTGACCAAAACTGGATGCTGTATTCCAGGTGTGGCCTTTCTAAGGCTTTATAAAGCGGTACTAACATTTCACGTGCTTTTGATTCTGTGCCTCTGTTTGAGTTTGACCTGATTGTATCTGGCAGGTCTAACTGGTTCTCCTCGGTTTCCTCGTCAGGGAAAAAGCTGGAGCTTTCCTTGTAAGACAAGCCAGCCATTAGGCCAGGGGTTCTCAAACTTTTTAATGCCGCGATCCCCAACCGGTCGTAAGTCGAGGACTACTCAACCGTCGTAAGTCAAGGACTACTCAACGGGTGCAGCACTGTTTGCAGAATGGGACTTTTGGCGGGCTCAGCAGGGCAGAGACAGCCTGGACAATTCCTATTGGCTTTTGAAAGACTCTATTCAAGAGAGTCTATTCTATTGGCTTTCAAAAGCCAAGAGAATAAAAGGGAGTAGCACAGCTAAGGAAAAGGGGGGAAAAATGGCGGACTGCGTTGTTTGGTGACCCCCGTGAAATGGTCATTCGAACCCAAATGGGGTCCTGACCCACAGGTTGAGAACCACTGCATTAGGCAGACAATCGTGGAATGTCCAAGAAAAGCAGTCAGACTTCGGTACCAATGATCAGGAGGGAGGGAGTCCATGTTGTGAGTTGGATAGCCATATATGTTGATTTAAAAGGTAATAAAATAATTTGAGGAAGGTTCTGCTCACCTGGTCCATCCTGTTGGCCACTGCACTGACAATTGCTTGATCCCGGAAGTGCTGGTGGAAACGGTCTATATTGACTTGCCAGTAGATGCCACTGTCTGCAAGAGGCTGAAATGGGGATTGACAAGCAGAATCTCTTAGGAAGTTTATCCTGTTATCCCCCCAGTCCAAACACTTTGATGCTGTCAGAATCCAACTATATTTCATTTCTAGTTATCGACTATGGAAAACCCCATTTCTGCCCTCTCTGGATTCTGTCATACTACGAAGGGGAAGGGAGATGAGCAAAGGGGCTTTATGGCTCTCACTTCCTTCGTTAAAACTTCCAAAGGGACTGAATGTGGATCTCACCAAGAGGACTGACCGTAACAATATGGCCATCGCCTTTCATCTACTACTCTCTGAAGTCTCCCTTCTGCCGGCCGTGAGGAAAAGGGAGTGGAAATGTAACATTTGGGATTGTCGCTGGAAGGACGGTGGGGTGGGGGCTGCTTGGGAACACTTAAAACCTTGAATGGTAGGGGTTGGCCCCTCAGATCCTGTCTAGAATGCCTGCAACCATCTTCTCTTAATAAAGGATGCCTGTTGGAAGAGATATTCCAAGAGTTCTGTCTTCTTAAGATGTAAAGTGGGGTGGGTCCTTACAGATGCAAACTCTTCAATTTGCCAATTTGCATATACGGGCAGTCCTTGACTTATAGCCACAACGGAAGCCAACGTTTATGTGGCTAAGAGAGACCTTTGATAAGCTTTATAGGACGGTTCCCTCTCCCATCTCCCACTAGGGTCTGATCTGCCCAGCTCCTGTTCTGGCCTCTGCATTCTACGCCCAGTTTTTCTCTCATCTTCAGTTGTCCTGGAAGTGGCGGGCATGCTACCTCTTCGCTCTCTGGGTCTTGTCTTGATCGCTTTCCTCCTCTGTCACCGTCCTCCTTGGCGTTGTCGGAATGCTTCCGCTTTCCCCTTCCTGTTGGCCGAAAGAGGAAAATGTTATTTCTTGCAGCAGCAAACATCTGTCCTCTTTCCCTCCCCCAGGGATACGGTAGGCTTGATCTGCATCTGTTTCTCTCGGTGAAATTCCTACAAGCAGTTTTGACGGCTAAAATAAAGTCGTTGTCTTTACTGCGGAAAAAAACAGGAACTGAGGACCTGCTATTTAAACTACTTAGCTCCTCACCTGTGAGGTTCAGCTTTGGCACAGCGTACATATCCTTCTCATTAAAGGCCAATGTAGGAGTGGGAGGAGGCTGTGTTTCGGCAGACTCCGAACTTTCGGACGGCGAAGGGCATCTCTGAACAAAATGTGTATCTGCCAGGCAGGTAAAGGTGGCGGAGACTTCGCTGTAATCCATTGTCTTACCATCTGTGGACAAAGACATCAGAAATCTTTCACAGTGGCCTTTGCAAGCAACATTTTCCCCAACAGAGAAACCCACTGGATGCCCTTGCTCTCACAGCTGCCAATTCTGCTGCTGCTTCATTTGGATCTACGACAGTGGTTCTCCACCTGTGGGTCGGGACCCCATTTGGGGTCGAACGACCATTTCACGGGGGTTGCCAAACAATGCAGTCCGCCATTTTTTCCCCCCTTTTCCTTAGCTGTGCTACTCCCTTTTAGTCTATTGGCTTTTGAAAGCCAATAGAATAGGCTCTCTTGAATAGAGTCTAATTCTATTGGCTTTCAAAAGCCAATAGGAATTGTCCAGGCTGTCTCTGCCTTGCTGAGCCTGCCAAAAGTCCCCTTCTGCAAACGGTGCTGCACCAGTTGAGTAGTCCTCGACTTACGACCAGTTGAGTAGTCCTCGACTTACGACCGGTTGGGGGGGGCGCGGCATTAAAAAGGTTGAGAACCACTGGTCTACGACAATTCGCCGCAGCCAACTTGCTACGCCCAACTTGCTGTGTGACAACTCGCCGTAAGGACAGGAGTGGCACGAATGTCAAAGAAATGGCAGAACAGAATCATTAAAGAAAGGATGCAAAAAGGAGGGACAGAATGAAAGGTGAATGGCAAAAATTATTATTTTTTTAAATTTTATTTTAAATGATTGAATAGAATCGTTAAACTGTCAAGCAGCGAGTTGGCCCGGGGCCACATTGTTCCATTCCGGCTTCGCTCTGCCTTTTGCCAGCCTGGCACCGCAACGGTGGGAGGGGAAAGAGATTGGAATGTGGGTGGTTTGGGAGGGATCGGGATTAAAGCAGAGCCAGGCCTGAGGTGAGGAACACCAATCAAGCACAAGGCCAAGAAAAGGAATGCGACGATGGGAAAGGCACGAACAGAACCCAGGGTCCGCTCCCAAAACAACCTGAGGATTTTCAACTGGACAGTGACCGATTACAGAGGGGGCGGCCATGGGGAAAAGGAAAGTTAATTGGACAGTCACTTGTCACAGAGACTGGACAGTCACTTGTCTGAAATGGTGTAGGGCAGTGGAGGCGAACCTACGGCACGCGTGCCAAAGGCGGCACTCGGAGCCCTCTCTGTGGGCACGGGCACTGTTGCCCCAGCCCCATCTCCCCCCACAGCCCCCTCACCAGCAGCCCCCCCAGAGGAGAGTCGCCCCCGGGCGCAGCCCGCGCGGAGCAACGCAGCCAAGCACATGGCAGCAAGGCAGCAGGGACAGGACTCCACCCTCACACCCCGTCGCACGCAGTTGGTGCTGTGGGGCATGGGTGGAGGGTGTGGCTGCCATGGCACTGGGCTATCTGCTGCAGTAGGTTGTGAAGGCGGTGGGTGGCCCTGTGGGCAGGCGGGGCAGGGCAGAGTGGGGGTGGGCCAGGGGAGCGGAGTGGGTTTTGGGCACTCGGTCTCTAAAAGGTTCGCCATCACTGGTGTAGGGTCTCCTGCTTGAACATGGGGGCTGGACTAGAAGACCTCCAAGGTCCCTTCCAACTCCATTCTCATTAATTGCAGCACTTTGGCGCCTAGCCGACAGATTTTGCCTGCTCTAATCTGTAACTACTTTATTGCCAGTAAAATGTGCTCTTGGGGGGGGGGGGAATGAACCAGGACTCTTTCTTTGCTAATTACAGGCAGTCCTCGAGTTACGACCACAACTGAGCTCAAACGATCTGTTGTTAAGCGAGACATTTGTTAAATGAACTTTGCCCCATTTTACGACCTTCCTTGCCACAGTTGTTAAGGGAATCACTGCAGTTGTTAAGTTAGTCACCCGGTTGTTAAGTGAATCTGACTTCCCCCATTGACTTGACTGATCAGAAGGTCGCAAAAGGGGATCACATAACTCAAGGACACTGCGACCGTCATGATTCAGTTATCAAGCATCTGAATTTTGATCAGGTGGCCATGGGGATGCTGCAACGGTCATTAAGTGTGAAAAACGGTCACAAGTCATTTTGTTCAGTGCCGATGCAACTTTGAACAGTCACTAAATGCACTGTTGTAAGTTGAGGACGACCTGTATATTCTTGGAAAAAGAAATGAGCCAGGAGTCTTTCTGTGCTAATCAGTTTAAGTGGGAGGAATGACACTCGCCTTCCATTGTCTCGGTCAGTCGGTCCGCCACCTTCTTCACCACAGCACTCATGGTCATTTTACCATTGAGTAGCAGCTCTTCCACAATCAGTTCCCCCGTGTCGCTATAGAGAGTTTTGGCTGTATAGATGTACCGGGGATAGCGGAGGATTCGCAGCATTCGGCTGCACTGGGCTTCATACTCCACCAGGCCTCGCTTCTGCTGCTGGAAGGTCACCAAGTTGTGTTGGATGAGGACACAGAGAGCTTTCCGGACCTGCAGAATGGTAGAGCAGAGGAAACTTGATAGATAGATAGATAGATAGATAGATAGATAGATAGATAGATAGATAGATAGATAGATAGATAGACAGACAGACAGAAACAGAGAGAGACAGAAGCAAATATATATAGAAGGTTAATACAACTGCCTAACACGCAAGCTGCCCAGGTTCGAATCCCAGAGGGGTATGACTAGCTGATGAGAGCTAAAGAGCTTGAAATAGCTATACTTGTCTCCCACTAACTCTTTGTCAGCCACAAAAAAATAAAATAAATTGAATTTACAGTGTTCACAGTATGTGACGTCTGCCTGCAAAACATGCTCCTAGATTGGAGCGAAACACAGAACAGACTGATTTATCCTATACTTGGTAGACCAGATGCTCCAGCCAACACACACACACACACACACGTATATATGTGTGTGTATATATATATATATATATATATATATATATATATATATATATATGTGTGTGTGTGTGTGTTGATTGATTGATATAGATATAGACATGTAGATATGTATAGAGATAGATATGTAGATATAGATAGGTAGATATACAGATATATAGAAATGTAGATGATAGATAGATAGATAGATAGATAAATAGATATAGATAGACAGACAGATAGACAGACAAGACACATACACCTCTCCAAATTTGCAGGTCAAATCCATGCCAACAACAGCAAGATTTCCCCTCAGAACTGCAAATACTGTATCTTCATTCCCAAAACCTTACAATAGCCTTAAAATAAAACATATCTAATCTTATACTGAGTGGCTGAGGGAAAAAAATGGCTTGTTGAAATCCATTAATTGATTGCATGGTTCTCTAGTCTAAAACAACTTTTGAAGCATCTTGGACATCCTTAATTCCACTCAGGACTGATGAGTGTGAGTGAGAACATCAGTGGGAACCATGGATGCTTAATCTGAGTTTAGTTTAGGCTAGCCTATTATGCAATTAAAAAAACCAATCTACCTGGTCAAGCGACATGCTTGTGTTTTGGGAAATCATCCATAACGTCTGCCCACCCATGCGGATGAGCTGCATTCCAACCTTTTCCACAATTTCGCCAAAATGTTCACAGAGCAGAAGAGAACAAAGCTTGATTTCAGCCTGGGTCATCTTGCTGGACAATGATATCGGTCTGTATAATTGACTGCAATAAAATGTACGAGCTACCCCAAATCAGTAAACGACTCCGGTGAGGATTTCAGGGTCGAAAATTAGAATTAAGACTCTACCATTCAGTTTAAGTCACCAGCTCTGCATCTGAAAAGAGAAAGGCATTCAGTCAAATTGGTGCAAATATTCAGAAGAATCCAGAGCTAAAACTTCTCCTGATTTTTTTTTTTTCTGGATCTCAGGGATAAAGGAGGAAGTTACCGTTTCAGTACACCCCCATAAAAACCTGTATATGTAGTCCTCAAGTTACGACCACAGTTGCTACGTGAGACATTTGTTAAGTGAGTTTTGCCCCATGTTACGACCTTTCTTGCCACAGTTATTAAGTGAATTACTGCCGTTGTTCAATTAATAACCCAATTGTTAAGTGAATCTGGCTTCCCTCATTGACTCTGCTTCTCAGAATGTCATAAAAAGGGATCCTGACCCCGGGATACTGCAACCGTCATAAATATGAGCCAGTTGCCAAGAGTCTGAATTTTGATCATGTGACCCTGGGGATGCTGCAAGGGTCGTAAGTGTGAGAAACGGTCATAAGTCACTTTTTTCAGGGGCGTCGTAATTTTGAACGGTCCCCAAAATGAACTGCTGTTAAGTCAAGGACTACCCTGTACACTCCTGTGCAAAAGTGTTAGGCAGGGGTGCGAAAATGCTCCCAACTGAAGGCTTTCAGAAAGAGAAATGTTAATAATTAATTTTTTTCCAATTAACAAGATGGTGAATAAATGAAAGCCAATATCACAAAGAGTAATAAGAGAATCTTTTCTCCTCCCTCACCCCAAATGCTACTCAGGGAGGAACCCCCCTGGAGTAGGACGTGGGGGGGGGTCTGCCCTTCCCTGCCCCTCTTCCAGCCCTACAGCGCCTTCCTAACCCTTTACAGGCAGTCCTCGACTTACGTCCACAACTGAGCCCCACATTTCGGTTGCTAAACGAGACCATGGTTAATTTGTGAATTTTGCCCCTCCCCCGTTTGCGACCTTTCTTGTTCAGCGCCGTTACAGTTAACAACTGCAGTTGTTCAGTCTCACGGTCGTTAAGCGAATCTGGCTTTCCCCCATTGACTTTGCTTGTCAGGAGGTCACCAAAGGGGATCACGTGACCCCCGGGGACCCGGCGACCGTCGTAAATAGGCGTCAGTTGCCAAGCCGCCGCATTTTGATCACGTGACCCTGGGGGGGAGAATTGTCGCGACGGTCGTTAAGTGTGAGCAACGATCCTAAAATCCCGTTTTCCAGTGCTGTTGTCACTTCGGTCACCCAACGAAGGGCTGCAAGTCGAGGACTACTACCCCTAGTAGTCACCTTCTCCTCGGTTTTTCCCTCTTCTTGGCCGGAGACCCTCCACGGGCAGGCGAAGAAAACCCACCTTCGTGCCTTGCAAGGGTTCTCCAGCTAGGCCTCAAGCCTGCCCCCTCGGCCACCATGGCAACGGAGCCCGGCCCGGAAGCGCCTCTCGACGGGGTAGCCTATCGCCGGCCTCGAAGTCGACAGGGGGCGGGCCGGAAGCGAGCGGCGCGGAAGTGGGCGCGGGAAGTCGAGCGCGCCCCCGGCTTGGCCCGCTGGCCGCTCTAGGCTCGCCGCGCTCTGTGGCCGGCCTCGGCCAAGCGGGCGCTGTTTCGCTTTCCAAGGCCGGCGCGGAGGCTCGGCGGGGCGGAGGATGGCGGAGGCCTCTTCGGCAGCCGCGACGGCCGCCGTCTCCCAGCACCGCTTCTTCTGCCACAGCTGCAAGGGCGAGGTCAGCCCCAAGCTGCCGGTGAGCTCGGCGGGCCCCGCCCGAGGAGGGAGAGGCCTGGGGGGGGGAGGGGCGACCCGGGCTGGGCGGGGGAGGGGAAGGCCGGTCCCGCCGCCCCCTTGCAAATGAGGGGAGGGGCGAAGGGGCCCCCCGCAGCGGAATCCCCTCAAACCCCCTCCCCGCTGTCCCCCCCCCCCCAGGCCGGGGGTGGGTGGGTGCATAAGCCTCTTCCCCCCCCCCCGGATCTGCCCAGGTGGGGGTGGGGGGAGTGCTGGGGGTCCAAGGTCTCCGAAGGCAGCAGCAGCAGCAGAGCAGCGGAGTTTGAGAACGGAGTCGCCGAGTTGCAAGGGACCTTGGAGGTCATCTAGTCCAGCCCCCTGCTCAAGCACTAGTCCAGACCAATGGCTGTCCAGTCTCTCCTTAAGAACTTCCCGTGATGGAGCACTCATAGGTGGACTAACGCTGCTTAGAACACAGAATCGTAGGATTGGAAGGGGGCCCTGGAGGTCATCTAGTCCAGCCCCCTGCTCAAGCACTAGTCCAGACCAATGGCTGTCCAGTCTCTCCTTAAGAACTTCCAGGGATGGAGCACTCACCAGGTGGACTAACGCTGCTTAGAACACAGAATCGTAGGATTGGAAGGGGGCCCTGGAGGTCATCTAGTCCAGCCCTCTGCTCAAGCACTAGTCCAGACTAATGGCTGTCCAGTCTCTCCTTAAGAACTTCCAGTGATGGAGCACTCCCAGGTGGACTAACGCTGCTTAGAACACAGCATCATAGGATTGGAAGGGGCCCCTGGAGGTCATCTAGTCCAGCCCCCTGCTGAAGCACTAGTCCAGACCAATGGCTGTCCAGTCTCTCCTTAAGAACTTCCAGGGATGGAGCACTCACCAGGTGGACTAACGCTGCTTAGAACACAGAATCGTAGGATTGGAAGGGGGCCCTGGAGGTCATCTAGTCCAGCCCTCTGCTCAAGCACTAGTCCAGACCAATGGCTGTCCAGTCTCTCCTTAAGAACTTCCAGTGGTGGAGCACTCCCAGGTGGACTAACGCTGCTTAGAACACAGAATCCTAGGATTGGAAGGGGGCCCTGGAGGTCATCTAGTCCAGCCCCCTGCTGAAGCACTATTCCAGACCAATGGCTGTCCAGTCTCTCCTTAAGAACTTCCAGTGATGGAGCACTCACAGGTGGACTAACGCTGCTTAGAACACAGAATCCTAGGATTGGAAGGGGGTCCCTGCTCCAGCAGGAGACCCTATACCCATCCTGGACAAATGACTTTCCAGTTTCTTAAAAAGACTCCAGGGATGGATCACCCACAGCCTCGGGAGGCAAGCTGTTCCACTGGTTAATTGGTCTGGGATTACAGATGAACAAATTTGGAAGGGACCTTGGAGGCCATCTAGTCCAGCCCCTTGCTCAAGCACTCTGGACAAATGGCTGCCCAGTCTCTTCTTGAAGAACGGTTGCAAGATTTGGGTATGGCCAGTCTAGAGAAAAGAAAGACCGGGGGGGGGGGGGAGAGACATGATAGCAGCATTCCAGTATTTGGGGGGCTGCCACAAAGAAGGGGGGGTGTCAAGCTATTCTCCAAAGCCCCAGAAAGCAAGACAAGAAACAATGGATGGAAACTGATCAAGGAGAGAAGCAACCTGGAATTAAGGATATATTTGACGATATATTGCAAACCCTTCCGTGGTACAGGTAGTCCTCAACTTACGACCACAACTGAGCTCAGAGTTTATGTTGCTAACTGAGACATTTGTTAAGTGAGCTTTGCCCCATTTTACGACTTTTCTTACTACAGTTGTTAAGTGAATCGCTGCAATTATTACATGACACGATGGTTAAGCGAATCTGGGTTTCCCATTGACTTTGGGAAGGTCACCAAAGGGGGTCATGTAATCCCGCAACACTGCAACCATTGTGAATACAAACTAGTTGCAACCAGCCTGCCTTCCATTGAGGTCCTGTGTACTGCATGAGCCAGAAAAGGGGCTGAGAAAATATCTATAGACGCCTCACATCCTGGACGTAATCTATTTCAACTGTCCCGCCACGAGTTGTCCTATGGCGAAGTGACCGTGGCAAGTTGCCCCATTTGGGCTCTCCCACAGCGAGAACATTGGGTGTGTTTGTGTGTGTGTGTTGAAACACCATTTTCCAGATGTCTGGAGCAGATCTAGCCCGACAGTGGAAGCTTCTCTGAATCCTGGGTGGAAATTGGGCTTGGGCTCTCCAGGCCATGAAAGGTGCTGATTCTGAGCCTTTGGAAGCAGGCTTATAAACCAACTTCCGGCCTGCCTCAGCGTCCACAGCTTTGGCTTTGTTCCTGGTGTCAGCTCTTAAGAGCACAGATGTGGGTGTGCCTGGGATTTCTGAGCAATCACGACGGGAAAATTGCTCCAGTCAATTTTCAGTCTCTTCCCTTGCCTTTTAAATCACTGCTCATTGCAAGATATATGTGGAATTATTGTGTCAGCTGAGTTTTTTTTTTTCCCCAGTGAGCCGAACTCCAGGGAATGTGATTCCTTTATTCAGCTTATATCCTGCCTTTTTGACATGTTTTCTGTGCCACGAGGCCTTCAAATAAAACCTGAGTTTCATTTTGGATCATTTTGGCATTGGGTGTCCTACCGCTCTATAGTGCTTTTGCTAAGTTAAGGGAAAAATAAAGCAATGACAATGGATAATGTTCAACTCTGCCCTTTTTGGTGGATGGTTTATGTGTCGGAAAGCAGTTCCTTTCAGTTATGCATCTCCTGCTCTCTTGGGTGCCTTTTTTGTGCTACAGATAATTGTGAAAGTTGCTGTGCAATACACAAATATTGTTTAAAGCAGTGGCTCTCAACCTTTTTAATGCCGCGACCCCCAACCGGTTGTAAGTCGAGGACTACTCAACCGGTCGTAAGTCGAGAACTACTAAACTGGTGCAGCACCGTTTGCAGAATGGGACTTTTGGCGGGCTCAGCAGGGCGGAGACAGCCTGGACAATTCCTATTGGCTTTTGAAAGCCAATAGAATTAGACTCTATTCAAGAGAGTCTATTCTATTGGCTTTCAAAAGCCGATAGAATAAAAGGGAGTAGCACAGCTAAGGAAAAGGGGGAAAAAATGGCGGACTGCGTTGTTTGGCGACCCCCGTGAAATGGTCGTTCAACCCCAAATGGGGTCCCGACCCACAGGTTGAGAACCACTGGTTTAAAGCATTTGAGTTTTGCTTTGCAGCTCTCTTTGGGGGCTCAGAGGTAGTTAATGTTGTACAGACAGCTCCCTGAGAAAATAATGGATTTGGGGTTTTGTTTTGTTGTAAAGATGCTAAGAAAAAGACTCAGGCATGTCTTGAGCAGAGATCTGAAGCTGCTGCAGAGCTGCTTGTCACAGCTTGAGACAGCTTGAGAGTCTCTGTGTGTTTATTGGTTTTTATATACTTTTTACATACAGAGGCTTTTACCATTAAATGCTGACATTTTACATTCATAAGTTTAACCATTAGATGCTGACATAAAGTTTCTTCATTGGAAAATTCCTTTATATAAGCAACTATTTTCTAGTAACATATTACCTGATCAGAGACCAGGTAAGAACAAATACAGATAGATCAAAGGGAGAAAGAACTGACAAAGGCAGGAAGAGATAGGAAGTAACTTAAGCATATTATCTATTTAGGTAGGTGAGATATTAAATCAAAAGGGGATGACCTTCTGGCTGCTTCATTGGGACAAAGAGTATCAAAAGGTTATGAGGTTTGTGGGGGGGGGAAGCATGGCAGTTTGCTGCGCGTGCATTTCCCCCCACATTTTGTATTTTTGCCTTTTTCCCTCCCTCGTTTCCTCAAATCTGCCTTCCCAGATTCTTGTTTTTAGGCAAAAAAATTTTTTTAAAAAATATACAGGTAGTTCAAGACTTATGACCATAATTGAGCCCAAAATTTATGTTGCTAAGTGAGACATTTGTTAAGTGAATTTTGCCCTTTTGTGCCACAGTTGTTAAGTACAGCTGTTAAGTTAGTAACACGGTTAAGTGAATCTGGCTTCCCCATCGATTTTGCCTGTAAGACGGTCGCAAAGGGGCATCGTGTGACCCCGGGGACGTGCGACCGTCGTAACTATGAGTCTGTTGCCAATCGTCTGAATTTTGATCACGTGACCCTGGGGATGCTGCAACCGTGGTAAGTGTGAAAAATGGTCCTGAGTCCCTTTTTTCAGTGCCATTGTAACTTTGAACGGTCACTAAATGAACTGTTGTAAGTCGAGGACTGCCCGTTATGTGGGAATGTGAGATGGCTGGCACAGAGATTTTCCCATCCAGAGAACAAGTTGATCCTGGCACTTCCGCTGAGCCCAGAAGAAGCGCCGATCAGCTGGAATGTTGCAGCCTCTCCAGGGTCTTGTGATTTACATTCAGATGCTTGGCAACCGATTCATATTTATGACGGTCACAGTGTCCCAGGGTCATGTGAAGCGACCAAAACCTGCTGCAACCACCTAGCAGATGGGGGGGGGAATAAAAACCAAACACCCCCCCACCCCACCCCCGCTGCCAATCCTCAACAGAAATGCTCACAACAATGAAAACCTTGGACAGAAGGAAGAGTGCCGCCAGGTGGGCAGGCAGGTGTCTTACTCGGCTGTGGCTTGGGGGGCACTTTTTTCAGTACCATTGTAACTTCAAATAGTCACTAAGCGAACTGTTGTAAGTCGAGGACTACCTGTACTTTATCACTTTTTTCCTTTTTTTGGGTCATCAAGTTTTTGACACCTTGCTAGGCGCCTGGTGATCCTCGGATGTTGCCATATCCTAAAAGTGGTACCATGGGTGAAAAGGTTGAAAAGCCCTGGGCTAGAGAACTGGACTTCAAGCTAATTGGGGAATGTGTTTTATGGCTGTTAATTGGAGGAGGGAACTGTGCTTTGATACTAAGTGCCCAGGGGAGGGGAATTCAGTTTTTGGCTTCGATTATGCAGTGCCGATATTATGCTACTCGAATAAAAGATTCTTTAAGGTAAACAATGCCTCGACGTTCTTTCGAAGAGTGTCATCTGTCGGAACCATGACATTAACTTTGGAATTTGTCGGATATTACGCCAGCATTTAACAGTAACTGTAGTTCAGTATATTCAAGTTGTGAGCATGGGAGCAAGGAAGCCGTTCCACCCGTAGGGTCACCAATCCAGCACAAGGTCAGCATAAGGAATGGGGGGAGATGGGAAAGGCAGGAACACAGGGTCCGTTTCCAAAACAACTTGGGAACTTTAAATTGGACATTGACTGAACACGGGGGAAAGTGAAAGTTAATTGCATCATTTTCCCACCAAGCCAACAGATTCTGCCTTTCTCTAATCTGTAACTGCTTTGTTCTCAATAAAGTATACTCTTGGGTGGAGGGGGAATGAACCAGGAGTCTCCCTTTGCTAATTAAAACTAAGTGGGATGGATGGCACGTGTTTATTATTGGCGGAAATCTTACGGCTCCGTTTTTTTTCTTTTTCTTGCTTCCTTGGCAGGAATACACGTGTCCCCGATGTGAATCTGGCTTTATTGAAGAAGTAACAGACGACTCCAGGTACCTGTCATTTCCTGACCTGCAACAACACGGTGTCTTTTTATATATTATATATTTATATATTCTCTTCTGAAAGGTGTTTCTCAACCTCCGGCTCTCTAAAAGAAGGCAAATGACCAGTTGTTTGTTTTTCTTTGAAGATGTTTCACTTCTCCTCCAAGAAGCTTCTTCAGCTCTGACTGGATGGTGGGGAGTGGAAGGATTTATACGCCTTGCAGACAGCTGGTCATTTGCCTTCTTTTTAGAGAGTCGTTGAGGCCACTTGGAGGTTGATCTGTTTTTCTCAAGGTCACCTGAGTGGAGCAAATGGGTGTGGAGCCTTCCTGGAACTGCTGAAAGGACTATGTTCCACACCCATTTACACCACTCAGGTGACCCTGAGGACACAGATAAACCTCCAAGTGGCCTCAACGACTCTCTAAAAGGAGACAAATGACCAGCTGTCTGCAAGGAGTATAAATCCTCCCATTTCCCCACCATCCAGTCAGAGCTGAAGAAGCTTCTTAGATGAGAAGTGAAACATCTTCAAAGAAAGAACAAGAAAGTCCAGTTGCCTCCAGGAAAAAAAAAAAAAACACCTTTGGGACAACCATGACATGGATGACCGAGAATCTCCACAGACATTCGCTGAGGGACGATTCAACAATTCAGTTTAATTATTTAAACGAGTTAAAAAATGTTTTAATTGTTGTCCTTCACATTTCATTTTGTCCGTCCCTTGCAATCCTTTCTTTAATGATTCTGTAATGATAATAATGATAAAGTTGGAAGGGACCTTGGAGGTCATCTAGTCCATCCCCCTGCTCAGGCAGGAAACCCTACACCATTTCGGACAAATGGCTGTCCAGTCTCTTCTTAAAAACTTCCAGTGTTGGAGCCTTCACCGCTTCTGGAGGCAGATGGTTCCACTGGTTAATTGATTCTATTCCACTGTTTCTTTGCTATTAGTGTGATTCTTGGCGAGGTGTCGTAGACCCCTCTTAGGCTGCTCCCTGGTATGTTAGTGACCAGAAAGGTGAGAATATCTGGGAATTGAAGTCCACCTATCTCACAGTTGCCAAGGTTGGGAAGTCCTTGTTCTAGAAGCCCTGGCGTTTTCCCACCACCTGTTGTTTTTTTTCTCTCTTTAGTTTTTTAGAAGGCAACAGCAGTGGCACCGATGAAAGTCCTTCCACCCCATTTGCAGAGGTGAGTTTCCCCGTTTTGTTTTTTTATTTTTTAATTTTATTTTTCAGCTTTTTACGGCTGTGTTGGGAAGGGGTCCTTCCTTGTCCATTCCCACCCCTGAACGACTTTGGTCTGGTTTGAGATGTGGCTCTTTGGTAGGCGAGATCGTTTTTAGGGAGACCCCCTCGTTTGAAAAAGACACGGGTGTGAAAACAAGCCATCGGTTGTTTGAAGAAGTGTAAACCTCGATGGGATGCTATAGAATAGATAAACACTTTGGATCACTTTCCTCAATAAATCAATGAACAAGTACAGATAATGCTCAACTGATAACCGTGTCAGATGTCCATCTAGCACAGGGATAGGCCACCTTGGCTCTTTTATGACTCGTGGACTTCAACTCCCAGAATTCCTGAGCCAGCATGGGGAAATATGGCCCCCTCATGACTCGTGGACTTCAACTCCCAGAATTTCTGAGCCAGCATGGCTCAGCTTGGAAACCTCTCCCTTTCCCCTCAGCATGGCTGGCTCAGGAATTCTGGGAGTTGAAGTCCACGAGTCATAAAAGAGCCAAGGTTGACTACCCCTGATCTAGTGAATCCAAATAAGGAACTCCTTGAATACACAGGTAGTCCTCGACTTTCAACAGTTGATTTAGTGACTGTTCAGAGTTACAACAGGACTGACAAAAGTGACTCATGACCGTTTTTCACACTTATAACTGTTCCAGCATCCCCGTGGTCACGTGATCAAAATCCAAAATGCTTGGCAACTGACTCATATTTATATCCCAGGATCCTGTGATCCGCTTCTGCAACCTGACAGGCAAAGTCAACGGGGGAAGCCAGAATCACTTAACAACCAGGGTTACTAACTTAACAAGTGCAGTAATTCACTTAACAACTGTTGTGGCAAGAAAAGTCGTAACATGGGGCAAAAGTCCCTTAACAAATGTTTCTCTTGGCAACAAAAATTCTGGGCTCCATTGTGGCCGTAACCCAAGGACTACCTGTAGTTCTTCCCCAAAGTAACAGTTTTATTGAATACACTACACGGAAAGAAAAAAAGCAAAACCAGTGCTGACTTTCCCATTCAATTCATCCACATAGTTAATCTTGAAGTCCTCCCTTTGGCCGTCCCTTGCAATGTCCCCACTCTCATACACTCTTTTTGTTATGGGAACTGTCTGGACGGTTCAAACACCTGTGCAGCGTCGCCTTGAAGGGTGGAGCAGGGTCTCACGATCTGCAGATGGCGGCATTCCATTCCCACCCCATGCAGCTCACACACACACACCCAATTGTTGTCAGGTTGAGATCGGAGAGGAGGAAACTAGGTGGAAAGTGAATCACTCTTGACAAATGGGTTGCTTTGTGAACAGTTAAAAGTTATGATAGACCCCACACACACACCAAAGGGACTTACATCCTGTTTTGAAGTTTTAGCGTCAGTGCCCGTGGGCGCTTGGGAACTGGTCCACATTTATAGCTTTTTGCAGGGCCCCCGGTCACATGGCCATGATTTACAATAATTTTGCGAGAAACCAGTGTTTACCTCTGGTTTCCCAGCAAAAAGCTGGCTGTAGCCAAGAGCAAGTTGGCTTAATGATCACAGAGCTCACCGGTGCAGAACAAATTGTAAACAGTGATCTCCTTCATGGCCATCACAACTTATGACTTGTAAGTTGACGGCTCCCTGTATAATGTTTTTGGCTTATTTCTTCAATTGGTTTATATTTATCTAGTTTTGGGGCTTGCGTGGAGAACAGATCGCGTCTTAGGTCCTATTCCACAGGCTCCGCCAACTTTTCAGCACCACTGTACACGCGGAAGAGAAAAAAAACTTTGGTATAAAAATATGGGCGATTTCTAGTAAAAGTATATTAATAGCCCCTTCAAGCCAAGAGAGGCTGACTCGTGGTTTTTGCAAATCAGACCAAGTATAGCCTTGGATCCAAGTCGTTTTATATTTAGATGGGTGACTGGTTATGCCGAGATGCAATTTCTGTTGTGTGAGGCAGGCTTTTGCCTCGAGGGAGTGGGCAGATGCTGGAAGAAGGAAGCTATTCAAAGCTTCCCCAACCACTTCAGCTGCCAGTTTGCCTCCCACTTACCTTTCAGCCAGGGCATTGCTGGGGCCTCCCACCTGCTTGTGATCAAGACTGGCAGGACAATCAAACAGCCAGGTGTGTTACCTACTTTGACAGGAGGTAAGCTTGCTATCCTGGCTCTTCTGCTATATGAGGCATGGATGGAGACTGCTGTCTCTATTTGGAGGCTGAGTTTGCAGACCCTACAGGGTACACAGGTGGCTGGCTGGTTGTGGGCTTCATGTGTGGCACAGACCAACTGATGCTTCCTTTGTTGTGAGAACCTAGGCAATGGGGTTGACGCAGTAAGCTGAGTCCCTTCACCAGGGTTTAGAGTGTTGTGAGGATGCTACTGGCATGTTAATTAGTGGTCTGAGCTAACACAGCTACTTTGGTTCAAATCAGAATAAAGCTGGAAGGGACCTTGGAGGTCTTCTAGTTTAGCCCCCTGCTCAAGCAGGAGACCCTATCCCATTCCAGACAAGTGGCTGTCCAGTCTCTTCTTAAAAGCCTCCAGTGATGGAGCACCCACAGCTTCTGGAGGCAAGATGTTCCACTGGTTAATTGTCCTCACTGTCAGGAAGTTTCTTCTTAATTCCAGGTTGCTTCTCTCCTTGATTAGTTTCCATCCATTGTTTCTTGCCTTCTAGTGCTTTGGAAAATAGTTAACTCCATCCTTTTTGTGGCAGCCCCTCAAATACTGAAATACCGCTATCATGTCCCCCCTAGTCCTTCTTTTCTCTAGACTGGCCATGCCCAATTCCTGTAACTGTTCTTGGTCTCCAGGCCTTTAATCATTTTAGTTGCTCTTCTCCAAAGTCTCAACATCTTTTTTATAATGTGGTGACCAAAACTGGATGCAGTGTTCCAGGTGTGCCCTTACTAAGGATTTATAAAGCGGTACTAAAAGTTCATGCGATCTTGATTCTGTGCCTCTGTTTATACCATCAGGGATTGTATTAGCTTTTTGGGCCGTACACGGCTGGCTGATGTTTAAGTGATCGTCCACAGGACTCCAAGGTCCCTCTCACAGTGACTGTTTTTGAGCCATTTTGACTGTTCTACTGCAGTTCTACTTTTTTTTTTAATGCAACTGCCTAGCATGTAGACCGCCCAGAATCCCATAAAGGGTGTGGCTAGCTGATGAGGACTAATGAGTCCGAAATAGCTATACTAGTCTCCCACTTAAATCTTTAACTCTTTGTCAGCAAAAAGAAATCTGAATATATACTGCTCAAAAAACACAAACGTATAGGATCCTATACGTTTGTGTTCCCTTTATTTTTTTGAGTAGTGTGTGTGTGTGTGTGTGTGTGTGTGAGAATCCAATTATATTTCATCTCTAGTTATCAACTATAGAAAACCCCATTTCTGCCTTCTCTGGATTCTGTCATATGATGAAGGGAAGGGGGTGAACAAAGGGGTTTTGTGGCCCTCACTTCCTTCGGTACAACTTCAAAGGAATTGAATGTGGATATCACCAAAAGGGCTAACCATAAGAATGGGGCTATTACCTTTCATGTAGTTCTCTCTGAAGTCTCCATCCAGCCGGCAGCAAGGAAAAGGGGGTGGGAGTGTAATGCCTGAGACTGTCGCTGGAAGAAGGAGGTGATTGGGTGGGGCTACTGGGGAACCCCTTAAAACCTTGAATGGGAGAGCTTGGACCCCAAGTCCTGTCTAGAACGCCTGCAACCATTTTCTCTTAATAAAGGATGCCTGTTGGAAGAATTATTCCAAGAGTTCTGTCTTCGTAAGAGGCAAAGTGGGGTGGGTCCTTACAATGTGTGTGTGTGTGTGCATTCATGTTGTATTTCAGTTCTTGTTAGTCACTCAGGATCTTATTGCTTAAATGGGTGGCCCTATGCCTCAGTTGAAATAAATTTATGTCATCTCTAGTACCCGCCCCCTCCACCTCCCCCTGGAATAAACATACTGAAATAATTATTTCAAGCTAATCCCCTTGGAAGTTCTGTCTCAGAGCATTTCAGATGTTTGGATCTATAGGCAGTTCTTTTAAAAATAAAGCTGATTCTGCCCCCCACCCCCATGTGTTCTTTCTGAATTTAGCCCTTGAGCTCAGCGGGTCAAGCGTCACAGCTGACCTCAGGCCAACTGCTTTACCTGACTCGCCTTTTATCTGAACTCATCTGTCTCAGACGTGTTGCTTAATGTCACCGCGATCAGAAATAGTGGTCAGTTCTGGCCCTGCCAGCCCTTCTTGGGGGAGGCTGACTCTGTAGCCCGTCATACCGTTGGGCTTTGGAAGGGCTCCAGAACTGCCTCTTCCTTCTCCTTATGGTACTCTACTGTCCCTCCGGCTTTAGAGTCGGGATCAATCAATCAGAATAGAGCCGGAAGGGACCTTGGAGGTCATCTAGTCCAACCCCCTGCTCAGGCAGGAAACCCTATACTATTTCGGACAAATCAAACTATTGCAACCAGCCTGCCTTCCATTGAGGAGCTGTAAACTGCAAGAGTCAGAGAGGGGGGGATGAGAAAATATCTACAGACCCTTCACATCCTGGACATAATCTATTTCAACTCCTCCCCGCTGGACGCTGTTCTAGGGCATTGCATGCCAAAACAACCAAACTAAGTTTTTTTTTCCCTGTGTCATCACTCTGCTGAACACCTAATTCCCGCAGCACCGTTTTAGGCCTAAGATATTTACCCATGTAGTGAGCTGTATTAACTATTATCCTTCTCATCTTCTCCTCTTTCCTCCTACCTTCTCCTGTTGGTATCTAGGATTAATAATTGTATCTTATGATTTATGATCTGTGACTTACCACTTTGTTTTAGCTATGTACACTGAGAGCTTCTGCACCAGAGACAAATTCCTTGTGTGTCCAATCACTCTTGGCCAATAAAGAATCCTATTTCTCTAGTGGACTTAATTCTTACTAGAATTAGAACTAGAGGGTCAGCTGTAGTGGACTTAATTCTTACTAATAAATATGAAACGGTTGAAGGAGTGGAGGCTGTAGGAAGTTTGGGGAAGAGTGATCATGTTATACTAGAATTCACCATAATGCAGAAAAAGATAGACTTTAAGGGAGCCGACTTCAATAAGCTGAGAGAGTGTCTAGGAAGGATTCCATGGCTGGAAATCTTGGAGGGAAAAGCAGTTCAGGATGCTTGGGATACTCTGAAAAACAAGGGAATAAAAGCCCAAACAAAAACAATACCACAGAGAAAGAAAAACAAGAGACTCCAGACTCTACACAAGCTCTTTTACAAAGTTGAGGGACCAAAAGGACAAGTACCGGTAGTCCTCAACCTACGACCACCATTGAGCCAAAAATTTCTGTCGTTAAGTGAGACGTTTGCTAAGGGAGCTTTGCCCCATTTTACGATCTTTCTTTCCCCCAGTTGTTAAGTGAATCACTTCAGCTGATAAGCTAGTAACCCGGCTGTGAAGTGAATCTGGCTTCCCCATTAACTTTGCTGGTCAGAAGTTCACAAAAGGGGATTCTGGGACACTGTAGTCGTCATAAACCGCGAACCGGTTGCCAAGTATCTGAATTCTGATCACATGATTGTGGGGATGCTGCAAAGGTCGTAACTGAAAAACTGTCCCAAGTCTCTTTTTTTTCCAGGGCCGTCGTCACTTTGAATGGTCACTGTTGTAAGTCGAGGAGTACCTGTATATAAATTGGTTCCTGGGAAGGAAGATCACGCTTTTCCCTCAGGCCGAGTTTTTGGTGTGCCTCTAAACCAGTTCTGACTCTTTTTTTCCCTCCATTTTCCATCTCCCTTCCTCAGTTCTGGGACCAGCTGGACCGCTCCATGGTCTTTCCATTCCTGAGCAGCTCTCTGGACCACAATGGCAGAGACAACGAGAGGGGTCACCAGGCCCACGCGGACCTCTGGGGACCAAGCCGACCCCCCCGGCTGCCCATGGCCCGGAGGTATCGGCCCCGCCTCAGCACCCGGCCGGATCGCTCCCCGGCCATCGAAGGGTAAGAATCGCGGGAGCGAGTCGAGCTCTCGAAAACAACAGCCCCGTTCAGCTTTTGCACGAGAGAACGGCGCTTGTTTCACCAAGGGAAGGCAAAACCAGCAGAGCCTCGAAGCCGGGACAGGTAGCCCTCGACTTAACGACCACCGCCGAGCCCAACATTTCTGTCATTAAGCGAAACGTTTGTGGAGTGAATTTTGCCACATTTTGCGACCTCTCTTGCCAGCGTTGTTAAGTGAAGCGCTGTTAAGTTGGGAAACCCGGTGGTTAACAGAGCCGAGGTGGCGCAGCAGTTAGAGTGCAGTACTGCAGGCCACTTTAGCTGACTGTGTTCAGCAGGTTAGCGGTTCAAATCTCACCGGCTCAAGGTTGACTCAGCCTTCCATCCTTCCGAGGTAGGTAAAATGAGGACCCAGATTGTTGGGGGCAATGTAATATATATATATATACATTGCTTACTGGTGTACACCGCTTAGAGAGTGCTTGCACTTAAAGCGCTATATAAGTCTCATAAATAAATAAATAAATAAATAAATAAGTGAATCTGGCTTCCCCACGGACTTTGCTCGGCAGAAAGTCACGTGACCCTGGGACACGGCAGCCGTCCTAAACACGAGTCAGTTGCCAAAGTGTCCGAATTTTGATCACATGACCGTGAGGATGCTGCAAGGGTCCTAAGTGTGAAAAATGGTCCCAAGTCCCCGTTTTTCAGTGTCATTGTGACAACAAACTATTGTAAGTCGAGGATTATCCGTAGTTTTTCATAATGATCCTATCTGGGCTCTTGGCAGCCAGCTCAGCATTGTGCATCGATATGCGCCATTGTGCTCTTTGCCAAAGGAGCTGGTGCTTCCTGCATCACGCAAGGTCAGAAAATGTCTTTGTGGCAGTGGCAACTTCCCTGAATATGGCTGCTCCTTCCTTACCTGTGACCTTTTCTCTGTTCTTCCCACCTGGCAAATCACCTGGAGCAGAATAATACAGCAGATCTTCGCTGGCTTCTTTGCAAATTCGGCAGTGCCCGGATCACCTCCTCCATCATTCTCCTGGTGAGTGGCATCCGCTCTTGGGCCCTCCGTGCTTGGATTCAGGCAAAGTTGAGGTTGTTCTGGGACTCTGGGGACCTTTTCAAGCTGCTCCTCAGCTCCGATCCTGGGAAGGGAGGTCTGAAAACTTCATGAGGGAAGGTGGCTTGAATCTCAAGCAGGCAATTCCTCTCCGCTTTGTCTCCGGGTCTTTGGTCCCGCTCCAGGCCTGGCTTTGCAAAATGGGACAACTCGCCACACTGCGGGACCATTCAAGAATTCAATTTAATTATTTAAAATAGTTTTAAAAATGTTTTATTTTTTGTCCTTCAGGTTTCGTGTTGTCCCTTCTTTGGCTTCCTTTCTTTCATGATTCTGTTCCACTATTTCTTCAATATTAGTGTGACTCTTGTCCTGCGGCGAGTTGGCCAGGATGGGTTGGCTGTGGGGAGGGGTCTTAGAACTGACCAAACCCCCCGCCCCACTTCACTTCTCCTGCATCCTAGTTATCCTTGGTCAGAGGTAGGCCACCTTGGCTCTTTTATGACGCCTGGACTTCAACTCCCAGAATTCCTGAGCCAGCCATGCTGAGGGGAAAGGGAGAGGTTTCCAAGCTGAGCCATGCTGGCTGAGGAACTCTGGGAATTGAAGTCCACGAGTCATGAGGGGGCCAAAGTTTCCCTCATGCTGGCTCAGGAATTCTGGGAGTTGAAGTCCACGAGTCATGAAGGAGCCATAGTTCCCCCATGCTGGCTGAGGAACTCTGGGAGTTGAAGTCACTAGTCATGAAGGGGCCATAGTTTCCCCCATGCTGGCTCAGGAATTCTGGGAGTTGAAGTCCATACATCATAAGGGGCCATAGTTCCCCCATGCTGGCTCAGGAATTCTGGGAGTTGAAGTCCCCAAATCATGAAGGAGCCATAGTTCCCCCATGCTGGCTGAGGAACTCTGGGAGTTGAAGTCCACGAGTCATGAAGGGGCCATAGTTTCCCCCATGCTGGCTCAGGAATTCTGGGAGTTGAAGTCCATACATCATAAGGGGCCATAGTTCCCCCGTGCTGGCTCAGGAATTCTGGGAGTTGAAGTCTCCAAGTCATGAAGAAGCCATAGTTCCCCCATGCTGGCTGAGGAACTCTGGGAATTGAAGTCCATGAGTCATGAAGGGGCCATAGTTCCCCCATACTGGCTCAGGAATTCTGGGAGTTGAAGTCCACAAGTCATAAAAGAGTCAAGATTGCCTACCCCTGTCCTTGGCGAATTGTGCTGACCATCGCAGCTGACCCCTTCCTCCGAGACCTGGAGCTTCTCCCAGAGTCATTTTCTGACTAGGAGTTGCAGAAAATTACAGCTTGGGGGGGCTCGAAGTTGTCCACCATTTTAGACTTGAAAGTTGAGGGATGAAAAGCAGCCCCCCACGGGCCCCCCTTTGAGCGCCCTTTTTCTTTCCCTCCCTCCAGGGGTGGCGTGCAAGGCAGGCTGCACTCTAGCTTTGGGGACTACGCGTGGGACCAGAGCGGCCTCGATGCTGTCTTGACCCAGGTAAAGGCACTGGCCAGAAGGCCCCGGGCGAGGCTGCCCTTCTCCTCCTGCAGGGACACCTGTGGCACACCTGTCCTGACCCCTGGGCCAGTGCTGGGCCTTCTCCTCCACAGTCTACCTTTGCTTGTGTCCACGTCCCCTCAGCTGTCCCGGCCCGTCCCCCTCTGCAAAAGAAAGCCTGGATCTCAGCACTGAAAAGACTGACACCAGGCTGGGTTCACGCAACACGCTAAGCCACACATATGTGCGTGCGCACACAAGATAAAACACACCTACTTGAAGTGAAACTGAGCTATGCATGACGTTTCCCTTCTCCTCCAAGAAGCTTCTTCAGCTCTGACCGGATGGTGGGGAATGGGAGGATTTATACTCCTTGCAGACAGCTGGTCATTTGCCTTCTTTTAGAGAGTCGTTGAGGCCACTTGGAGGTTTATCTGTGTCCTCGGGGTCATCTGAGTGGTGCAAATGGATGTGGAGCCTTCTTGGAACTGCTGAAAGGATCATTTGCACCACTTGGGGGATGCTGAGGTCACCGATACACCTCCAGGTAGCTTTAACAGCCCTCTAAAAGAAGGCAAATGACGAGCTGTCTGCAAGGAGTGTAAATCCTCCCATTTCCCCACCATCCAGTCGGAGCTGAAGAAGCTTCTTGGATGAGAAGTGAAACATCTTCATAGAAAAACAAACAACTGGTCATTTGCCTTCTTTGAGAGAGCCGTTGAGGCCACTTGAAGGTTTATCTGTGTCCTTAGGTCGCCTGAGTGGTGCAAATGGATGGGGAGCCTTCTTGGAATTGCTGAAAGGACTGTGTTCCACTCCCTTTTTTGCACTACTCAAATGACCCTGAAGATACAGGTAAACCTCCAAGTGGCCTCAACGACTCTCTAAAAGAAGGCAAATGACCAGCTGTCTGCAAGGAGTATAAATCCTCCCATTCCCCACCATCCGGTCAGAGCTGAAGAAGCTTCTTGGAGGAGAAGGGAAACGTCTTCAAAGAAAAACAGTTGGCTCATGAAAAAAAAAGCACCTTTGCGATTCTTCCCGCCTAACTTTGCAACAGTCAGCACCTCCACCTTAAGACCTCTTCTCGTGCGTTACCCTCCCTTCCTCTCTCACCTCTCTTGCAGCTTATGGGGCACTTGGAAAATACAGGGCCTCCCCCAGCTGAGAAGGAGAAAATTTCTTCCCTCCCAACAGTGACCGTCACTCAGGAACAAGTGGGTGAGTAAGTTCTTGTTTTGGTCCCCCTTTTTCTCTTGGCTGGTCTGGAGCCAGTTGGGGAGGGCTGAGCCTTTTGTGTCAGAAGAAAGAGCTTTTCTGGAGACCTCATCAGCTCCGGCAAAACAGCCATGGTGGCCCTATTTTTCCCGGTGGCTCCCAAACAAATCGTCCAACAGAGCTTTTGTCTGGGAGCTCTGCTGCTTTTGTAAATGTTATTTTGAGAAGAAATTGTGGGCACTCCATCACAAGAGGTTTTTAAGAAGAGACTAGACAGTCACTTGACTGAGATGGTCTAGGTCAGGGGTCGGCAACCTTAAACATTCAAAGAGCCACTTGGACCCATTTCCCACAGAAAAGAAAACACCGGGAGCTGCAAAACCCAATGGGGGGGATTGATTGAAGAGTTTAATTAAAAAGAAATAGAGGGTGCTGTGCATGAGTTCTCTTTCTCTCCTCTCTTTTTCTCTCTCTCTCCCCCTCTCTCTTCCTCTCTCTCTCTTTCCTCTCCTCTCCCCTCTTTCTCTTCCTCTCTCTTTTAATCCCCCTCTCTCTCCCTCTCTTTCCTCTCCCTCTCTCTCTCTCTCCCCCCCTCCCCTCCTCTCTCTCCCTCTCTCCGATCTTCTGCTCACCTGGCAAGTTGGCTTCACGCTGTTCTCGGACAAGCTGACACACATTCTTATTGGGCTGGCTCTTCCTGCCCTTGGTCTGCCAGTCCTCTTCCCCCACTCAGTGTATGTGTATATGTGTGTGTGAATGAGAGAGAGAGAGGGAGAGAGCTACTGCTTCCTGCAGAGACGTAGCAAAGGAGCCCCACCCAATAAGCTTGTCAGCTTGGAAAACAGCGTGAGCCCACTCTCTTTTTTACAGAGAGAGAGAGAGAGAAGGGAAGAGCAAGTGCATCTCTCTGTCTCTGTCTCTCTCTGTGGCTCCAGAGCCGTGGGTTGCCGACCCGTGGTCTAGGTTCTCCTGCTCAAGCAGGGGATTGGACTAGAAGACCTCCAAGGTCCCTTCCAGCTCTATTCTATTCTAAATTTGCCCGTTCAGAGATTGCACACCATCATGCCCTTCCAACGTGGCTTTCAGAGTTATTTCACAGGATTTCCACTTTCTGATCGATAGGCTTTTTCTTTTAACTGCCAGTTAATTTCAACCGCTGCCCCAGTCAGTTCTTTCATGTAGATGTTCAGCTTCCATCATCCCCAGCCGTCCTCTGATTTAGGGTAGGAATAATAAATTATAATGGAGGAGCTCGTGGCCTTCCACCTTTGTGCAAGAAAATGGCAGCAGCGACTCTGCTTGCCCTTGTCTTGTCTTTCAGATTGGACCTGGGCTGGGGGAAGGAGAAGGCCCTAGAAATGCAGAGCTGCACATAGTAATACAGGTAGTCCTTTACTTACGACCGCCACTGAGTTTTTGAGTGAGACATTTGTTAAGTGAGTTTTGCCCCCATTTTACGACCTTCCTTGCTTCAGTTGTTAAAAGAATCCCTGCAGTTGGTAAGTTGGTAACCCGGTTGTTAAGTGAATTCCTTCCTTCCTTCCTTCCTTCCTTCCTTCCTTCCTTCCTTCCTTCCTTCCTTCCTTCCTTCCTTCCTTCCTTATTTCTCTTTTTCCTTCCTTCCTTCCTTTTCTTCCCTTTATCTCCTTCCTTCCTTATTTATTTGTTTCTCTTTTTCCTTCCTTCCTTTTCTTCCCTTCATCTCCTTTCTTTCTTTCTTTCTTTCTTTCTTTCTTTTTCTTTCTTTATTTCTTTTTCCTTCCTTCCCTTCATCTCCTTTCTTTCTTTCTTTCTTTCTTTCTTTCTTTTTTTCTTCTTCCTTCCTTTCTCTCAGTCCCACCAGCATGCGATAGAAAACCCCAGTCATTTCCTGGGAAGGGTCTTAAGGGTCTTAGGCCTCTTTGAAGATCATCAATTCCACCCAATACCCCAATTGCTGATTGCTAAGTTTTACCAGTCAAGTGACAGTCCAAGCTCTTTTTCTTCCATCACCTTCCAAACCTTTTCGTCCTTGTCCTTTCCGCATCTTTTTCTTTTGGGATGCTTTTCTTTCTCTTTGCTTTTACAACTCCATGGCCACATCGTTTCCCCACTTCCCACCAACCTGGCTTTCGGCTCCTTAGCAGCCAGCATCCCTTTGGCGCCATCTTTCCTCCGCTGAAATGACTCGGCACCAGGAACCTTCCCCTCTTCCTTTCATCTGTTTTTCTTGAGCCTGGGGTAACTCCCTCTGGCCACATGGCTGAGGCCCGATGCGTGGCGACAGCTGTCACTAACGTTCTCCCTCTCACAGATACGGGTTTGGAGTGTCCCGTGTGCAAAGAAGACTACACTGTGGCGGAGCAGGTCCGGCAACTCCCGTGCAATCACTATTTCCATAGCAGCTGCATTGTGCCATGGCTGGAACTGGTAAGACTCTGCTTGGGCTTGGACAGTGGGGAGGAGGGAGCTTGTCCCTATCTCTGGGGCAGGAAATCTCAGGCACCACAAGAGATGTAGCTGGACCGCTAGGAGCCAACAAGAACGTCCTCCCTCAGGAAGGCATTTGGTTTTGGCACCTCTGGAGCTCCGAATGGGCAGATGGCAACAATGGTGTGATCGGTTGCATCCTCCATCTCGACAGTCAGTCAGCTGTGCTCTGCGCAAGGCACACTCGGAGCAGTTGTGGCGCAGTGGTTTAAGAATGCAGTATTGCAGGCTGACTCTGTCCACTGCCAGCAGTTCGATCCTGACTGGCTCAAGGTTGACTCAGTCTTCCGTTCTTCTGAGGTTGGTAAAAAGAGGAGCCAGGTTGTTGGGGGCAAAAGGCTGAGTCTGTAAACTGCTTAGAGAGGGCTGTAAAGCACTGTGAAGCGGTATATAAGTGCTGTTGTTGTTCTGTTCTGTTCTGTTCTATTATTCCATTCCATTCCATTCTATTCTATTCTGTTATTCTATTCTATTCTGTTATTCTATTCTATTATTCTGTTTTATTCTATTCTATTCTATTATTTTATTCCGTTCCATTCCATTCTATTGTATTCCTATTTTATTCTATTCTGTTATTCTATTCTATTCTATTCTATTCTATTCTATTCTATTCTATTCTATTCTATTCTGTTATTCTATTATCCTGTTTTATTCTATTCTTCTATTATTTTATTCTGTTCCGTTCCATTCCATTCTGTTCTATTCCTATTTTATTTTATTTTATTATTATTCTATTATTCTATTCTATTCTATTCTATTCTATTCTATTCTATTCTATTCTATTCCCATGGTGGCGCCTGCCGCTCACACGCTTGCTTGTTTTCGCCTCCTTTGCCAGCACGACACGTGTCCTGTGTGCCGGAAGAGTTTGAATGGGGAGGACTCCGCTCAGCGAGCCCCGAACACGGACGCCTCCACCAGCAACTCCTTTAGCAGCCCAGGCCACCTGCATGACCGATGGACTTTCTGACGCCTTCCCAGGGCCGGCGGGAGAGAGAAGGGCAGCTGAAGCCTGTGGCACTCTTGACTACAGTTGTAAATTGTACGATAACTCAACTACACAAGCAAGTAGCAAGAAGAGAGGAAGCGGGCCCAAGCAGCATTCACACACACCCCACCGAAGCCTGCCCCCCCTTTCTGAAAAACGGTCCCCGAGGAACCATTTCTTGTCTGTAGGGGCCACTTGCATTTCTTGAGCCTTCAGGTCTGTAGGGGCCACTTGCAGGGTGGGAGTGGCGTCCATTAAAGCGTGTGGACCTCCTCCGATAGCTGTACTAATTGCTGGCTGTCTGTCCACGTAACACCTTTACCTGGAAGTGGACCGGGAAGACAAAGCTCGGAAGAAGCCCGGAGTCGGAAGGCCTGCAGGGACGTGGCTCTCTGCAGTGCCTTAGGCGTGGCATGTATGGAGGGGGCTGTTTGGTGGGGTTTCCTTTGCATTTGATGGGTTCAGAAGGGGGGGGAAGGAGAAAGAAAGCCCCCCCACACCTACTGTCCCCACTCCAGGTTTCTGTGGAAGCCAACAGGTGACGCTTGCCTGTGCGAGGCAGGTCCGGATTCCTTTGCTTGAACTGAGTTATCCACTTGCCTGCCACGCGAGGCCCAGCTTGCTCCGTGCGGTCAAACGGACTCATTTGTCTTTCGCAGCAAAAGTGGCGTCGCCATGTATTCCTCTATATTGAAAACGCGAATACCAGTGTTGATGTATCAGGAAGAACGGCTTGTCGTCTCAATTTTTTTTTTTTCTTCTTCAGCTTCTGTATACAGCCACCATTCTTTTCTCCTCGGCTTTGAAATCCTCTCGATCGTGTCTGGACTTCCTTTATACCCCGCCAGCCCTGGGGGAAAAAAACTCTCTCACCTTCAAGTGGAGAGGAAAGGCGGGGGGGGGGGCGCGGGCCGGTGAGTTAGCCAGATCAAGATGCAAAGTGAACAAAGATGAAAAAAAAAACAAAAAACAACTCACCTCCTTCTCCCTTTCCCCACACACACACACACACACTACAAGGAAAGAAAGAGCCGTGGGCACAGTTGTAAAAATGTGCCTGGGCGTTGATGCTAAATCTTGCTATTGAATAAAGTCTTTAATAAGAAACCAGACCAGCGAAGGTAATTTTTGGCCGGGCTTTTGAACCGAGACGTGCAAGAGAGGCTGGCTTCTTCACGCCGGCAGGCAAGGCTCATGGAGGCTGGGAATCGGAGTGGCAGCGTTGCCCACCCTGGCAGCCTCGGCCCTTGAAAGGCCCAGGCCCAGCGCCGTTAGAAGCCCCACAGCTTGGGGCCTGCTGTAGCCAAAGGGCCTCTAAGACCCTGGAAAAGTTGCAAGGCCCTTGGTGGCCCCAGAATCCTTCCCGCGTCTTGGCACCCGTGGAAGTTTCTCCAGAACAAGCCCCCCCTTGTGCCAGTCCAGAAAGATGAAGGGAAACTGGCAGAGGTAGCTGCCCAACTTCCCCTTCCAAGTCCTCCTTCCATTTGGCTGCAGGCTTCACCGATTCCCCGGGGAGGAAGGGGCTGCTGTTGAGAACCGGAGGGCCTGGCTGGAAATTGGGAGACTGCAATTCCCGTTATTCTGCATTGGCTGAGGTTGATGGGAGATGGAGTCCAGCCACAGGCTCCTCCTCCACTTCTGATTATGACTGTGGAGAAGGAAGCGTGTCTTCGCTTCCGTTTCTGTTGTTCTGTTGCTGCCTTGGCTTGAGGCAGCCCAAGATCGTGATTCCCCCAGGTGTTTGTCCACTTTTAGGAGCGCCCACTTTTTCGCCAAAAGGAGGGACGCGACTATCACCACCCTGCCTTTTGCTAACAACCGGGCAGCTGGCGCTTAACCCTCTTCCACACAACGCTTTAAAAAAAAGAAGGGAGAGCAACTTTCCCATTTTATAAAATCCCCGTTTTCATTAGAACAATTTTTCAGAAATTCAGGTGGCTCGTGATGAGGAGGGGGGGGACGCCATACCCCAATTTATGTGAAAAACAGACACAACAGCCTCTTGTTTTGGGGGGGGGAACCAATTTAACAATATGCCTGGTTTCGGAAATGGGCACGCGCAACAAGCCAAAGGAGACCCAAATCCCTGTAGCTTGTTCAGTGCTCCAGCGAGCTGCGCGGGACGAAAACCACGGTTGTCTCTGTTTTTTCTTGAAGTAAAAGTCCAGCAAGATTTGCAACAGGCAGTCCCAACAGCAGCTTCTGGTGCAGTGTTGCAGCACTGCAAATGCCAGAGTGAACCCCAAAACTTCCTCTGGGGAGGGGGGGTTTAAAAAGCATCTAGAATAAAGGATTTCCATGTGGGGATTTCCTGCACGGTGAAAGGGGACCCCCTTAAAAGTCCACAGGCCTGTCCACAAATCTGGCAGGCAAACGTGGCTTTTGATCTACCTGAAGATCAGTCTTGGCAATATTTAGATAGCGCATATCTAAATACACGGAAGGGGAGAGAGACGGCCGTGCTTTCTGGTTCCCAAAATGCGAAGAGATGCTGCCTTAAGATTTTGGAGCCGTTCTTGCGGACCGGCCCGAACGTCCGTGGTCCTAAAAGTGATCGGTACAGAAAAAAAAGCACAGCTCCCCTTCTGGGTTTTAACTCACGGACGCGTCTTCCTCTTGGGCGAAGAGTCTTTGTTCCCACGGACTCGTTTAATCTTCTTTCTCGTCTTCTCCAGGCTTTTTGTGCGCGAAAAATCCAATCTGAGGTTGGGATGAGAGAAGGAAGCAGAAAACAAAGAGGTTATTTACAGACTGCAGAGAATTGGAGGTTGAAACATCAAAGTTTCGGTTCTGAAGTTTCCAAACCCAACTGCAACTAAACCCAAGCTTTGTTGCCTTTTTCGAGCACCTAAGTGAGAAATTGTTGGTCAACGATCTGCTAAGACAGCGGTTCTCAACCTGTGGGTCGGGACCCCATTTGGGGTCGAAGGACCATTTCACGGGGGTTGCCAAACAACGCAGTCTGCCATTTTTTCCCCCCTTTCCTTAGCTGTGCTCCTCCCTTTTATTCTATTGGCTTTTGAAAGCCAATAGAATAGACTCTCTTGAATAGAGTCTAATTCTATTGGCTTTCAAAAGCCAATAGGAATTGTCCAGGCTGTCTCTGCCCTGCTGAGCCCGCCAAAAGTCCCATTCTGCAAACAGTGCTGCACCCGTCGAGTAGTCCTCGACTTACGACCGGTTGAGTAGTCCTCGACTTACGACCGGTTGGGGGTCGCGGCATTAAAAAGGTTGAGAACCACTGTGCTAAGAGGTGTTTTTACTCCCACTTTTAGGCATTTCCCGCGTTCTCTCAAATTCAGACTCTTCTTTTTTCAGGGACCTGTGGTAAATTAAGGGCACAATTAATACAGGCAGTCCTCCACTTACAACAGTTTGTTTAGTGACCGTCTGAAGTTACAACGCTGCTGAAAAAAGTGACTCAGGACCGTTTTTCACACTTAGTGTCCCCTGCAGCCTCCCCAGGGTCAAGACGCTTGGCAATTGACTCACGTTTACGATGGTTGCCATGTCTCAGCGATCCCCCTTTTGCGACCTGAGAAGCCCAGTCAATGGAACCAGATTCGCTTAACAACCGTGTTACTAGTTTAACAACTGCATTGATTCACTTAACAGCTGGGGCATGAAAGTTTGTAAAACGGGGCAAAATTCACTTAAGAAATGTCTCCATCAGAGAAATTTGGAGTGCCCTTGTGGCCGTTAAGCCGAGGACTCCCTGTATACAGGCACAACCATTTGTTACTTTAGTGTGTTGAAAGTCACAACAGCGCTGAGAGAAGTAATTTGCAACCGGTCCTTGAGTTAACCGCCATTGGAGCATCCCTGCTATCACGTGATCGCAGCTTGGAGGCTTGGCTTGTCGGAAGGTCACAGAGGGGGATCGCGTGACCCCGGGACCCTCCGACCGTCATAACTACGAGTCAGTTGTCAAGCATCCAAATGTAAATCACGTGACCATGGGGAGGGTGACAGTCATAAAACGGTTGTAAGTCACTTTTTTCCATGGTGGTGCAGTGGTTAGAATGCAGCATTGTAGGCTAACTCTGCCCACAGCCAGCCGTTCGATCCTGACTCAGCCTTCCATCCTTCCAAGGTCGGTAAAATGAGGACCCAGATTGTTGGGGGGTGGGCAATATGCTGATTCCGTAAGCCACTTAGAGAGGGCTGTAGTTTCCCATTGATATTTAAATCTAATGTTTAATATTTATAATTTCCAAGTTCTAAGTAACCCCAGTTCACCCCTTTATCACAATTCATCACAAGATCTAATGTTCAGGATGCAGGTCTTATCCATTTGAATTCTCACCCTCTTACATCAACTACTTAATAATACAATATAATATTCTTAGGGATCCCACCCAATTCTTACCTTCCATAAAAAGATGATGACCAGTGTTAGAAGCAGGAGGCCGCCAAGGATGCTGCCAATCAGAATCCAGAGGGAAAGAGGGACCAGTTTGGACTGGATAATCTCCAAGAGAACCTGCAGGGAGACCAAACTCCTGAGAAGGCCGTAATTCTGAAGGCCTTAGGCCAGGGGTCGGCAACCTTAAACACTGAAAGAGCCACTTGGACCCGTTTCCCACAGAAAAGAAAATACTGGGAGCCGCAAAACTTGCGTGTGCACGCACAAGGGGGAGGGCTTGATTGAAGAGTTTAATTTAAAAGGAATAGAGGCTGTTGTGTGTGAGTTCTCTCTCTTTCTCTCCTTCCCTCCCTCTTCCCCCCCCCTCTCTGATCTGCTCACCTGGCAAGCTGGCTTCACCATGTTCTCCGACAAGCTGGCACACATTCTTATTGGGCTGGCTCTCTCTTGCCCTTGGTCTGCCAGTCCTCTTCCCCCACTCTCTCTCTCTCTCTCTCTCTCTCTCTCTCTCTCTCTCTTTGTGTGTGTGTGTGTGAGAGAGAGAGAGGGAGAGCTGCTGCTTTCTGCTGCTTCCTGCTTCGACGCAGCAAAGGCAGGAGCCCCGCCCAATAAGCTTGTCAGCTTGTCTGATAATAGCATGAGGCCAATTTTTTTACACACGCACGCACAGAGAGAGAGAGAGAGAGAGAGAGAGAGAGAGAAGGGAAGAGCAAATGCCTCTGTCACTGACTCTCTCTGCAAATGGCGGAGGAGGCTGGGAGCCGTAGGAGAAGGCTCAAAGAGCCACATGCAGCTCCAGAGCCGCGGGTTGCCGACCCATGCCTTAGAAGGTTGCCGACCCATGCCGTCCTGCATAATCTCATATTCTGGGTAACAAAACACTGGAGCATACCAATCATCCCCAGCTTGGAGGAAGCATCACGGGGTCCACTCTGCCAAGGACACCACAACCTTCCCGTTGCTATGATAGGGCAGGGGTGGACATATACTGGTCCTCAGCCTGGTGGCCTCGGGGAGGTGCCCTCACTGCCCTTCTCTACGTCCGTCTTACGATGCAGTGCCAGAACCAGACAAAGCTCAAGGTGTCCTCTGGCCAAATAAATGGAATTTTTGGATGGATTTATTGAAGATCACTTTTTGCTTTCATTCGCTTTAGTAATACATCTAGTCCTTGCAACGGTTCATATAGTGACCATTCAAAGTTACAATGGCACTGAAAAAAGTGACTTATGACTTTTCACATTTAACAACCGTTGCAGTATCCCTCCCTGGTCACGTGATCAAAATTTGGCTGTTTGGCCACTGGTTCGTATTTATGACAGTTGCCGTGTCCCGGGGATCTCCTTTTATGACTTTCTGACGTGAAAGGGGGAAGCCCGATTCACTTCACAACTGCAGTGGTTCACTTAACAACCGTGGGAAGAAAAGTTGCAAAATGAGGAAAAAACGGCTCTGTGTCAGCCCCGTCTCTTACCTCCCGCTGGTGGGCGGCTTTTGGTAGGAGAAACAGGTTGTTCTCTTCGTGAACGCTCAGCGTGATGCTGCTGATGATCTTCACCGACTTGAACTTAGCCTAGATCAGTAATGGCAAACCTTTTAGAGACCGAGTGCCCACACCGCAACCCAAAACCCACTTATTTATTGCAAAGTGCCAGGACTGCATCAGCATTGTAGGGCCCTTGGGGGGGGCAGGGAGGTGCCTCTGAGTGTCGCCTCTGGCACGGAAAAACCAGGGGCGCAAAAATGGGCCACCGTGCTGCAAGGCACAAAAACGGCCACCATCGCGCTGTGGGATGCAGATACAAGGCGCTGCACCACGCAAGAACGGGGCAAGGCTAGTGAGTATCATGCAGGCACTAGCTCTGCCCCATCTGCAGCCTGTGCATCCTCATGGCCCTGTGCGCGCATGCATGTATGTAAAATGCTTCCCCCTCCCTTTTCTTCCAGTCCACCAATGGAGAATGGTTTGGTGACCTCTGCTCTACCACCTCTAATCAGCCGCTTCGCCTCCTTTGTGCTGGACGGGGCTCCTGCTCCGGGCGGCAGTGGTGGCCTGCTGCTGGCGGTGTTGGCGCGCGTGCCATCAGAGAGGGCTCTGAGTGCCACCTCTGGCACGCGTGCCATAGATTCGCCACCACTGGCCTAGATCCACAAAATTAAGTGTGATGAGGGTTCCACAAAATTAAGGATGCGTCCTTATCCTTTTTGAAAAGGATTCACAATGGTGAAGGTGTATATATGTGTGTGTGGGGGGAAGGATATGTGAGAGTGCAAAGGAAGGTGTGCAGGAGGTGCAGTGAGGATTGAGGCTGGTGCAGTGAGAGGGTCCCTGGGTGGGGAAGCCTTGCCTCCCCCCCCAGTGACTTACGACTTTTCCTGCTGGCTTGCCTATTGACCTTTTGGGGAAGCCAGCAGAGAAGGTCACAAGTGACGATCGCAGGATTATGGGGTGCTTGGCAACTGGTTGCATGTGTGCATGGATTGGCAAGCATCTGATCCAAGATGGTCCAAGAAAAGTGATAAAAAATGAGACAGTGCACTCAGTTTCAAAACGATGGCACTCAAAACTATTGAATGCAATGACGCAATAACATGAAGAAGGATATAAAAAGGGTGGGCTTAAACCCTTAAACCAGCGGTCCCCAATCTTTACGGCTGGAACTGGCTCACCCCTCGTCGCATGAGTTGAGCTGGACGTGCACGCCAGCTTGCCATTCACACAAATTGAGTTGCGCGCGTGTGCGTGCCAGCTCACGGCTTGCACAAGTCGAGCGTGCACACATGCGCGCTGGCCCACCCCTTGCATGGCCTGGTTCTAAACAGGCCATGGCCAGGTAGTAAACTGGCCCAGAGGTTGAGTGCCTTAAACTAAAATCAACAAAACTTTCCTTGCAGCAGACTGTTCCTTTCCTCTCCCCCCATGGGACTACACTACCTGATTCCATTTTCTCTCTATTCTTTTCTTTTCGCTATGACTCTTTACACAACACCCTGTGCTTTGCTCACAGTAGTTTATACACTACTAAACCACAACTAGCTAACTCGCGAGGCACACCTCGGTTTGCTGAGTTTGCCCAACATACGAAAATCGCAAGCTGTGCTAATCAGGACACAGTTGGTGAGATCGAAGAGAAAATTCCTTCCTTTGCTTCACATACACACACACACACTCAAACACATGCGCGACAGGAGACACTGTGGCAGCACTCACCTTCCGGAAGAACCCGTTGCGGACAGCTCTGAGTAAGTGGACGGTGACTTCGGAGCTTTTCTCAAGCCGCGGCAGCTGGCAAGTCACCACTTGACAGCCGGCGTTGGTGCAGTTCTGCAGGGGAGGAAGAGCACCGGGGTTTTATCCTGACTCTCCTCGAAAAAAAATCTGATTTCTGGGCTCATAGAACATGCCAGGCCCAAAGAAAAATGAACAGATTCTGGCTTAGGGATGGTTTTCTTCACCTAACACAGTGGTTCTCCACCTGTGGGTCGGGACCCCATTTGGGGTCGAACGACCATTTCACGGGGGGTCGCCAAACAACGCAGTCCGCCATTTTTCCCCCCCTTTTCCTTAGCTGTGCTCCTCCCTTTTATTCTATTGGCTTTCGAAAGCCAATAGAATAGTCTCTCTTGAATAGAGTCTAATTCTATTGGCTTTCAAAAGCCAATAGGAATTCTCCAGGCTGTCTCTGCCCTGCTGAGCCCGCCAAAAGTCCCATTCTGCAAACGGTGCTGCACCAGTTGAGTAGTCCTCGACTTACGACCGGTTGAGTAGTCCTCGACTTAGGACCGGTTGGGGGTCGCGGCATTAAAAAGGTTGAGAACCACTGACCTAACAGATTATTGCTGGATTCCCCCAACGTGCCAAATCAGAAAGAAAGGCCGGGAAGTCTGATTCGGTCCAAACTCTACTCCAGGTGATTTCATGGGGAGGTTTGCCATGAGTTTCCTTGGCAGTAGCAGTTGGATCCTGCCTTCTTTGGGATGACTTCTTTGGAATATGACATAGGAAGAACGGTTGCAGGAACTGGATATAGCCAGTCTAGAGAAAATTTGTGGACTGTGTGTGTGTGTGTGTGTGTGTGTGTGTGGCCAGTCTAGAGAAAATTTGTGGACTGTGTGTCTGTGTGTGACTAGGTAGCAGTATTCCAATATCTGAGGGGCTGCCACAAAGAAGAAGTCCTTTTTTTTTATATCATGGTGGCCAAAACTGGATGCAGTACGGTTTGTCAGCAGTTACAAATCCATCTGAAGGTGATGCTGTCTATCCCACTTTTTTTTCTAGCTTACCAAGAAGTAGGTTGTGGTTTACTTTGTCAAATGCCTTGCTGAAGTCTAAATATACTTGTCAACGCTGCAAATATTGCATATTCTTGCTTTTGACAATATGTAGAATTGTCTGGTAAATATGGGGTTAATAAAGAGCAGAAGGGGCGTTGTGGGTAAAGCCCGGGAAAGAAAGAGGAAGAAAACATTTGACCTTCACACTAATTGGATAATGTGATATATGACAGCTAATTTAGGGAGGGAACATGCTGATAATTAAACTGCTCAGAGGAAGAGAACTTAGATCCTAGCATCCCTCCGTTGTGCCTGTGCCGACATTTTGTAACAATAAAAGACTTTTAGGAAAATAAATGCGTTGAAGTTCTTTAGAATGTTTCGTTAGCCAGAACCACAACAATACTACGTCCACAGCATTTTGCTGGTCTACTAATTTAGTGACTTTGTCAAAGAAGGAAATAAGATTGGTTTGGCACGATCTGTTTTTAACAAACCCAGGCTGTCTTTGAGTTATTACTTTACTCATTTCTAGATGTTCACAGACCTTTTTTGGATTGTCTTCTCCAGTATCTTTCTAGGTATTTGTTAAGCGGATTGGTCTATAATTTCTTGAGTATGTTTTTTTCCCCTTTTTTGAAGATGGGAACCACATCAGCTCTTTTCCAGTCCTCAGGTAATTCCCCAGTGCTCCAGGATTTTTGAAAGATATCGTACAATGATTCTGAGACGACATCTGCCAGCTAAACATGTGAACTTACCACTCTGTCTGTGTGTGCCAATTCTTCTGGGTATAGTGGAATCACACTGCTAGCTGCTTCGAACTCGGTATGATTTGGGAAGCTGCAGGTCATCTTAGAGTTAAAAGAATAAAGCATCACATGGCTGTTTGGATTGTAATTTCCCCAGAAAGTTGAGTGGGGTCTATGACATTTTGACCATAGCCAACTCACCGCAAGACATCTTGCTGCGGGAGAAGAGTTACGCTAATATCAAAGGAATGACAGGATAGAATCATTAAAGAAAAGATGCAAATGGGGGGACAGAATGAAATGTGAATGACAAAAATTAAAATAAATTGTTATTTATTTTAAATTAAATCGAATTGTTAAATTGTCCCGCAGTTAGCTAGTTGTGGAGAGTTGGCTGCAGCCAGTTGTCTGGGGTGAGTTGTCCCGTTCTGAGTTAAGCCTGGGCTATTTTTCTAATGTTTCAACAGAATTTTCTGGAAACCGTTTCTAATTCGGAACCATTTCAAAAATGCAAGACATTGTGAGCAGCCAGATTGGAAAAACAAAGCACGGCTAGGGAATTCTGGGAGCTGATGTCCAGACATCTTCCAGCTGGCAAGGTTGAGAAACATGGGTTTAGGACAGTGGTTCTCCAGCTGTGGGTCGGGACCCCATTTGGGGTCGAACGACCATTTCACGGGGGTCGCCAAACAACGCAGTCCGCCATTTTTCCCCCCCTTTTCCTTAGCTGTGCTACTCCCTTTTATTCTCTTGGCTTTTGAAAGCCAATAGAAGAGACTCTCTTGAATAGAGTCTTTCAAAAGCCAATAGGAATTGTCCAGGCTGTCTCTGCCCTGCTGAGCCCGCCAAAAGTCCCCTTCTGCAAACGGTGCTGCACCAGTTGAGTAGTCCTCGACTTACGACCGGTTGGGGGTCGCGGCATTAAAACGGTTGAGAACCACTGGTTTAGGAGTTGTGGGTCCTCTGGGAAGAGAGCCGCCGTGCCCTGGGAACATGTGCATGAGTGAAGCCAAGCCACTTACATTATCAGCAAGGATGCGAGTCACCCAGAGGAATTCCTTCCCTTGATAGCCAGTAGCAGGAAGCGCCAGCAGGAGCGAGAGATCCGTCACAGCGTAACAGGCAAGATTTTGTATCTGCAAGGACAAGACAATCAAAGATTTAAATTTTACAAAATGGGGACGTGGACAATTGCAGGTCCCACATACGAAGAAATGTTATTTCGCGGGATCCAACAAGAGAGCCTTTCCCTTAAACTCCGCTGAAGATGTTAGCTAGCCTGGTAACAAAACGTTTGGAAACCAACCCACAAGCTCGGAGAACGAACGTCCACCCTCAGGGCCTTTTCTGCCACCCATCCCCACCACCACCCCGAGGTCAGATTGGCCTATCCTTGCTGGTCATCCAGAAGGGCCACCTGGCCAGAGCCTCTGATGTGGAGGGGCTGTATTGCTAGAGCAGTGGTTCTCAACCTTTTTAATGCCGCGACCCCCCAACCGGTCGTAAGTCGAGGACTACTCAACCGGTCGTAAGTCAAGGACTACTCAACCGGTGCAGCACCGTTTGCAGAATGGGCCTTTTGGCGGGCTCATCAGGGCAGAGACAGCCTGGACAATTCCTATTGGCTTTTGAAAGCCAATAGAATTAGACTCCATTCAAGAGAGTCTATTCTATTGGCTTTCAAAAGCCAATAGAATAAAAGGGAGGAGCACAGCTAAGGAAAAGGGGGAAAAAATGGCGGACTTCGTACTTTGGTGACCCCCGTGAAATGGTCGTTCGACCCCAAATGGGGTCCCGACCCACAGGTGGAGAACCACTGTGCTAGAGAAACTGGTTGCCCTCTCCCACCGCTCAGGTTTTTTTTCAATGGCTTTTGGTGATTTACCAAATAAATAAATAAATAAATAAAACAGGTCAACTGCTTCTTTAGACAGACAATTCACTGGGGGGACAACTCACTACAGGAAAATGCCACAGTTCAATTTAGTTATTTCAAATAATTTAAAAATTATTTTGGTTTCTGTCATTCATATTTTATTTTGCCCCTCCTTTGGCATCTTTCCTTTAATGATTCTATGCGACTATTTCTTTGGTATTAGTATAACTTTTGCCCTGTGGCGAGTTGGCCCTGGAGAGTTGAAAGGGGGAAGAACCTGCTGGGTCCTGCACCCCCACCTCCCCACGCCCCCCCCCAGGCCCCCAAAGTGCTAAACCAAAGTTGGCAATTCCTCCCGGTGTCTTCCTCCTTTTTTCCCCACATCTTTACTTTGATGGTGGTCCGAAACTCCGGGCTCATGTCACTCGGAAAAGTCCCCACAGGGTGGACTTCATAACGGTTCAGGGTAGACTCACTGAAAGCAAAAACAGAAAAATCTAAATCGGAGGCATCCTTTGAGTCAAAAGTTCAGAATAGTAATAGTAATAGTAGTAAAGTTGGAAGGGACCTTGGAGGTCATCTAGTCCAACCCCCTGCTCAGGCAGGAAACCCTATACCATTTCGGACAAATGGCTGTCCAAATCTCTTCTTAAAAACTTCCAGTGTTGGAGCATTTACTGCTTCTGGAGGCAGGTTATTAATATAATAATAAAGTCAGAAGGGACCTTGGAGGTCATCTAGTCCAATCCCCTGCTCAGGCAGGAAACCATTTTGGACAAATGGCTGTCCAGTCTCTTCTTAAAAACTTCCAGTGTTGGAGCATTCACTGCTTCTGCAGGCAGGCTGTTCCACTGATTAATTGTTCTCACTGTCAGGAAGTTTCTCCTTAGTTCTAGGTTGCTTCTCTCCTTGATTAGTTTCCATCCGTTGCTTCTTGTCCTGCCTTCAGGTGCTTTGGAGAATAGCTTGACTCCCTCTTCTTTGGGGCAGCCCCTGAGATATTGGAATACTGCTATCCTGTCCCCCCTCGTCCTTCTCTTCATTAAACTAGACATCCCCAATTCCAGCAGCCATTCCTTGTATGTTTTAGCCTCCAGTCCCCTGATCATCTTTGTTGCTCTTCTCTGCACTAGTCCATCTGAGCCTCCCCAACACACCACTATTACAGGTCATCTTCAACTTATGACCACAATGGAGCCCCAACATTTCTGTGGTTAAGTGAGAAAGTTTATTAAGTGAGTTTTGCCCCATTTTACGACCTTTACTTGCCACCGTTGTTAAGTGAATCACCGCAGCTGATAAGTTAGTAACTGGGTTGTTAAGTGAATCCGGCTTCCCCGTTGATTTTTGCTTGTCAAAAAGTTGCAAAAGGGGATCGCAGGACCTTGGGACACAGCAACAGTCATAAGTCCGAGTCAGTTGCCAGGCATCTGAATTTTGATCACATGATCGTGGGGATGCCACAAAGGTCGTAAGTGTGGGAAAACGGTCGTAAGTCACTTTTTTCAGTGCCGTGGTAACTTTGAATGGCCACTAAATGGACTAGAGCAGGGGGAGGGAACCTTGGCTCTTTTATGACTGGTGGACTTCAACTCCCAGAATTCCTGAGCCAGCCATGCTGAGGGGAAAGGGAGAGGTTTCCAAGCTGAGCCATGCTGGCTCAGGAATTCTGGGAGTTGAAGTCCACGAGTCATGAAGAGGCCATAGTTCCCCCATTCTGGCTCAGGAATTCTGGGAGTTGAAGTCCACGAGTCATAAAAGAGCCAAGGTTGCCTCATTCTGGCCTAGGCTGCTTTATGACTTGTGGACTTCAACCCCCAGAATTCCTGAGCCAGCCATGCTGAGGGGAAAGGGAGAGATTTCCAAGCTGAGCCATGCTGGCTCAGGAATTCTGGGAGTTGAAGTCCATGAGTCATGAGGGGGCCATAGTTCTCCCATGCTGGCTCAGGAATTCTGGGAGTTGAAGTCCACGAGTCATGAGGGAGCCAAAGTTTCCCTCATGCTGGCTCAGGAATTCTGGGAGTTGAAGTCCACAAGTCATAAAAGAGCCAAGGTTGCCTACCCCTGGACTAGAGCGTGTGCTCTTGGACACAACACGACAAATAATGAGTCAGGCTGGTGAATAAAAATCAATAAAGTAGTCATTTGTCTGCAGGCCTGACTTGCCTGCAATGTCTTTCAAATCCCTAACAGAGACACATACAAACACACACATACACACACACACACACACACACAGACTCACCTGGTCAGGAAGAGGTCAGGCTCATAAGAGACGAAGGCAGTGGGCTGAGCTGTGTTGTCTGCCAGCGTTTGATTCAACTCACTGCTGTCACTGCAGAGAAGAAAAGTGATTTTAATGGGTTGGAGGGAGCCTTTCCCAAGACGGGAAACTGAGGCTTTTCAGTCAGAAGGCTCAAATGCTGAATTCCAGGTGTTTAGGGAGGGTGGATGTTGGGGAGGCAGCCCCCAAAGTATGGGTGGCAGAGCTGGAACTACTTCCAAGCGGGAGTGTCAGGCTCCCAAAACGAAGAAAATCATATTGCGATTCTTCCAAGCCGATTTCTTTATTCAAGCTAGTCCTCAACTTACGACTGCCGCTGAGCCCCAAAAGATCTGTGGCTAAGCAAGATGGTTGCTAAGGGAGTTTTGCTCCATTTTGCAACCTTTCCTGTCACATTTGTTATGCGGATCAGTCACCGCAATTGTTAGTCACGCGGCTGTAAAGTCAATCTGGTTTCCTTACTGACGTCGTCAGAAGGTCGCAAAAGGGGGGGGGTGTCACGTGACCCCGGGACTCTGCAACCATCATAAAGACAAGTAGTCCTTGACTCGCAACCACAACCGAGTTCGTAATTGCCGTTGCTAAGTGAGACCTTCGTGAAGAGAGTTTTGCCCCGTTTTACGACTTTTCTTGCCCCGGTTGTTAAGTGAATCACTGCAGTTGTTAAATTAGGAACACGGTTGCTAAGTGATTCTGCCTTGCCCATTGACATTGCTTGTCAGAAGGCCGCAAAAGCGGATCACGTGACCCCGGGACACTGCAACCATCATAAATATGATGTCATGGTTCCGACAGATGACACTCTTCAAAAGGACTTCGAGCCGTTGTTTACCTTAAAGAATCTTTATTTTGAGTAGCATAACATCGGCAGTGCATAATCGAAGCCAAAAACTGAATTTCCCTCCCCTGAACACACAGTATCAAAGCACAATTCCCTCCTCCAATTAACAGTCATAAATCACATTCCCCAATTAGCTTGAAGTCCGGGCTTCCTCTCCAGTTCTCCAGCCACCAATTCCTTATCAGCTCTGGTTACAATAACCTTGATTCTCACACTAGGTCTAATGCTGTTACTTCTAGCTGGACTCTCGTTCACATCCCCCGCTTCTCAACATCATCTATCTCTAAAAGCAAATACATTTCCACCTGTTGCCAATTCAAAAACATCCGATGTTAGCAGCGTTGGCATATGAGTCAATTGCCAAGCATCTGAATTTCGATCACGTGATTGTGGGGATGCTGCAAAGGTCGTAAGTGTGAAAAACGTTCCTAAGTTGCTTTTTTCAGTGCCATTGTACTTTTGAACAGTCACTAAACAAACAGTTGTGAGTCGAGGACTACCTGTGTTCCTTACCCACAGACAGAATCTTGCCAAACTGAAGCAGAGCACGATCTGCATGAAGCAAATGCTCGGGCTAGCCTGCTTTTTCTGGTGACTCAAGATGGACCCCTCTGGAGTCAGCGGTGGGGAAAGGCAAAACTAAATGCAGAGAAATCCCTCGGATGGGGTTCAGAAGAACTGGGGCAAGGGGGGGCAGAAAACACAGGTAGACCTTGACTCACAATTGTTCGTTTAGTGACTGTTCAAAAGTATGACCCTGAAAAAAGCATCACTTTTCTATTTCAGAAATTGTGAACACCTGCCTCCCACCTGTAATGTTTGTGCCACTCGCTACCTCTTCTGTGCTGGATAGGTCACAGGTAGTCCCTGACTTACAGTAGTGGCCAAAATGGTGGAAACCTTTTGGAAAAAGTGTACAGTAGAAATGCCATCTTTGGTTAAGTTTCCACCCATTTTTCTTCTAATTTCTTTATAACTGTAGCCTTGTTCACTTAGTAATACTATTTTACATCGCTTTCTGGGCGACCAGTCAGCTCTTTGCACCATGACTTTAATTTTATTACGTTTTACAAGCTCACTCAATGAAAGAACACCAAAAAACCCCAACCAGTTTGATAGCCATCACATAATACCCTGACAAATGTCCTCCTCTCAGCTTCAATACATGACATCAATCACTGGATCCTACTGTGATCTGATTGACTCATTGGCAAAACAAGATGACACCTGATTGGCTCTCTAAACACTCGCGCTCATTGGCTACAATCAGATGAAGGAAAGTTATCCGATATCAACCTAAGCAAGTTGTGCTTCCTTTTTCTGGTTATTTGACTACAACTTTTCATAGAATACTGTACAGATAATTGAACAAACTTTGTTGCATTACATTCTTGATTAAATTATCTTTCTGTGGATATATAATTTTATGGTACTACTCCCCCCCAAAATGGGGTGTTATTAGCCATCAAACCTCAAAAATACACTTTTCCCAAAAGGTTACCACAATTTTGGCCACGACTGTACGTCCACAACTGAGCCCAAAATATCTGCTGCTAAGTGAAACATTTGTTAAGTGAATCTTGTCCCATTTTACCACCTTCCTTGCCTCAGCAGTTGAGTGACTCGCTGCAGTTGTTAAGTCAGCAACACCGTCGTTAAGTGAATCTGGCTTCCCCATTGACTTTGCTTGTCAGGATGTCACATGACCTGCAACCGTCATACATATGAATCGGTTGCCAAACGTCAGAATTTGGGTCATGTGACCATGGGGAATAATGCAGTGGTCATAAGTGTGAGAAATGGCTATAAATCACTTCTTTCAGCGCCTTTGTAACTTTGAACGGTCGCTAAACGAACTGTTGTAGGTTGAGGACTACACCCGTGCTTCCCTTTTTGGAGTAATTTATTTTATTCTTTATTTGCAACTTCCCAACATTTTGCTCTCAAGTGCTGAGTGCAGATCAGTTTCCTTAATCCCCCAGCCCCAGTTCTCACCTGCTGGCTGTAAGCTTCACTTGCACTTTGTTCAGAAGAGAGGAGCAGCTGAATTCGAACTCAAGGGCAAAGGCCACCTGGGAAGGAGAGTGAGAGAAAAGGAATAACAGAATAAATGAGCTGGAAGGGACCTTGGAGGTCTTCTAGTCCAACCCCCTGCTCAAGCAGGAGACCCTATGCCAAGTGGCTGTCCAGTCTTTTCTTAAAACCCTCCAGGGATGGAGCACCCACAACTTCTGGTGGCAAGTTGTTCCACTGATTAATTGTCCTCACTGTTAGGAAGTTTCTCCTTAATTCTAGATTGCTTCATTCCTTGATCAGTTTCCATCCGTTGTTTCTTGTCCTGCCTTCTGGTGCTTTGGAAAATAAGTTGACCCCCCCCTTCTTTGTGGCAGCCCCTCAAATACTGGGATACTGCTATCATGTCATTTCCCCCCCCCCCACCGCCCCAGTCCTTCTTTTCTCTAGACTGGCCATACCCAATTCCTGCAACCGTAGAATAACAGGGTTATTCCAAACATAGAATAACAGGGTGAGAAGGGAACTTTGAGGTCTTCTAGTCCAGCCCTCTGCTCGAGTAGAAGACCCTATACATATATTGTTCATAGTATGTTTAGTGTGTGTCATATATGTGTTTCACTTTGAGAGCGGGCAACTAAATTTCATTTTTGATGTGTGCTGTTGTGCCCACATTAAAAAAAATGTCAATAAAGGTTATCATCTTATCTTCTTATCATCTTATCTATCTTATTTTATCTTATCATCTTATCTTATCTTATTTTATCTTATCATCTTATATTTTATATCTTTCTTACATCTTACATCTTACATCTTATCTTATCTTCTTATCTTATCTATCTTATCTTATCATCTTATCTTATCTTATTTTATCTTATCTTATCATCTTATCTTCTTATCATCTTATCTATCTTATTTTATCTTATCATCTTATCTTATCTTATTTTATCTTATCATCTTATATCTTATATCTTTCTTACATCTTACATCTTACATCTTACATCTTATCTTCTTATCTTATCTATCTTATCTTATCATCTTATCTTATCTTATCTAATCTTATCATCTTATCTTCTTATCATCTTATCTATCTTATTTTATCTTATCATCTTATCTTATCTTATTTTATCTTATCATCTTATATCTTTCTTACATCTTACATCTTACATCTTATCTTATCTTCTTATCTTATCTATCTTATCATCTTATCTTATCTTATCTTATTTTATCTTATCTTATCATCTTATATCTTTCTTACATCTTACATTTTACATCTTACATCTTATCTTATCTTATCTTATTTTATTTTATCATCTTATATCTTATATCTTTCTTACATCTTACATCTTATCTTATCTTATCTTGTCTTGTCTTGTCTTGTCTTGTCTTGTCTTATCTTATCTTATCTTATCGCTAAGCCTCCAACTGACCTCACCAGATTCTCTAGCAGGCCTTCATTTGCTCACCTTCGCCATGGACCTGAAGACGGGATAACCCACACTGCACAGGCGGGCCTGAGCAGACGAAACTGAGCACTCCATTTTCATGGGGTTCTCCCCCTGCGGGAGAAAGAAGAGCTGGAATAAACAGATTCGGGCATCTGGAGACGTTTTTGGGTCATGTTTCTGTCATAGTTCTGACAGATGAAACTCATCAAAAGAACTTCAAGGCAAGAAGTCTTCCTCAAAGAACATTTTATTCAGGAAACAAAGTATAAGCACTACATAGTTAAACCCAAAAACTGGCTCAGGAATTCTGGGAGTTGAAGTCCACGAGTCATAAAAGAGCCAAGGTTGCCTACCCCTGGTATATGTAAATAACCAAAGCCATTACTTTCCCCAAATTTTGGAGCATTTCCAGCGTCTTTAGAAAGTCCATCTTGGAGGTTAGAGTGGGCTGCCTTGGCTGGACATCCCGTTGACCTGCTTAGGGTTAGGAGCACCATACCTTCAGCCCAAGGCTGGAGAAGTGGAGACTTCTGGAAAACCAGATCTGGAGGGTGGTGTTGTAGGCATTCTCTTTCTTGTTCTCCAGAAGGACATCAACCACCATCTTCCGCTTCCCTTTACGGATGACATGAGGCTTCTGCCTGGAATGAGGAAAATTGATAGCAGCTTTGTGACTTGCAAGAAGAGAACAACAGTCCCAGCTTTGGCTTGTAGACAAAAAGAGAAGGGCTAAATATTCACTGGTCTCTAGCCCGTCTCTACTTTTCTCAGTCTTCAAGATTAATATGGGTGTAAAGTTTCTACATCCAATCACGAACAACCAATCAAGAGCTTAAATTCTGTGTAACTCTATGCCGGTGGTTCTCCACCTGTGGGTCGGGACCCCATTTGGGGTCGAACGACCATTTCATGGGGGTCGCCAAACAACGCAGTCCGCCATTTTTCCCCCCTTTTCCTTAGTTGTGCTACTCCCTTTTATTCTATTGGCTTTTGAAAGCCAATAGAATAGACTCTCTTGAATAGAGTCTAATTCTATTGGCTTTCAAAAGCCAATAGGAATTGTCCAGGCTGTCTCTGCCCTGCTGAGCCCGCCAAAAGTCCCATTCTGCAAACGGTGCTGCACCAGTTGAGTAGTCCTCGACTTACGACCGGTTGAGTAGTCCTCGACTTACGACCGGTTGGGGGTCGCGGCATTAAAAAGGTTGAGAACCACTGCTCTATGTACTTCCAATATGTGTTGTTGAACACATCTTGCCATTAATATTCTAAATTTGGTTTTAGTTAGTGGTTTTTAAGTTACACCTGGTTGGGGGAACTCATAGAATCCTAGAGTTGAAAAGAGCCACTTAAGCCACCGTTTAAATCTCTGCTCAGGCAAGAGCTCTTTTTTAAAATAAATAAATAAAATAAAAATCCCCATTAAATGTCTGCCTAATTTGCAAGATATTTTGGATCAGATTCCTACCTGGATCCACTGATATCCATCTCAGCTTGTAGCACCAGATCTGTTACGCACTGATCATCCTCACCACAGTCTTTGAAAAAAGGGATCTGGAAAACAGCCAACTGGTTGATTCTGTACAGTTTTTGCCTCTCTCCCCCTTCTTAAATATCAACAACCTAAGATATGCAGATGACACCACTCTAATGGCAGAAAGTGAAGAGGAACTAAAGAGCCTCTTGATGCGGGTGAAGAAGGAGAGTGCAAAAGTTGGCTTGAAACTCAACATTAAGAAAGCCAAAATCATGGCATCCGGCCCTCTCAATTCCTGGCAAATAGATGGCGAAGAAATGGAGGTAGTGACAGATTTTATTTTTCTGCGCTCCAAGATCACCTCAGATGGGGACTGCAGCCAAGAAATTAAAAGACGCTTGCTCCTGGGGAGGAAAGCTATGGCAAATCTAGACAACATACTCAAAAGCAGAGACATCACCCTGCCAACAGAAGTGCGTATAGTCCAGGCCATGGTTTTCCCAGTTGCAATGTATGGCTGTGAAAGTTGGACCCTAAGAAAGGCTGAGCGCCAAAGAATGGAGGCCTTTGAACTCTGGTGCTGGAGAAGACTCCTGCGAGTCCCTTGGACTGCAAGGCGCTCAAACCGGTCAGTCCTAGAGGAGATCAACCCCGACTGCTCTTTAGAAGGCCAAATCCTGAAGTTGAAACTCAAGTCCTTTGGCCACCTAATGAGAAGGAAGGACTCACTGGAGAAGATCCTGATGCTGGGAAAGATGGAGGGCAAGAGAAGAAGGGGACGACAGAGAAGGAGGTGGATGGATGGAGTCACGGAAGCAGGAGGCGTGAGCTTCAATGGACTCCAGAAGATGGCAGAGGACAGGAAGGCCTGGAGGAACATTGTCCATGGGGTCGCGATGGGTCGGACACAACTTCGCAACTAACAACAACAACAAAGACTCTCACAGGCTGTTGTTTTGTTTTTTTCTCATCAGTAACTAACATTTGCCTTTTTTCTACCCCTTCTTGAATGTGCAGTTTATGTCACACGTCCATGGCTGGGAATATCCCAAGGCTATTTCACTTACTAGTTTCTTAACAGTGGTGGGCAGTTTCTCATCCAGCACAGGCCCAGGCTGCTCAGTTTCACTCAGCGCAAACTTCATGGTGATGGTGACCGGCCGGAGGTAATCTGAGGTGTCCTGTAGAGGAGAAATAGACTTGAGACCTCTTGGAGAAATAACATTGGCCCTGAAATTCCTGGGATGCTTCCTTCCCCTTCAAAATGGACGATCCTCGCAGGCTATTCAAGAGAGTCTATTCTATTGGCTTTCAAAAGCCAATAGAAGAAAAGGGAAGAGCACAGCTAAGGAAAAGGAGAAAAATGGCGGACTGCGTTGTTTGGCGACCCCCGTGAAATGGTCGTTCGACCCCAAATGGGGTCCCGACCCACAGGTTGAGAACCACTGGGGTAGAGAAACGTTCGGAAACCAATCCACAAGCTGAAAGAAAGAACCACCCCCCATCGCAACCTATAAGTTCTTTCCAATTTCATGATTTGGACTCTTCAGCTAAGGAAGAATTCCTTCCATTTGAAGCATTCTGAAGACAGAGGGCTACAGCAGGCACATGGTATGTTGACTTTGCCCAGCCCTTTAACCACCCAACTGGGTGTCTGGACCAGCTACGTCCCATGGGCCAGAGGTAAACCCACGCCACACTCACAATGACGTGGAAGCGAGCAGTTGAGCACGCCGTCCTGCCCACGGTGGCCCGAGTCCTCTTCTGCAGCAGCTTTTGAGAGCTGCTGTCGAAGACCGCTCTCGTGCTAAACTTCCTGTCATCCAGGGAGATGTTGTATTTTATACCTAGGATCAAGCGATAAGGAGAATTTATTTAGGTTCGATGTATCCTGGTGGGCCAGACATAGCTACTTAAGTCCTTTAGCAGCCTGTTCAGAAATTGCATAATTGAAACGTTGCTAAAAAAAACCACAGATTTTTCTGCTATTCTTCCTCATCACTCCCTTGGTCTGTTGCCCCAAGGCTGCCCATCCTTGGTTCAAGTCAGGTATCCAAGTTGGGCAGTAAGAGAAACATTTGAAGTTCTGGCTTATAAGGCACTTACTCATATGGCTGTCCCGGGGACCCAGGGAACGTGAAGTCACACGGAAACAGAAGTTAGCTGTCACACAGAGAGATTCCTTCCCATTTCTCTGGCAGTTTTTCTGGATCACGTTGATGGTGGGAGGGCTGACCGAGATGGACGCATTGATCTGCACAATTCTCCTGGATCTGATTCATTGCCAACAAATATAATTGTAACCACCCAAGACATACCGACCTTCACAATCTAAGCATTGCAATTGGGTACAATCTACGCCAGCGGTTCTCAACCTATGGGTCGCGACCCCATTTGGGGTCGATCGACCATTTTTCGGGGGTCGCCAAAGGTGGCGATCCGCCATTTTCCCCCCTCAGGGGGCACTGCCGCGCATGCTCGCCCCGCATGGGGGCGCCGCCGCGCATGCTCGCCCCACATGGGGGGTGCCGCCGCGCATGCATGCCACGCAGGGGGCGCTGCCGCGCATGCACGCCCCGCATGGCGCCGCCGCTGCGCATGCACGCCGCGCACGGGGACGCCGCCGCCGCGCATGCATGCCACGCACGGGGGCGTCGCAGCGCATGTGCGCAGCGCACGGGGGCGCCGCGCATGTGCGTCGCGCACGGGGCCCGCTGTGCATGCGCACCACGCACGGGGGGCACCGCCACGCATGCGCGGCACGCACGGGGTGCCGGCACGCATGCGCAGCCCACCCCCATGCACGCGGCACCGCGCATGCGCAGAACGTTTGTGTGATGGGGGTCGCCGTCACACAAACGTTGAGAACCACTCATCTACGCTATATGCCCTCTATATAGCCATGTTCCTCACTCTTGGCCACTTTAAGATGTGTGGACTTCAACTCCCAGAATTCCTCGCCCTCCATCTTTCTTTGAACTATAGGGCAGGTTGCTAGTATTTTAATAAATAAGAAGCACCCTTAACATTGAGATTGGTGGCATGTACATTTAATAAATAAAAATAAATATAGGGATTGGAAATATTCGGCGGGACGGCCGTATCTGCCAAAGTTTTGATGCTCTTGCAAGACTCTGATGTGCTTACAAAATCCTTGTGAGGATTTCAAGTTGAATGGGACGAGTCGCCAGGGCCAGCTTGCTGTGGGACAATTCAACAATTCAATTTAATTATTTAAAATAATTTTAAAAAATGACAGGCAGTCCTCAATTTGTGACCACAGTTTTCTTGCCACATTTGTTAAGCGAATCACTGAAGCTCTTAAATTTGTAAGTGAATCTGGTTTCCCTTGTTGTTTTTTTGCTTGTCAGGAGCTCGCAAAAGGTGACACTGCAACGGTCATAAGTGTGAGTCAATTGCCAAGCATCCCAACGTAAATCACGTGACCCTGGGGATGCTGCCCTGGTCATATCTGTGAAAAATGGTCATAAGTTACTTTTTTCAGTGCCATTGTAACTTTGGCCACTAAATGAACTGTTGTAAGTGGAGGACTACCTGTATTTTAATTTTTGTCATCCGCATTTCGTTTCGTCCCTGCTTTGACGTTCTTTTTTAATGATTCTATTCCACAATTTCTTCGATATTAGTGTAACTCTTGTCCCGTGGCGAGTTATAGGTCACAGACCCATTTCAAGAGATTTGGAGGTTCGGCCTCTGGGCCAGAAGGGTGGCTGACCTCTGCTTTCATGGATAAGAAGCTTCTTCTGAGTGCCAGGCAATTTCTGAGACTTTGCTGAAAAGTCTTCCCCATAATTATTATTATTTCCTTTCCCCCAAGCGAAGATTCTGCCTGGCACCAGATTTCCTGCTACTCACCAGCCCCCCCTGAATGGGATCCATCTTCCATGGTCCTTTTTCCAGCCCCTCACCTTAAGACCACTGCAGCATCCTGAGCCCCCACAGCCAGGTCCACCAGGCCGTCCCCATCCATGTCGATCTGCCCGTCCAAGCTGCGGCCAAAATAGCGAAGGCCCCAGCGAAGGCCGGCGGACTCGATGCGCTGCCAGGGAAGAAAAGGACCATTTTTGGGGGGAGGGGAACAGCTATATGCACTTTCCAAAGCTGAGGACTCTGCTAAGGACTAAGAAACATATGTCAACCGTCCCGTTGGCAGATGCATCAAAAGAAACTCCTGGGACGTTATTCTCCAAAGCACCTGAAGGCAGGACAAGAAGCAAGGGACGGAAAGTAAGCAAGGAGAGAAGCAACCTAGAACTAAGGAGAAACTTCCTGACAGTGAGAACAATTAATCAGTGGAACAGCTTGCCTCCAGAAGCAGTAAATGCTCCAACACTGGAAGTTTTTAACAAGAGACTGGACAGCCATTTGTCTGAAATGGTGTAGGGTTTCCTGCCTGAGCAGGGGGTTGGACTAGATCAGTGGTTCTCAACCTTTTTAATGCCATGACCCCCAACCGGTCGTAAGTCGAGGACTACTCAACCGGTCGTAAGTCAAGGACTATTCAACTGGTGCAGCACCGTTTGCAGAATGGGACTTTTGGTGGGCTTAGCAGGGCAGAGACAGCCTGGACAATTCCTATTGGCTTTTGAAAGCCAATAGAATTAGACTCTATTCAAGAGAGTCTATTCTATTGGCTTTCAAAAGCCAATGGAATAAAAGGGAGGAGCACAGTTAAGGGGAAAAAATGGCGGACTGTGTTGTTTGGCGACCCCCGTGAAATGGTCATTCGACCCCAAATGGGGTCCCGACCCACAGGTGGAGAACCACTGGACTAGATGATTTCCAAGGTCCCTTCCAACTTTATTATTATTATGGATCATCGCACAGTCAGCCAGATGTTCAGACTGGATTTGGCATTTTGTCTACCTATCGAGTCCTTACCCAGGACCTGGGATAGGCAGATGTGGATGTTTGATGGTATTACAGGTATCGTCGCAGGATGGAAGCAGTTCCTAGTAAGGCCGCCTTTTGCAATTGACTAATAGCGAATTTGTCCATGCCAATGGTGTTCAAGTGGTGCTCCAGTTGTTTTGGTATTGTACCCAAGGAGCCTATCACTATTGGTACTACTCTTGCTTGCTTTTGCCACAGTCTTTCTATTTCTATTTGTAGGTCTTTGTATTTTGTTATCTTCTCTAGTTCTTAATAGCAGATCATTATTTCTTTGTTTTCAATCACTGTGTATCTGCGATGGGTAAACACCTTTTCTTCCAGTAGTTCTGCAGCTGCTGGCCCTGGTTGCTCAGCCAACAGTCCTGAATCCTGTTACCCATTTTTCACCAGATATCCAGGAACTCCAACATCTAGCGCGGAACTTGTTAACTCGGGCGACATCAGAGCCGGTATGGCTTTCTGAAATTTACGTCTCACCATATTTTTTATGGGAGAGACACTCTTTGTCTGACTCCTCTGATGAGACCTGTCCAGTATGGTTGAACCTCTGGCATAGCTCTCATCTTCCTCAGAGTACACAAGCCCCACAACCACATCAAGATAGTGCCTCATTGGGGCTTATTATTATTGTTGTTGTTGTTGTTATTAACTCATGGCAAAGGAAAAGTAGAAATTGAAAGACTGGATCTGGCATTTTTGTCTACCAATGCTAAGGTGGCCAACTGTCCTCCTTTAGGGAGGACAGTCCTCCTTTTGTAAGTTCTGTCCTCCCTCAAAAAGTGTCCTACATGTCCTCCTTTTCGATATTTGAAGACTAATCTGCAGGGCTTTTTTTTTTTCTCATAGAACGCTCAGAACGGCATTCCGGCATCTTTTTTTGATGGTTTTTTTTTTCAACTTTTGCATGAGCTGTGCTATTCCCCCTATTGGCTTTCAAAAGCCAATAGGAATTGCTGCTGAGCGCGCCAAAACACCCGGCCGGCAAACTTTGCACGTGCAAGTTGTCTGTATTATGGTTGCAATGAATAAAATGTTTCTTTTATTTACGATATTATTTTTCTTCAATTTATTTGTGTCCTCCTTTTCATTGTAAAAAAGTTGGTCACCTTAGTTAATGCTGGCGCTCACTCACCTGTTTGAAACGTGGTAATACAGTTGTACGATAGCCGTGGTACAAGTAGACCGCCCCCTGGTGGTTGTCTTCCAAGGGGGCACCCACAACCACATCGTTAAAGCTGTCGTGATTAAGATCGGGCACAGCCAGCAAGGCGTAGCCAAAGCGAGCATCCTGAGGCTTTGGGTCAGGGAGAAGGGTCCCGTTGAAAGTCAGCAGTGACTTCAAAAGAGAAGGAGAGACAGAAGCGCTTATTTAAAGCAAAGACGTTCCTTTCTTACGTCGTGGGCATCCACTCACACCAGGAAAAGAACTGTTCTTGCATACTGCCAGGCAGATGTTGAGACTGCACAACCACAAAGTGAAAAAAATAAATAAATCTCACTTTGGGTAGGTCGTCCTCGACTTACAACAGTTTGTTTAGCGACCACTCATAGTTACAACGGCACCGAAAAGCGTGACTTTTGACCATTTTTCACACGACCGTTGCAGCATCCCCAGGGTCACGTGACCAAAATTTTAGATGCTTGGCAACTGGTTCACATTTATGACCGTCACTCTTTCCCAAGGTCGCGTGATGATGTTTTGCGACCTCCTGACAAGCAAAGTCAATGGGGAAGCCAGATTCACTTAACGACCGTATTACTAACTCAACAACTGCAGTGATTCACTTAACAACTGTGGCCAGAGAGGTCATAAAATAGGGCAAAACTCACTTAACAAGCGTCTCGCTTCACAACAGAAATTTTGGGCTCAATTGTGGTTGTAAGTTGAGGACTACATGTACCGTATTTTCCGGCGTGTAAGACGACTCGGCGTATAAGACGACCCCCAACTTCGGAGAAGATTTGCATGGTTTAGAAAGTTGTCTTATACGCCGGAAAATACGGTAGTTTCTCCATATTTTTTAATTTATTATTTATTTTTAAAAATTATATGGCTCCCCAAACTCACTCACGGTGACTCTGGCTGTCTTACAGAAATAAAACCCCCAATTCAAAGTCCGATAAACACCTGTCCCTCCACGGCACTCACCTGCCCAACCTTGTAGAGGTAAACGCACCCTATCTCTTTGTTCTGTGGGCCCAGGTACATGGGGGCAGCCACCAGCAGGACATCTGTGATGCCATCCCCATTCACGTCCACTGGGCAAACCTCGCTGCCAAAGTAGGATCCAATCTGCACGAGACGATGAAGGCCATGTCAACGCTGGACGATTCACACGTCTGTGAAGGCAGATCTACATGGACATCTTATGCCAGTGATGGCGAACCTTTTAGAGACCGAGTGCCCAAACTGCAATCCAAAACCCACTTACGTATTGTCTGGTGCCAGCTGGGCGTGGCCCATTGGGTGGGTGTGGCTCATTGGCTGGGTGTGGCCCATTGGCTGGGTGTGGCTCATTGGCTGGGCATGGCTGCAATGGTAACGGCAGACTGGGTGGGACTAAAAAGTTCAATCAATCAATTCCAACTTTGCAAGATCTTTTTTTTTCCCCGCGAGAAGTTGAAATTGACTGATTGATTGAACCTTTTTTTTTTTTTGCACACGGCGGCAGAGGCCTAAAGCGAAAAGGTTTTCTAAAACCCAGCTGAAGGCCTAGGACTGGGGCGACGGCGTGCGTGCCCACAGAGAGGGCTCTGGGTGCCGCCTCTGGCACCCGTGCCATGTATTTGTCACCACTGTCTTATGCTCTCTCCTGTGTCAGGCTCCCAAAACTAAGAAAGATGAAGTTGTTCTGAACAAAGATGATTAGGGGACTGGAGGCTAAAATATATGAAGAACAGTTGCTGGTTTGGACAAAACTCAGCAGCACTTTTTTGTGTGGCTGCTGATTAAAAACAGGATCGCCAACGTGATCGCCAACGTCCGATAACGGATATGGCACAAGAAGAAGAAGAAGAAATTGCTGGAATCGGGTATGGCCAGATTAGAAAAAAGAAGGAGTAGGGGACACATGATAGCCTTCTTCCAATATCTCAGGGGCTGCCCCAAAGAAGAGGGAGTCAAGCTATTCTCCAAAGCAGGATAAGAAGCAACAGATGGAAACTCGTCAAGGAGAGAAGCAACCTGGAACTAAGGAGAAACTTCCTGACAGTCAGAACAATTAACCAGTGGAACTACCTGCCTCCAGAAGCGGTGAATGCTCCAACGCTGGAAGTTTTTAAGAAGAGACTGGACAGCCATTTGTCTGAAAGGGTGTAGGGTTTCCTGCCTGAGCAGGGGGTTGGACTAGATGACCTAGATGACTTCGCAACTAACAACAACAATATCAAACGAGCAGAAACATCAGGAGGACAATGTTTCAGCCTCTGTATATCAGCAGCCAGAAAATCAAACACATACCCAACATTCTCACACACCTTTAATGCAGCAACACTGATGGACAGTCACACAAACACACACACACACACACACACAGGGGTCTTCTAGCCCTTCCTGCTTCAGTTATCAATGGCTTCCACTACAAAGGTGAGAGGAATGACATTTTGTGAGTGCCTTACTTGATCTCCTGTCAGGGCCTGAGAGATGGTCACGCTGCCATCTCCATCCATCTCAAACAGGATAACTTTCCCCTTGTGCTGGAAACGGGGGGCGCTGGCCAGGTAGATCCTTCGCCCACTCCTGAGTCTGATTGAAGAGACGGTGTAGCCTGAGAAAGGGAAAGAAGAAAGTAAGTGACAAAGTTCCGAAATCCTGGACAGAACATAGAATAATAATTTTGGAAGGGACCTTAGAGGTCTTCTAGTCTGGGGTCCCCAACCCACGGGCTGTGGCCCACTACCAGGGCTATGCAAGTGGAGGGGGGGGTGAGCGTGCAGGGAAGCACAGCTCCATTTACAGGAGTGACAGGCACTTGTGCGAACACAAGAATTGTTTTTATTACGTTTTAGACCGGAGGAGTGCTTACAAGCTCGGGTGGCTTTGAAAGGAATACTGGAATACACCTGGAATACTGCGTTCAGTTTTGGTCACCACACTACAAAAATGATGTTGAGGCTTTGGAAAAAGTGCAGAGAAGAGCAACTAAGATGATTAAAGGCCTGGAGACAAAAACACACATGAAGAACGGTTGCAGGATTTGGGTTTGGACAGTCTAGAGAAAAGAAGGACTGGGGGGGGGGGACATGACAGCAGTATTCTAGTATTTGAGAGCCTGCCACAAAGAAGAGGGAGTCAGTTTATTTTCCAAAACACCAGAAGAAGTAATAGATTGAAACCAATCAAGGAGAGAAGCAACCTGGAACTAAGGAGAAATTTCCTAACAGTGAGGACAATTAACCAGTGGAACAACCTGCCTCCAGAAGCGGTGAATGCTCCAACACTGGAAGTTTTAAAGAAGAGACTGGACAGCCATTTGTCCGAAAGGGTGTAGGGTTTCCTGCCTGAGCAGGGGGCTGGACTAGAAGACCTCCAAAGTCCCTATTCTGACTGATTGAAAGACATTCCCAGAGGATTTGAGCTCTGTGAGGCATGATGGAGACATGAAGCTCCCAGATGCTGGAGCAGTCTACCTCCTCTGGGCAAATTGCAGAAGAGCGTTCCTCTGCTGCTTCTCAGAGACAGGGGCCAACCACTGTTGGAAACAGAAGGCTGGGTTAGCTCATGGCTTTGGCCTTACCTTCTGCCATTTTCCTTACCCAGATAGGCCGCGTGGTTATTCAGCTTGCGCGGGAACTCTCTGGCAAAAGCTTCCCGCGGGGGAGTGACTCGTCCTGACCGGCCCTCTTTGAGCACCCCGCCATCCCAGTCGTAGGCTCCCACCATCCCAAAGAGGAGTCCATCCTGACAGGAGAGAAGCAGCGACAGCCGTCCAGACACTCAACATACTTAGAGCAAAGGGCCATCCAGTGGCTGCCAGTGATGGCGAACCTTTTAGAGACCGAGTGCCCAAACTGCAACCCAAAACCCACTTATGTATCGTCGGGTGCCGGGTGGGTGTGGCCCATTGGGTGGGCGTGGCCCATTGGGTGGGTGTCGCTCATTGGGTGGGTGTGGCCCACTGGGTGGGTGTGGCCCATTGGGTGGGCGTGGCTGCAGTGGTAACGGCAGACTGGGTGGGACTGAAAAGTTCAATCAATCAATTCCAACTTTGCGAGATCTTTTTTTTCCCCGCGAGAAGATGAAATTGATTGATTGATGGAACCTTTTTTTTTTCTTTGCACATGGCGGAGGCCTAAAGCGAAAAGGTTTTATAAAACCCAGCTGAAGGCCTAGGACTGGGGCGACAACGCGCGCGCCCATAGAGAGGGCTCCGCGTGCCACCTGTGGCACGCGTGCCATAGATTCGCCACCATGGCTGTAAGCTGCATGTTTGTGAGTTGGGCAGCTGTATACATTTGCTTTATTTAAGTTTATACAAATAGCAATGGCACTTAGACTTATATACTGCTTCATAGTGCTTTACAGCCCTCTCTAAGTGTCAGCCTCTTGCCCCCAACAATCTGGGTCCTCATTTCCCCCCCTTGGAAGGATGGAAGGCTGAGTCAACCGTGAGCCGGTCAGGACTGAACTCCTGGCGGTCCAAATAATAAAATTATTTAAATGTTTGCCATTCACATTTCATCCTGTCCCTCCCTTTGCATCCTTTCTTCAATGATTCTATTCCACCATTTCTTTGATGTTGGCGTAATTCTTGTCTTGCAGCCAGTTGGCCGTGCCGAATAGCCACAGACCCCTATGTGGGAGAAGGAAATGCAGCCCTCGGAGTGGAAGGCCCTGCCTGCCCTTTGTGCCAACTTCATCCTGCTTTTTCCAAGAGGCACATTTGGAAACGAGAGAAGCCCAATTTGTCTCTTACCTCCAGCAGGTGGGTGGAGAAGCCAATCTGAGACATTTCCAGCTCAAAAGAGTTATACTCGCGAGTTCCTGTTAAAAAAAAAGAAAGGGGGGGGGGATGCCAACTTCTTGATATCAACACATTACTGGAGGCCATTTTAGTACAGAATGACTAGAACTACAATTGTGCTGGACTTAATGTATAGCCCAGCAGTTACCCTAACAGAACCACAGAGTTGGAAGGGAGCTTGGAGGTCTTCTAGTCCAACCCCCTGCTCAGGCAGGACACTTTATGCCAGTGGTTCTCAACCTTTTTAATGCAGCGACCCCCAACTGGTCGTAAGTCGAGGACTACTCGACCGGTCGTAAGTCGAGGACTACTCAACCGGTGCAGCACCGTTTGCAGAATGGGACCTTTGGCGGTCTCAGCAGGGCAGAGACAGCCTGGACAATTCCTATTGGCTTTGGAAAGCCAATAGAATTAGACTCTATTCAAGAGAGTCTATTCTATTGGCTTTCAAAAGCCAATAAAATAAAAGGGAGGAGCACAGCTAAGGAAAAGGGGGGAAAAAATGGCGGACTGCGTTGTTTGGCGACCCCCGTGAAATGGTCATTCGACCCCAAATGGGGTCCCGACCCACAGGTGGAGAACCACTGCTTTATGCCATTTCAGACAAACGGGTTCCATTCCTCGCCTCCCCCCCCCCCAGTTGCAAACACCGCCTCCTTTCCCGGCACCTTCAAGGCTGAAGATCCGATCTCCCAAAGAGTCCACAATATCATTCAGGGCTGCCTCGTCCGTCACATTGAAGAAGTACTTTTCGTCTGGGTCGCTGGCAATGTATTTAATTTCGTTGATGAATGAGTTGGGGTCTTTCTTCCTGCGGATGTAGTGGCCCAAGACCTGGGTGGAACAAGAGACATCATTTCATGACATCGGAGGGCAAGGCACCAGGACGCCAGAAGGCAGGACAAGTAACAATGGATGGAAACTAATCCAGGAGAGAAGCAACCTGGAATTAAGGAAAAACTTCCTAACAGGGAGGACAATTAACCAGTGGAATTGCTTGCCACCAGAAGTCGTGGGTGCTCCATCACTGGAGGTTTTTAAGAAAAGACTGGACAGCCACTTGTTTGAAATGATATAGGGTCTCCTGCTTGAGCAGGGGTTATTAATAATAATAATAATAATAATAATAAAGTTGGAAGGGACCTTGGAGGTCATCTAGTCCAACTCCCTGCTCAGGCAGGAAACCCTTCGGACAAATGGCCGTCCAGTCTCTTCTTAAAAACTTCCAGTGTTGGAGCATTCGCAGCTTCTGGAGGCAGGTTGTTCCACTGGTTAATTGTCCTAACTGTCAAGAAGTTTCTCCTTAGTTCTAGGTTGCTTCTCTCCTTGATTAGTTTTCACCCATTGCTTCTCGTCCTGCCTTCAGGCACTTTGGAGAATAGCTTGACTCCCTCTTCTTTGGGGCAGCCCCTGAGATACTGGAAAACTAGAATTGGTTTTACTTCTTCAGTGCCAGGAGGTGTATTCAATAAAGATTTATCTCTTATGGCACCTCAAGGCTGTAGAGCAGTGATGGCGAACCTTTTAGAGACCGAGTGCCCAAAAACTGACCCCCCGCCCACTCCGCCCCTGCCCGCGCTCTGTCCCCCCACCCTGTCCCACTATACCCCCACCCCACCTGCCCGCAGGACCACCTACTGCCTTCATAGCCGGCCATATCAGATTGCCCAGGCAGCCCAGTAGCGTCATGGCGGCCATTCCCTCCGCCTGCGCCCCGCAACATCAGCTACATGCGACGGGGCACAAGGGTGGAGTCTTCTCCCTGCTGCCATGTGCTTGGCTGCACTGCTCCGTGCGGGCCGTGACCGGGGGTGACTCTCCTCCGGGGGGGGCTGCTGGTGGAGAGGGGGACGTGGGGGTAGGCGGGGCTGGGGCGACGACGCGCGTGCCCACAGAGAGGGCTCCGAGTGCTGCCTCTGGCATGCGTGCCATAGGTTCTCCACCACTGCCGTAGAGTTTCCTCCATGTTGGATTCGCCAGCCGGACGGTTGACACCCACCCACCCTGCGTATCTGTCTTTCCGTCTGCTGAGACGCTTACTGCGATGGCGTAACGGGTCACGTTCCGTTCCTCACACTCTTCCAGGGCATCTTTAAGTTCTTCCCCATCGTGGGACTCTCCATCAGTGAGCACGATCATCAGCTTGGTAGCCCCTGCTCTGCCCCCCCTTTCCGGACTAAAGGCCTCCGTGCTGCAGGCAAAAGCGAGAAAGAAATGGTGACTTTGGGGGGGGGGAGTTTTTCTCCCTGACAAAGTAATGCCCTAATGCCCTGGGTTAGAGCTTAGATCTCATATAGCCACAGATCTGATTTACCGAATGGGACAAGTTGCCTTGGTAAAATTTAAGCAATGTTGGTTCCTTAAAATTCTGCTGCTTATGGTGATTTGCTCCCCCTTAATCAATCAAAGCACAAGCTTCTTGTAGCAAAGGAGAGGATATCTCGGGAGAGAACAGCCTTCATGCATGCATCTAATTTCACAATTTTGAATCTTTGTACTTCTCCATATTTGATAATGCAGTGTTATCTATCTATCTATCTATCTATCTATCTATCTATCTATCTATCTATCTATCTATCTCTCTCTCTCTCTCTCTCTCTATCTATCTCTATCTATCTATCTATCTATCTATCTATCTATCTATCTATCTATCTACCTACCTACCTACCTACCTACCTACCTACCTACCTATTTATTATATCTTCTATCATCTATCTATCCTCTATCTATCATCTATCTATTATATCTTCTATCTATCTATCTATCTATCTATCTATCTATCTATCTATCTATCTATCTATTATATCTTCTATCTATCTATTATATCTTCTATCTATCATCTATCTATGTACCTATCTATCTATTATCTTCTATCTATCTATCTATCTATCTATCTATCTATCTATCTATCTATCTATCTATCTATCTATCTATCTATCTATATCTATCTATCTATCATATCTTCTATCATCTATCTATCTATCTATCTATCTATCTATCTATCTATCTATCTATCTATCTATCTATCTTTTATCAAACTTATTAACCGCCCATCTTCCTCCCAGAGGAGGCTATATATTATGAAAAAGTCTATGGTCAATATTAGTGAAGGAAGGAAGAAATAAGTTTTCTACGGGAAAATTGCTTGTGGAAGCCTTATATATTGGGCAAATAAAAATACACATCAACATGTGTACGAATTCTAATACCAAAATATATAAAATACAGTTTTAACAGAAAAAGACCTTGGAATACAGAGATCAATGGAAATTACCAGACTTTTTATCACCACAATGGACCCTTTGACTTCTGTTTGTGTTTCTACAACACACACAACCAGGTGACTGAATTAACTAGTTTTCTGGGCTTGCCTGTTAAATTGTTCCACACACTAATCAAATAGGCTGCTACGCAAATGCAGCACTAGCTGTGACATGAATTCAGTTAAGGGGATTGCGTGGATGCAGCTTCCACGCTTAAAAGTCAGCTGGATGAGCAAGGAGATCTTTCTTCAACCCGGGCTAGGGTTGGCCCCAAACAGAAGGCCAGATCAGACCCAGGTCTTGCTCTGACTGCCGATATTGCCTGCCCCGCCCCAAAGGCTACTACTTCATGGAATATAATGGTAGGGCTAGCAACCCTGATAACCACATTGATGAATTCCCATTTTTTAACTCACAGCGTTGACTGGATCAAGGACAGCCATGTGCCTACTTGACCACTAACTCATGCACAGGGGGCCTCATACAGTCTCTGGATTCCTGCCTTCTCTTGCGCCTCCCAGCACCTACCAGGCCTTGTGGATGGCGGCAGCCGTCCGAGTTTCAAGTCCTTCCTGCCGGCTGATATTTTGGGCGGCTTCAATGACTTCTTCGGCCGTCTTGTAGTCCTTCAGGGTCCACTCATGAATCGCAACTTCGCTGTACTGCAAGACCCCCACCTGTGAGGCCAGGAGGAGGAAGACCCCCTTGAGGCAATGACACAGTCTTTGGAGGAGTGTGTGTGGGGGGGGGGAGCGGGGTTATTAGGCCTTGATCCCCTAAAATCAGCTTGGTCTAAGCCAGAGTGTCAACGCTGCTAACATCGGATGTTCTTGCTTTGACAACATATGGAGAGGCAGCCTTTTTCTTTCTCACGCTTTACTCTTAGAATTAGATGATACTGGGGGAGGAGGGGGAGGAATGTGATGGGAGTTAGTTAGACATAACAATATTGTAATCGGGTGTGAATTCAGGGCGTTTGTAATAAGAGATGATAAGGCATGGCGGGAGGAAGAACTGGGCGGAAAGCCAGCATTTCAAACGAATTGGAGGATGTGATTTATGACTGTTAGTTGTTAGGAGGGAATGGGGCTTTGATACTATGTGCTGAGGGGAGGGGAAGTCAGATTTTGGCTGGGACTGTGTAAGTGCCGATGCTATGCTTCTCGAATAAAGATTCTTTAAGGTAAACAATGCCTCGAAGTTCTTTGAAGAGTTTCATATGTCGGAACCATAACACAGACATTCCGCAGTTTTTCCGCGGACTGGAGAGTGTGTGGTTTTGTGTGCTGCCTGCATCCCACAGATGGGGCTTTGCTGGCATGCTGGCACCTGGTACCGGTCCACGGACCGGGTGGGTGGGGACCCCTGGTCTAAGCTACCTTCCCCATCTTTCTTTCTTTCTTTTTCCCTCCCCCCTTTCTCTTTCTTTCTTTCTTTCTTTCTTTCTTTCTTTCTTTCTTTCTTTCTTTCTTTTTCTTTCTTTCTTTCTTTCTTTCTTTCTCTTTTTTCTTTCTTTTTCCCTCCCTCCCTCCCTCCCTCCCTCCCTCCCTCCTTTCTTTCTTTCTTTCTTTCTTTCTTTCTTTCTTTCTTTTTCCCTCCCCCCTTTCTCTTTCTTTCTTTCTTTCTTTCTTTTTCCCTCCCCCTCCCTCCCTCCCTCCCTCCCTCCCTCCCCCTTTCTTTCTTTCTTTCTGTTCTTTCTTTCTTTCTTTCTTTCTTTCTTTTTCCCTCCCTCCCTCCCTTTCTTTCTTTCTTTTCCCTCCCTCCCTCCTCCCTCCCTCTCTCTTTCTTTCTTTCTTTTTCCCTCCCTCCCTCCCTCTCTCTCTCTCTCTCTCTCTCTCTCTCTTTCTTTCTTTCTGAATATTTTTAGACTCCCTGATCTTCCTGGGATTTCCTGGAGTCTCCCTCCTAAAGAGTAACCAGATGCAATCCTATTTAGCTGGTGAGCCTCCTTCTGATACAATTAGAACTAAAATTTAGGTCAAATATATATTCTCAATCTAGAAGACAGACTGTGATCAGCAGGCTATAACGTTTGGGAGGAGAATCTGAGGAAGTGGTCTGCAGCTCATAAAAGTTGATAACGTTGAATAAAATCTGTTATTCAGAAAAGTTGCAACCAGACTTCTGATGTTTTGTTGGTTGGGAAAATATCTTTTCCCGAGCACTTTCAAGCTCTCGATTGGAACAAAAATTCAGAGAAACTGGATGAGGATGTTCAGAGAAGTGCAAGGAAGATGATCATGAAGCTAAGACAGAAACTTCTGAAGAGAGACTGAAAAGATAACCGAATGAGGACCTTTTTTCCTAACAAGAAGAGCCATTTCACAGAGCTTCCAAGGCCCAAAGACGGACTTCTCTTTTACCAGAGAGATTCAGGGATACAGTTTCCAGCTCCCAGTGATTTTAAACCTTAGAAGAACCACAAGAAACAATGAAAAAAGCAAGCAAAACTCACTTGGATCTGCTCTGGGTCAATGAAAAATTTGCTGAGAATGTTGCTAAGAAAATTCTGCACTTCGTACCATGGGTAAATGCTGTTGGAGCCATCCAGGACAATCACAATGTCCATGTAGGTGGAACATCCTGCACAAAGGTCAAAGAACAGTGGCAAGGGTCAGGCAGTGGCAAAGAAGGATCCCCCAGAGTCCAGGTAGTCCTCGACTTACAACCGTTCATTTAGTGACGGTTTGAAGTTACAACAGTACTGAAAAAAAGTGACATAACCATTTTTCACACTTAGGACCTTTGTAGCATCCTCAGGATCACGTGATTTACATTCGGATGCTTGACAACTGACTCACACTTATGATGATTGCAGTGTCCTGGGATCACTTGATCCCCCTTTTGTGACCACGGGGAAGCCAGATTCACTGAACACCCGTGTGACTAATTTAACAACTGCAATGATTCACTTAACAAATGTGGCAAGAAAAGCCGTAAAACGGGGCAAAACTCCCTTAACAAATTTCTCACTTAACAAACATCAATTTTGGGCTCAGTTGTGGTTTGTAAGTTGAGGACTACCTGTGTGTGCAGCGAAGTCCCTAAGCTTTCAATCCTAAGCCATTTTGGGCTGTTCCTCCTCTCTTCCTCAGCACATCACCCAACGTAGGAAATCAATATTTAATATTTATTAGATTTATATCTCGCCTTTCCTTGGGAAGCTGAAGGTGGCCTACACAATACTCCTGGTGCTATTTGCTTCTCTGAACGTCTTGAAGTAGGTTGAAAGAGATGGACGGGTCCAAAGCCCACCACTGGACCTCCATGATTGAGGTGGGATTTGTGCAACACCCAAGCAGCCATTTCAAATCCAGACAACTCAATTTGGAATATTGAGGGGGGGGGGCAAAGGAAGCCATTGAATACCACATGGCCTTTATATCAGCCTTCCCCTTCCGGGCGCTGCTGTTTGGTGAAGTGGGGAATTATGACTCACTTTAGCCCCAGACAATGCTGGTTGGGGCCAATAAGGATTGTAGTCCTTCCATTTGTTCTTGCTTAGATCTTTCAGCGTCTCTCCTGATGTTTTAAACTGGTGGGTGCAAAATTGGTTCGTTAGATCTCTCTTCCATGTTTCCTCCACAAGCAAGTCTGTATTGCTGGGGGGAAGTAAACCCCGCTGGAAACAATCCCAGCACTTCTGATAAATGTAGTCCTCAACTGGCCACTTCCAGGAGAGTCATGGGCACGTGAGGCTTTGGAAAACCCCAGGATGTGCTTCTAGCCACGTAGTCAGCCCTCCTGTAGAACAAATGGTGGGCCTGACTCATAGGAGGCCAGGGCTGACTGCAAAGGGAACTTGGAGCCAGCCCTGGATGAGGGGAGGTCCTACCCACGAGCCTGGTTGGCTGAAAGTCACTTGGATGAAAGACAAAAGCTTATCTAGCAATAATAATAATGATGATGATGATGTGGCAAAAGCAAGCAAGGGTAGTACCAATAGTAATAGGCGCCTTGGGTGCAATCTCAGAACAACTGGAGCACCACTTGAACACCATCATCGGCATTGACAAATTCGCTATTAGTCAATTGCAAAAGGTGGCCTTACTAGGAACTGCTTCCATCAGCACCATTGGTTTATAGCACACCATGGAGGACCAGTGGTGGGATTCAAATAAGTGAGCAACCGGTTTTCTGTCTGGATGCTCCTTCCGGAAGTTTATTCTGGGCCTGGGCAACAACAAAATTAGCTACCGGTTCTGCCAAAGTGATGCAAATGGTTGAATCCCACCATTGTGGAGGACCCTATAGAATCAGCCGGGGGGGGGGGGTCTTCCAAAGTTAAACAGTTTAGAAATCCAAGGAACAAAAGCCAAACTTACTCTGAGCCGTCGGGGCGATGTTTTCCATCAGCCGGAAGTCCTTGTCCACGCTGGTGCACATCCCTGTGCTATACATGGATGTGCCGCATTCCTGGGACCAGAGGGGAGCACAGGCCTGCCGGAAAGAGAGATGCTCATGGGAACTCGTAATGGCTTCCCAGCTGGCTGTGGGGCTGCCCTGGGCATCCCTTGCCTGACTGCAGCCTACCCTTGAGAGGGAGGGGAAAGAGAGAGATTCAGGCTGGGTGCCCCACACAATTGGAAGATAAGCGAGTAGAGATGGTTGACCCATGGCCTGTATTCACACAACATGCTTGCAGGGACTTCTTTTCTGGGTGTGCGCAAGCCAGAAATCAGTTTGATGGACTGCATTTAGCCCAGGGGCCCCAACCCCCGGTTCGTGGATCAGTACGGGGCCACGGCATGCCAGCAACCGGTCCGCACAAACAAGCAAAGCCCCATCCATGAGATGCAGGCAGTACACAAAACTACGCACCCACCGGTCCGCGGAAAAACCACGGAACTGGTCCCTGGTGCCCAAAAGGTTGGGGACTCCTGGTCTAACCAACAAGCAGAGCCACAGAAAATGAACCAAGATAAAAACGAACATGATTGCCATTTAACTGACCAAATGAGATATGTTGTATGAACACATCCATATAAGATCTGAGGCACGAGCAATTTCCCCACAAAGCTGGTTCCTACGTAAATCCATTTTTAAATAGGCAAAAAGCAAAGAATTTCAAAATGATGAGATGGCCTTTATATTTATGCTACCGTAAAATGATAGGAAGTCTGAGTCAATCTTCCCGGCTAATTTGGCTCTAGCTGTTTGTTCTTTATTATTGTTGTTGTTGTTGTTGTTAATCTTCAATTTGATTCACAGTCTGGCACTGGTAAAAATGAATTGAAGATATAATAATAATAATAATAATAATATAATGGTGATGATGAAGTAGTAGTAGTAGTAGTAGTAGAAGAAGAAGAAGAAGTAGAAGAAGAAGGAGGAGGAGGAGGAGGAGGAGGAGGAGAGAAGAAGAAGAAGAAGAAGAAGAAGAAGAAGAAGAAGAAGAAGAAGAAGAAGAAGAAGAAGAAGAAGAAGAAGAAGAAGAAGAAGAAGAAGAAGAAGAAGAAGAAGAAGAAGAAGAAGAAGAAGAAGAAGAAGAAGAAGAAGAAGAAGAAGAAGAAGTCTGGATAGTGGATGTGGCAGTGTCTGGAGACAGCAGAATAGACGAGAAAGAACTGGAGAAGATCACAAAATACAAAGACCTACAAATAGAAATAGAACGACTGTGGCAAAGGCAAGCAAGGATAGTACCAACAGTAATAGGCACCTTGGGTGCAATCCCAAAACAACTGGAGCACCACTTGAACACCATTGGCATTGACAAATTCGGTATTAGTCAATTGCAAAAGGCGGCCTTACTAGGAACCGCTTCCATCCTGCGACGAGATCTGAAATACCATCAAACATCCACATCTGCCTATCCCAGGTCCTTGGGAAGGACTCAATAGGTAGACAAAAATGCCAAATCCAGTCTGAACATCTGGCTGATGGTGCGATGATTAATAATAATAACAACAACAACAATAATTGGTATATTGCATGAACCCAAAAGATAGTTAGCTGAGTACTCAGCCTGTTGTGTGAATGCAGCCTTAAAATCATCAGTAGAAAAGTTGAGGGGGAGGACGTGGGGGGAACATTTAGGAATTAAGGAACAGAAGACCTCTTGGCCAGGGCTGCCCCAACACCAGCCATGCATAGGAGGCTCCAACATCCTGTTTTCCTAATCAGAACCAGCTTCCCTGGAATGCCACCAAAATGAAACGAGAGAAAGCGTTTCACACTCCTGGACAATCCATTAAAGTTGAGCAGGGCCAGAAAAGCCACCAAGAAAAAAGAGGCTGGCTTTGGATGCATCTGTTGCGTTTACAGATGCATCCTATTTACTCCCTCTCTGGGCCCAGTTCAGCAAGAGGCACGAAAAGGCACGTTTGTTCATTTATTTGCTCCTTGTTTGTTTATTCATTTATTCGATCGATCAATCCATCCATCAGAATAGAGCTGGAAGGGACCTTGGAGGTCTTCTAGTCCAACCCCGTGCTCAAACAGAAGACCCTAGTATATACTATTTCAGACAGATCTTTTCTCCAGTGATGGAGCACTCACAACTTGGAATACTGCATCCAGTTTTGGTCCCCACGATGTAAAAAAGATGTTGAGATTCTAGAAAGAGTGCAGAGAAGAGCAACAAAGATGATTGGGGGGGGGGGCTGGAGGCTAAAACATGTAAAGAACGGTTGCTGGAATTGGGTATGTCTAGTTTAATGAAGAGAAGGACCAGGGGGGACAGGATAGCAGCCTTCCAGTATCTCAGGGGCTGCCCCAGAGAAGAGGGAGTCAAGCTATTCTCCAAAGCGCCTGAAGGCAGGACGAGAAGCAATGGATGGAAACTAACCAAGGAGAGAAGCAACCTGGAACTAAGGAGAAACTTCCTGACAGTGAGAACAATTAACCAGTGGAACCACCTGCCTCCAGAAGCAGTAAATGCTCCAACACTGGAAGTTTTTAAGAAGAGAATGGACAGCCATTTGTCCGAAATGGTATAGGGTTACCTGCCGAGCAGGGGGTTGGACTTGATGACCTCCAAGATCCCTTCCAACATTATTATTATTATTATTATTATTATTATTATTATTACTACTACTACTACTACTATTTTCTGGTGGCAAGCTGTTCAACTGGTTAATTGTCCTCACTCTTAGGAAGTTTCTCCTTAATTCTAGATTGCTTCTCTCCTTCATTAGTTTCCATCCATTGTTTCTTGTCGTGACTTCTGGTGCTTTGGAAAATAGGTTGACCCCCCTCTTCTTTGTGGCAGCCCCTCAAATACTGGAATGCTACTATCATGTCCCCCCGGTCTTTCTTTTCTCTAGACTGGCCATACCCAATTCCTGCAACCGTTCTTCTTCGTATGTTTTGTTCTCCAGGCCTTTAATCATCTTTGTTGCTCTTCTCAGTTTATATAGCCACCCATCTCATAGTGACTCTTGGATAGCTTACATTTACAAATGCAAAAGGACGGACTGCTCCCACATTACAGGCAGTCCTCACTGAAATGATCATTTGTTCAGCGACCATTCAAAGTTAAGATGGCATTGAATGAATGGTAGTTAGGCCCATATTATTATTATTATTATTTTAAAAAATTGGAAAAGAGTGTAAATGTAAAATTTTACCGCTTTGTCATTATTAGCATTGTTGTCTATGGAGATTCTCAGTCATCCAGATCATGGTTGTCCCAAAGGTGTTTTTTTTTTCAAAAGACAACTCGACTTTGTTTGTTTTCTTTGAAGATGTTTCACTTCTCATCCAAGAAGCTTCTTCGGTTCTACATTCTTGGCAGGCGTCTAGCCATTCAGCACTCTGACCTTCGGGATTTATATTCCTTGCAGTCATACGGTCTGCCAGAATGCTAACAACAACCAGGTAACTGCAAGGAGTATAAATCCTTCCATTCCCCACCATTCAGTCAGAACTGAAGAAGCTTCTTGGATGAGGGGGTGAAACGTCTTCGAAGAAAAATAAAACAAAGTCCAATTATTTTTTGAAATGCATCTTTGGGATATTACCATTGTTATTTGCTTTGTCGTTTCCCTCTAGATTGTTCGACGTTGTTATTGGACATTGGACATGCTCAGCTTATTGATTACTCTGTGGTTCGATATATGGGGCAAACAGGCCACTCCGGCAGTAAAGTTAAGGGTGTTGTGTGAACAGCAAATGTGCCCAACTCCCCCTATTCTGCTCTAGGGCTCTTCTTCCAGCAGCCTGGTCAACAAGCCTCACCCTTCCATGGATTTGCAACTGAAATTATTGCAGCAGAGTTAGCTTTTTATAGCTCTCGTTCTTTCTTTTCTCTCTCTCTTTTTTTAAATATGTGGTTAGGGATGTGCTTTATTTAAAAAAAGAAAAGAAAAGAAAAGCATACCATTGAAGATACTTACCACAAACCCATCATCTTTGTTGGCCATCAGCGTCATCCCAAAATGCATGTTTTTTGTTTGCCTGGAAATATTCCGGAGACTCATGTCACCTAGTTGCGATTCAGAAACGCAGAAGGGAGGAAGGGAGGAAGGAGAGAGAGAAAAGAAGATCAAAATAGAAAATGCAATCTTTGGGTAATGCTGAAAAGTGCGTCTCCAGCATGCTTTCCTATATAATTACTGATGTGCTTCAACCTGTCTGTTTCCAGTCCCCCCCTCAGCCAACTGCTTCACTCCATGAGTTGGATTCCTTTCAGTTTTGATCAGCACACTATAAAAAAGATGTGGAAACTCTGGGAAGAGGGCAGAGAAAAGCAGCAAAGATGATTAGGGGGCTGGAGGCTAAAACATATAAGGAACGGTTGCAGGAATTGGGTAGGTCTACTCTAGCGAAAAGGACCAAAGGTGACATGATAGCAGTCATCATCAAGTTGGAAGGGACCTTGGAGGTCATCAAGTCCAACCCCCTGCTCAGGCAGGTGACCCTATACCATTTTGGACAAATGGCCGTCCAGTCTCTTCTTAAAAAGTTCCAGTGTTGGAGCATTCACCGCTTCTGGAGGCAGGTTGTTCCACTGGTTAATTGTTCTCACTGTCAGGAAGTTTCTCCTTAGTTCTAGGTTGCTTCTCTCCTTGATTGGTTCCCATCCATTGCTTCTTGTTCTGCCTTCAGGTGCTTTGGAGAATAGCTTGACTCCCTCTTCTTTGGGGCAGCCCCTGAGATACTGGAAGACTGCTATCATGTCCCCCTCGTCCTTCTCTTCATTAAACTAGACATACCCAATTCCATCAACTGTTCCTTATATGTTTTAGCCTCCAGTCCCCTAATCATCTTTGTTGCTCTTCTCTGCACTCTTTCTAGAGTCTCAACATCTTTTTTACATCATGGTGACCAAAACTGGATGCGGTATTCCAAGTGTGGCCTTACCAAGGCATTGTAAAGTGGTATTAACACTTCACGTGATCTTGATTCTATCGCTCTGTTAATGCAGCCTAGCACTGTGTTGGCTTTTTTGGCAGCTGCAGCACACTGCTGGCTCATTTTTAGGTGATTGTCCACTAGGACTCTGAGGTCCCTCTCACAGTTGCTACTATTGAGCAAGGTACCCCCTATACTATACCTGTGCATTTGGTTTTTCTTGCCTAAATGTAGAACCTTACTTTTTTCACCATTGAATTTCATTTTCTTCCAATATTTGAGGGGCTGCCACAAAGAAGAGGGGGTCCACCTATTTTCCAAAGCACCTGAAGGAATAATGGATGGAAATTGATCAAGGAGAGATTCAACCTAGAAATAAGCATACTTTTTCTGACAGTGAGAACAATCAACCAGCTTGGCTTCAGACATTATGGGTGCTCCAGCACTGGAGGCTTTTGAGAAGACACTAGACAGCGATTTATCAGAAATGGTATAGGGTCTCCTGCTTGAGCAGGGGTTGACTAGATGACCTACAAGGTCCCTTCCAACTCTGCTATTCTGTATTCAATAGTTGCAAAAAAAAAAAAAAAAAAAAGGTTTCAAGGCACAAAGCCCTGGAAGGAGTGAGGGATTGGGGGGGGGGGGCATTATTGTAGTCTATGTGCAAAGGATCTGACAACTGTTGATCACAGCAATGAGTCAATCGGATGAGGCAGAGGCTAAAAAAAGCAAACACATTTTTAGTATCATTTCCAATTCACGGGAAGAAATAATTCCACGGTTTTCTGCCACCTCCACTTCTGTGTACCAGTTTAAAGAAGAAGCTGCACAAAGTCATAAACACTGAAAACATGTCTGGACAAACTTCCTTGGGGCAGTTTGTCAGCACACTTCTGGCTTATGGGAGGGGATCTCCCTGATTAACCGATTAGATAAATAATCTGGGGGATGCTTGGGGTGGCATTGGTGGGCCACATAAGCCTCTTTAAATCCAAGGATTCAAACCTCTCCCCTTCCCTTTTGGAATTAGGAAGTCCACCCCCCCACCCCATCCTTTGGTTGCAATTTATAGACGTCTCCTATTAGGCCTGGACCTTCTGCTCATCTGAGCCAGCTGCTAAAATTTGGCTGTGAAAAATGGAAGAATTTCTATGGTATAATTTGGCTTTTTGGGCAAATATGAGTGAAGATACAAGTGTTTTGACTCCCAGAAGGGGGTCCCATTCCCCCCTTAAAGGTGGGCAGAAAAATAACCACCCAGTGGCTTGTGATGCTCCTCCAGAAGACCCCCCCCCCGCAGCACAGTCTGTTCCCTTTTCAGACCATTAGGGAGCATTCCAAAGGAGTGCTCTGTCAAACAAAGATTGGCACTGAATAACAGAATAACACAGATGGAAGGGACCTTGGAGGTCTTCTAGTCCAGCCCCCTGCTCAGGCAGAAAAACCTACACCATTTCAGACAAATGGCCATCCAGTCTCTTCTTAAAAACTTCCAGTGTTGGAGCATTCACAGCTTCTGGAGGCAGGTTGTTCCACTGGTTAATTGTCTTCGCTGTCAGGAAGTTTCTCCTTAGTTCCAGGTTGCTTCTCTCCTTGATGAGTTTCCATCCGTTGCTTCTTGTCCTGCCTTCAGGCGCTTTGGAGAATAGGTTGACCTCCTCCTCTTGGTGGCAGCCCCTCAAATACTGGAACTCTGCTATCTTGTCATCTCTAGTCCTTCTTTTCACTAGACTAGACAGACCAAATTCCTGCAACTGTTCTTCCTTTGGCCTCCAGCCCCCTGATCATCCTTGTCGCTCTTCTCTGCCCTCGTTCCAGAGCCTCAACGTGTTTTTTGTACTGGGGTTACCAAATATAAATACTGCTATTGGGTGACTGATCTGGTGATCTCCAAGATTTTTCACCCACAAAACAATGATTCCACCCAGAATCCCACCCAGACTTCCCTCATGCCCCTCCACGAGTTTTGCTTATTTATTTTTATCCCATCGTGATTATTTTCGTAAATAACTCAAGGTGGGGAGCATATCTCGTACTCTTTCTTCCTCCTATTTTTTTTGCAGTGCAACGACCCTGTGAGGTGGGTTGGGCTGAGAATGAGTGATTGGCCCGAAGTCACCCAGCCGGCTTCCATGCCTAAGGTAGGACTAGAACTCACCGTCTCCTGGTGATTGGCCCAAAGTCACCCAGCTGCCTTTCATGCCTAAGGCGGGACTAGAACTCACCGTCTCCTGCTAATTGGCCTAAAGTCACCCAAACATCTTTTGTACCTAGCGTGGCACTAGAACTCACAGTCTCCTGGTTTCTAGCCCGGTGCCTTCGCCACTAGACCAAACTAACTCTCAGAGATTCATATATCCACATATTTCTGAATATAGTGTGGATGCTTCAAAGCGTGTACCTATATTGACTTTAGTGCATGTTGAGTTTTTCCTCTCTCCCACAATGCACTTGTAAACATCACCTTTCCGGTCATCTTCAGTTCCGTCCCAAGGTGCGCCCACCAACATCCTAAGGAGAGAAGCGTCTGTGTTAGAAAGACTTGATAAAATTAAACCTCGTCCCAAACTAGAAATAAAATCAACGTGAGGCAAACATGAGAGGGTTAAAAATGGGAGAGAGTCCTCCATAAAATTGCAATTGTTCCAGGAAAACTGTTTCTGGGGACACCACTTTTCCCAGGGTGGGCAGGTGGAGGGGTCTGTTGTTAAGTGAGCCTTGGTCAATCATGTAGATCAGGGCTTTTCAACCTTTTCACCCACTGTACCACTTTTAGGAGATGGCAACATCCAAGTACCACCAGTCGCCTAGCAAGGTGTCAAAAACTTGATGACCCCCCCCAAAAAAGGAAAAAAGTGATAAAGTACAGGTAGTCCTCGACTTACAACAGTTCGCTTAGTGACTGTTCGAAGTTACAATGGCACTGAAAAAAGTGCCCCCCAAGCCACAGCCCAGCAAGACACCTGCCTGCCCACCCGGCTGCGCTCTTCCTCCTGTCCGAGGTTTTCATTGTTGTGAGCATTTCTGTTGAGGATTGGCAGTGGGGGTGGGGTGGGGGCTGTTTGGTTTTTATTCCCCCCATCTGCTGGGTGGTTGCAGCAGGTTTTGGTCACTTCACGTGACCCTGGGACACTGTGACCGTCATAAATATGAATCAGTTGCCAAGCATCTGAATGTAAATCACAAGACCCTGGAGAGGCTGCAACATTCCAGCTGATCGGTGCTTCTTCTGGGCTCAGCAGAAGCGCCAGGATCAGTGCTGAGGTCCAGCTGGAGCCTGGCACTGATCCTGGCGCTTCCGCTGAGCCCTGACAGCCCTGCAGCTCCAGCCATCTCTCGCTCAGGCTTGTGCGGTGCTACCACCGGTTCAACTCATTCCCCTCCCCTGCTACCACTTTTCTAGGATGGTCACGTACTACCTGCCAGGTGCCAATGTACCACAGGTGGTACCCATACCACAGGTTGAAAAGCCCTGATGTAGATGTGTTTTGTGTTGGCTTTTGGACCAGTCCTTGAGAACAAAAGAGAATGAAGTCTTTGGACACCCTGATCTGTTTTTCATCTGTGTATAAAAATATAATCCAGACAACCTCCCCATTCCTACAATTCACAATTCAAACATATTGTCTTTTCATTTGCAATTCTCCTGATTTTTCATCGCTGCCAAGATGTAACCCACATATTCCTCCCGGCTTTGAGTAACATGATGCATTTATCTTAAGGGAGAAAAAAGTATGTCTGGATGAAAACCGTGAGGTTTTCTTGTTGTTTATTTTTTGAGTGGTTCTCTTTGGTTACAACTACAATGTTCCCTTGCTTTCTAGGGTGAGAAAAGAGACAGAAACCCCTTTAACACACCTGACACCCCAATAATTTCTAAGGGGGAAAAAAGGAGGATTCAGAGATGAATTTTGAGCAGCTGGCTCCATTTTTTTTTACCAGTGTAGCCCTGAGGTGAGTTAATTTTGGTTTCTGCAAATAAATGTTGGAAATTCCCCAACTGAAACCATCCTATTGTCTTGAGCCCCTCAATTTCAAACTTATTTGTCGGGTGCCAGGTGGGTGTGGCCCATTGGCTGGGCATGGCCCATTGGCTGGGCGTGGCTGTGTTGGTAATGGCAGACTGGGTGGGACTAAAACGTTCAATCAATCAATTCCAACTTTGCAAGATTTTTTTTCCCTGCAAGAAGTTGAAGTTGACTGATTGATTGAACCTTTTTTTTTTTTTGCACACAGTGGTGGAGACCTAAAGCAAAAAGGTTTTATAAAACCCAACTGAAGGCCTAGGACTGGGGCGACGGTGCGCGTGCCCACAGAGAGGGCTCTGAGTGCCGCCTCTGGCACCCGTGCCAAAGGTTCGCCACCACTGCCATAGACCATTTTAGACAAATGGTTGTCCAGTCCTTTCATAAAAGCCTCCAGTGTTGCAGTACCCACATCTTCTGGAGGCAAGTTGTTCCACTGGTTAATTGTTCTTACCTTTAGGAATTTTCTCCTTAAATCCAGGTTGCTTCTCTCCTTGATTAGTTTCTATCAGTAGTTTCTTGTCTTGCATTCTGGTGCTTTGGAGAATAAGTTGACGCCCTTCTCTTTGTGGCAGCCCCTCAAATATTGGAAGATCCCTCATCCTTCTTTTCTCTAGCCAAACCCAAATCCTGCAATTGTTCTTCATATGTTTTCATCTCCAGGCCTTTAATCATCTGAGTTGGTCTTCTCTGCACTTTTTCCAAAGTCTCAACATCTTTTTTTGTAATGTGATGACCAAAACTGGATGCCATATTCCAGGTGTGGCCTTACTAAGGATTTATAAAGCAATACTAACACTTCACGTGATTTTGATTCTGTGTCTCTGTTTATACAACCAAGGATTGTATTTGCTTTTTTTGTTACTGAACACTGCTGGCTTAAGTGATCCTTCACTGGGACTCCAAGGTCCACCTCACAGTTACTGTTTTTGAGCCACGTTTCGCCCAATCTGTACTTGTACCTTTGTTTTTTCCTGCCTAGGTGTAAAACCTTGCTTTTCTCACATTCAATTTTATTTTGTTGGATAGGGCCCATTGTTCACATCTATCAAGATATTTTTGGATCCTGAGCTTGTGTTCTGGGGTGTTGGCGATTCCTGTCAGACCCTCTAGATCAGCAATCCCAACCTTTCTGATGCCAAAGAGCGGTTTTGGAAGAAAAATTGTCTTCCCTGGATAGGGAGGGGATGGCTTCGTGCATGCAAACTAGATCCCGCATATGTGCAGATGAAGCTTTGCTCGTTCACCTACTGCTTGCATCGCCTGGTTCCCAACAGGCTGCAGAGAGAGCTGGAGAACTACGAATTCAGCCTTTTTTCCCCACTGAACAAGCTGGTTCAGGCTGCTGGGAAGCACAAATTCACAATTCTGCTTCAATCCTGCAGAATTTGGCTAAATTACAGAGTGATGGAGTAAAAGTGGTTGTTTCCTTGGACTCAAGAAGAGATAAACAGTGGGCGGGAAAGTATTGAAAAGAGAAACACTTGGAATGAAGACAATAACAGAAGAATATGAAACAAGAGGAGATTTCATTAACAACCAAGGTCAGAGAGCAAGAAACAGTAGGTGAAAGAAGAGCAGCATCTTCTTAACTATGGATTTGGGGAGCGTTACTAACAGACAGTGGATTACAAGAAGAACCAGTCAATCTTGGACCAAATAAAGGTTAACTGGAGAAGCTCACAGATTTTGGGCATGTAAAGGGAGTGAACAAAGGACAGGAAAAAGGTTTTGTGGAGAGGGTGAGGGAATTAGAGAATTAGGAGGATAATGGATCAATGCATCCTCTGGAGCAGTGGTTCTCCACCTGTGGGTCGGGACCCCATTTGGGGTCGAACGACCATTTCACGGGGGTCGCCAAACAACGCAGTCTGCCATTTTCCCCCCTTTTCCTTAGCTGTGCTCCTCCCTTTTATTCTATTGGCTTTTGAAAGCCAATAGAATAGACTCTCTTGAATAGAGTCTAATTCTATTGGCTTTCCAAAGCCAATAGGAATTGTCCAGGCAGTCTCTGCCCTGCTGAGCCCGCCAAAAGTCCCATTCTGCAAACGGTGCTGCACCAGTTGAGTAGTCCTCGACTTACGACCGGTTGGGGGTCGCGGCATTAAAATGGTTGAGAACCACTGCTCTGGAGCATTTCCTAAAGATCTAAGAATTGTCTCTCAATGTGGACATCGATTTTGTCCATCTGTTCATCCAAAACTGGGCACCAAACAACTAACCAAACAAAGGAATAAAGAGTGGGGGACCCTATAATGAAACTGAAAAAAGTGACTTATGACCATTTTTCACACTTACGACCGTTGCAGCCTCCCCACGGTCGTGTGATCAAAATTTGGAAGCTTGGCCACTGACTGGTATTTATGACGGTTAGAGTGTCCCAGGGTCATGTGATCATCTTTTGCAACCTCGGGTCAAGCCAAGTCAATGGGGGGAGCCAAGTTCACTTAACAACCGTGTTGCTACCTTTGCAATTGCAGCGATTCACTTAACAACTGTGGCAAGCGAGGGCATAAAATGGGGGCAAAATTCACTTGACAACAGAAATGTTCAGCTCAATTGTGGAAAATAAAACAAGATGGACAGCAATTTCCTACTACAAACAATCATCAGCCAGGAGGATACTTCAGGTTTTTTTCTCATCAGCCGGTCACTAAATGGCCATTTTCATCCTCTGCAACATCCCATCTGAACACGAGTTCCCGCCAACTTCTTCCTATGATTTCCTGCTATGTGACTCATCCCATTTCCTGCCCCATCTGCAAAACCCATTCATCAGCTCCACCTCAAACCTTGTGGCTTTTTTTGCCACAGTGGGGCAGCAGCCCAAACTGCTGGTCACTCTCACGGTCTATATAAGCCCTATTTCCTGCTCTGGATTGATCTTTGGACCCAGATCACCGGTTGGAAGCAGTTGCTGTATTCTCCCACCTGCATTTCATCCCTAAATTATTTCCAGAGGAAAGTCTGCCAATTGTTCTTTTGTACTTTATTAAATGTTTCACAAAACGGCTGATGTTTGACTGGGGAAGTCCACAAGACAACTCAGAGTGTCTTTAATAACTGAAAAAGCAGAACTGGAGGCTTGCCGTTGGCAACAGGGTCGATGTCCCAAAACTGAAGGGCAGAAAAATCAAAGTGCACTTTCAGACTTTGTGATAAAGAGGTATTCCAATCAATCAGAATAGAGCTGGAAGGGACCTTGGAGGTCTTCTTGTCCAACCTCTTATTCAAGCAGAAGACCCTATACCAGTGGTTCTCAACCTTTTTAATGCCGCGACCCCCAACCGGTCGTAAGTCGAGGACTACTCAACCGGTCGTAAGTCGAGGACTACTCAACTGGTGCAGCACCGTTTGCAGAATGGGACTTTTGGCGGGCTCAGCAGGGCAGAGACAGCCTGGACAATTCCTATTGGCTTTTGAAAGCCAATAGAATTAGACTCTATTCAAGAGAGTCTATTCTATTGGCTTTCAAAAGCCAGTAGAATAAAAGGGAGTAGCACAGCTAAGGAAAAGGGGGGAAAAAATGGCGGACTGCGTTGTTTGATGACCCCCGTGAAATGGTCGTTCGACCCCAAATGGGGTCCCGACCCACAGGTTGAGAACCACTGCCCTATACCATTTCAGACAGGTGGCTGTCCAGTCTGTTCTTAAAAGCCTCCAGTGATGGAGCTTCTGGTGGCAAGCCGTTCCACTGGTTAATTGTCCTCACTGTCAGGAAATTTCTCCTTAGTTTCAGGTTGCTTCTCTCCTTGATGAGTTTCCATCCATTGTTTCTTGTCCTGCCTTCAGGTGCTTTGAGAAATAAATTGACCCCCCTCTTCTTTGTGACAACCCCTCAAATATTGGAACGCTGCTATCATATCAGGTCACTCCCCAAACCTAACCATGCATCCGTCAGTAGGGTCACAACATCCATTCTTTCCTTATTCCAATAACCCCATTGTCCTTATCTGTAAATGGCAAAGACAGGTTTCCCAAGGGGGTCTTTCCTTGCAAGTCCCCAGGCTGACCCAGCCATTTTGCCCCCTATCTAAGGTTCCTCTCAGTGAGCACAAAATGATAATAGCCTCCTCAAGTCTCTCAGATAATATTGCCGTTTGCTACGGTAGAGAATAACAGAGTTAGAAGGGGTCTTGGAGGTCTTCTAGTCCAACCCCCTGCTCAAGAAGGAAACCCTGTATCGGGGGTAGGCCACCTTGGCTCTTTTATGACTCGTGGACTTCAACTCCCAGAATTCCTGAGGCAGCATGGGGGGAACTATGGCCCCCTCATGACTCGTGGACTTCAACTCCCAGATTTCCTCAGCCAGCATGGCTCAGCTTGGAAACCTCTCCCTTTCCCCTCAGCACGGCTGGCTCAGGAATTCTGGGAGTTTTAAGTCCACCAGTCATAAAAGAGCCAAGGTTGCCTACCTCTGGCCTAGGCCTAGGCCGCTTTATGACTCGTGGAGTTCAACTCCCAGAATTCCTGAGCCAGCATGGGGAACTATGGCCCCTTCATGACTCGTGGACTTCAACTCCCAGAATTCCTCAGCCAGTATGAAAGAAACTATGGCCCCCTCATGACTTGGGATTTCAACTCCCAGAATTCCTGAGCCAGCATGGGGGAACTATGGCTCCCTCATGACTCATGGACTTCAACTCCCAGAATTCCTCAGCCAGCATGGCTCAGCTTGGAAACCTCTCCCTTTCCCTTCTGCATGGCTGGCTCAGGAATTCTGGGAGTTGAAGTCCACGAGTCATAAAGCAGGCTAGGCCTAGGGCAGGGGTAGGTCACCTTGGCTCTTTTATGACTCATGGACTTTAACTTCCAGAATTCCTGAGCCAGCCTGGCTCAGCATGGAAACCTCTCCTTTTCCCCTCAGCATGGCTGGCTCAGGAATTCTGGGAGTTGAAGTCCACGAGTCATAAAAGAGCCAAGGTGGCCTACCCCGGGCCTATACCATTTCAGACAAAATGATTCCTCAGCTCTCTGTTAAAAGAAGCAGACCCTCGCAGGGAAAATCACTCCACATGGACTGGCCCCCTGCCCAGTGCAGCTCTTCCCCGGACCAGCACCCCGCAGGATGGTCATTCTATGGGACCCCCAAGGCAAAACCTGAGACTTAAAACATCTCTCAGGCCTCACAGCTTCACCTGCACACTTAATCTTGGTTAGTAACCTGAACCTTAATTTGTTCTTTTGTGGCTGACCATGTTGTACAAACCACATACAGGTGGACCTCGACTTATGACAATTGAGCTCGACCTTTACGTTGCTAAGCGAGGCAGTTAAGTGACTTTCACCCCATTTTACCATCTTTCTTGCCACTGTTGATAAGTGAATCGCTGCGGTGGTTAAGTTAGTAACACACCTGTTAAGTGGATCTGGTCCCCCCCCCCGTTGACTTTGCTTGTCAGAAGGCCACAAAAGGGGATCACCTGACCCCCCCTCCCAGGGCACGGCGACCGTCATAAATAGGAATCAGTTGCCAAGCGTCCGAATTGTGATCACGTGACCCTGGGGAGGCTGCAACTGTCGTAAGTGTGAGACATGGTCCCCAGTCACTTTTTTTAGTGACGTTGTAACTTTGAACGGTCACTAAACGTAATAATAATAAAAGTTGGAAGGGACCTTGGAGGTCATCTAGTCCAACCCGCTGCTCAGGCAGGAAACCCTACACCATTTCGGACAAATGGCTGTCCAGTCTCTTCTTAAAAACTTCCAGTGTTGGAGCATTCACCGCTTCTGGAGGCAGGTTGTCCAATGAACTGTTTTGAGTCAAGGATTGCCTGTACTTTATTCCATGCATCTGACAGTTCATGAGAGTTTACTTGCTGTAGTACATTTTGCATCTTTGAAGTAGTAAGCTTCTTTCTTGTTGATTCTTGGGTGGAGGGGAGGGGGCAGACGAAGGAGTAGGAATAAGAAAGCAGCCTCAACACAGCTGCACAAACTCACCATTGTTGCTCTTGAGCTGTGAACTGCAGGACTTTATAGCCGAACTGGGCATCCTGAGGCCCACGAAAGATCTGAGCTCTTTTCACATCGATGTTAAAAGGGGTGACTCGGCCTGGAGGGAGGGAAAAAGAGGGAGCTGGAGACCTTGCTGTTTCCTTTTTTCCTTTCACGTAGGAGAGAGGAGGCACTATTCAGAAAACCAGGTTTACTGGGGCATTGGAAGGGATGCATTGATGCATTTGTGCTATGTGCAAAGCTAGTGGGTCAAGCTTAGCGAATTCCCAAAAGCTAAGCGGGAGAACTCGGTTAGTTCTTGAATCTGGGCTAGAGGGAGAAGTGAAAGAGAATTATCTGGAAGAAGAAAATAGCAGAGATGCGTCCATGAAATCCACCAAGATTCAAACTCATTCAAATTTGTATTTTCCAGAACCCAGAGACTTTTAGGTGAGCCTCTCTCTCTCTCTCTCTCTCTCTCTCTCTCTCTCTCTCTCTCTCTCTCTTTCTCACTCTTTCTCTTTCTCGCTTTCTTTCTTTTTCTCGCTTTCTCTCTCCCTTTCTCTCTATCAATCTTTCTCACACTCTCTCTCTGTTTCTTTCTCTCTTTCTCACTTTCTCTCTCTCTTTTTCTCCCTCTCTCCCCCCTCTCTCTTTCTTCTCCCTCTCTCTTCCCCTCTCTTTCTTTCTCTCTTTCTTTCTCTCTCTCTCTCTTCGAACAGTCACTAAATGAACTGTTGTAAGTCGAGGACTACCTGTACTTTCAGCATCACCAGGGCTCTGCTCAAAATGCACAACCCTCAACAAACAGACAAACAAAACAAATTGCTCTAGAGATAGACATGCAAAAGGGTTGCTGGATCACAACTTCCCCCAGTCCCTTTGTAGAGTCCCCTGTTGACCAATAGCAACGGACCTTAGACTTATATACCACTTCATTGTGCTTTACAGCCCTCTCTAAGCAGTTTTACAGAGTCAGCATTTTGCCCCCAACAATCTGGGTCCTCATTTTACTGGCCTCGGAAAGACGGAAGGCTGAGTCAACCTTGAGCAGATCAGGATCGAACTGCTGGCTATGGGCAGAATTAGCCTGCAATACTTCATTCTAACCACTGCGCCACCATGGCAATAGAATAGAATAGAATAGAATAGAATAGAATAGAATAGAATAGAATAGAATAAGAATAAAGTAGAGTGGAGTGGAGTGGAGTGGAGTGGAGTAGAGTAGAGTAGAGTAGAATAGAATAGAATAGTATGGAATAGAATAGAATAGAATAGAATAAAAATAAAATAGAATAGAATAAGAATAAAATAGAATAGAATGGAATGGAATGGGAATAGGAATGGAAATCGGAATAGAATAGAATGGAATGGAATGGAATAGGAATAGGAATGGAAATAGGAAAAGGAAAAGGAAAAGGAATCGGAATAGAATAGAATAAGCCCTTAGACTTACATACCGCTTCACAGTGCTTTACAGCCCCCTTTAAACTGTTTAAAGACTCATCCACTTGCCCCCAACAATCTGGGTCCTCATTTTACCGGCCTTGGAAGGACAGAAGGCTGAGTCAACCTTGAGCCGGTCAGGATCAAACTGCTGGCAGTGAGCAGAGTCAGCCTGCAAAGCCACATTCTAACCACTGCGCCATCACGATTCTTAACAAGCACTTGTTTTGCAGGAGGAGCGAGGCTTTTTTTTTTTGCTCACATTCCTCAAACAACCAACCCCTCTCAACCATGGCTAAACCCTTCAGGAGAAATTTCCAAATCCACCTCTGTTACATTGGCTCCAAATCTGGGCTGTTTTTGGTTCATTCAACCAACAGATTCCAGAGGAAAAAGAAAGCAGGTGGAACCGTGGTCTGTGCCCAGCGGTTGATCTTGGCTTCTCAAAGCTGCTCATTTGGGAGAGACTCAAAAATGCCGCCCAGAGTTAAAAGTAAGTATGAACCAATTCATACTAAGAGCCACAGCATGCTAAAAACAGGATCTAGACCAGGGGTCTCCAAACTCGGTTGCTTTAAGAATTGTGGACTTCAACTCCCAGAATTCCTGAGCCAGCCGTGCTGAGAGAGAAAGGGAAAGGTTTCCAAGCTGTGCCATGCTGGCTCAGGAATTCTGGGAGTTGAAGTCCACGAGTCATAAAAGAGCCGAGGTTGCCTCACTCTGGCCTAGGCCTAGGCTGCTTTATGACTTGTGGACTTCAACTCCCAGAATTCCTGAGCCAGCCATGCTGAGGGGAAAGGGAGAGATTTCCAAGCTGAGCCATGCTGGCTGAGGAATTCTGGGAGTTGAAGTCCACCAGTCATGAAGGGGGCATAGTTCTCCCATGCTGGCTCAGGAATTCTGGGAGTTGAACTCCACGAGTCATAAAGCAGCCTAGGCCTAGGCCAGAGTGAGGCAACCTTGGCTCTTTTATGACTCGTGGACTTCAACTCCCAGAATTCCTGAGCCAGCCATGCTGAGGGGAAAGGGAGAGGTTTCCAAGCTGAGACAGGCTGGCTCAGGAATTCTGGGAGTTGAAGTCCACCAGTCATAAAAGAGCCAAGGTTGCCTCACTCTGGCCTAGGCCTAGGTCGCTTTATGACTCCCAGAATTCCTGAGCCAGCCATGCTGAGGGGAAAGGGAGAGGTTTCCAAGCTGAGACAGGTTGGCTCAGGAATTCTGGGAGTTGAAGCGGCAGAGACGGCGCAGGGCGACCACCGGCTGGGCCACCAGCTGGCCCAGCCCAAGGGAGGTAAGGCACCCGCTGGGCCCCATGCACGCTAGCAACCCTCCCTGCGCCCGCCGGCCTCCCACCTCCCACCCCTGGCCCTCTTTTCCTTACATTTTTAGTAGTTGCTTAGCAGGGAGGGGTGGAAGCTTTCAGACAGCTCGCCTTCGCTGCAGACAACTTGCAGCACCGTTTGCAGACTGGGACTTTTGGCGGGCTCAGCAGGGCCGAGACAGCCTGGACAATTCCTATTGGCTTTGGAAAGCCAATAGAATTAGACTCTATTCAAGAGAGTCTCTTCTATTGGCTTTCAAAAGCCAAGAGAATAAAAGGGAGAAGCACAGTTAAGGAAAAGGGGGAAAAAATGGCGGACTGCGTTGTTTGGCGACCCCCGTGAAATGGTCCTTCGACCCCAAATGGGGTCCCGACCCACAGGTGGAGAACCACTGGCCTAGAGAAAGTGTCCAATGAATACAAAGGCATGTAAAATGCTTTGCTAATGAAAACGAGTGCATTTTGTTCTGCCTTTGCAAAAGAAAGCAATATAAATGCATTGGCTTGAAACCTCTCTCTCTGTCTCTCTCTCCCCGATTGTCTCCGACTGAGCTCATCCACAGCTCACTTCCTCAACAACAGCTCAGTGTGTGGGAAAGAGTACACCGTTTAAGTCTCCTGCAAAAGGATGTGTAAGGGAAGGGTGTAGTCCACCCCTCCACACAACGCCACCTCTGTCCACAGCACCACAGTCTGCAAACTCCAGAGAAAAACAAGGGAAATGAGCTAGAGGGGAGGAGTGCGGCTTGAAAAATCTAAATTTCACACATAAATAATGGGTGATTCTTATATAGACAGGCCAACTTTGAACTTCCACCACAAGCTGCAGCACGGAGCTTGGTAAGGAATACGTCTCATTGAATGTCTTCATTTGTTTATTTCTTTATTTATTTACCACAGTTTTGGACCGCCCGTTTCCCTCAGAGAGGGACCCTGGGGCCTTTTCCTGAACCTGATCCTGCCAGGGCCAACTGTGAAAGAGCAACTGAAACTTTTGCTATTCCTTTATTTATTTGCTCATTCATTCGTTCGTTCGTTCATTTATTTATTTACCACAGTTTTGGACCGCCCATTTCCCTTAGAGAGGGACCCTGATGACTTTTCCTGAATGTGATCCTGTCTGTCTGTCTATCTATCTATCTATCTATCTATCTATCTATCTATCTATCTATCTATCTATCTATCTATCTATCTATCTATCTATCCTTAACTGTCTATCTGTCTGTCTATCTATCAATTTATCCATCTATCCATAACTTCTCTGTCTGTCTGTCTGTCTATCTATCCATTTATCCATCTATCTGTAACTTCTCTGTCTGTCTATCTGTCAGTCTGTCTGTCTGTCTTTAACTGTCCATCCATCTATCTATCTGTCTATCTATCTATCTATCTATCCATCCATCCATCCATCCTTAACTGTCTGTCTATCTATCTATCTATGCAGCCCACGTGAGTTCATTTAGACATCAAAAATAATTAAAGGTACACCATGCATGCAGTACAACCGCATTGCTTTTGTTTTGAAGAAAATTACTTTTTTTTCCAAATTACTTCTGTGCATGTGTGCCTACGCACCTTCATGGCATTAAAACCCATATAATTTAATGCTTTTTATAAAGCAATAGCTCTTAGACTTATATACCATTTCACAGTGCTTTACAGGCCTCTCTAAGCGGTTTACAGACTCAGCCATTTGCCCCGACAATCTTTTTTACCCACCTCGGAAGGATGGAAGGCTGAGTCAACCTTTTTATAAAGCAATAAAATTAATGTTGAATTAAGTCTGAGATGGTATAGAATATAGATTCTCCTGCTTGAGCAGAGGGCTGGACTAGAAGACCTCCAAGGTCCCTTCCAGATTCTATTCTATTCTATTCTATTCTATTCTATTCTATTCTATTCTATTCTGTTCTATTCCCATTCTCTATTCTATTCCATTCCATTCCCCATTCTATTCCATTCCCTGTTCTATTCTAAACTACTTTTTATTCTATTTTCTATTCTATTCTATTCTATTCCCATTCTCCATCCTATTCCCATTCTCTATTCTATTCCATTCCATTCCATTTTCTGTTCTATCCTATTCTATTCTGTTCTATTTTCTGTTCTATTCTATTTTATTCCATTCCATTCCATTTTTTCTGTTCTATTCTATTCTATTTTCTGTTCTATTCTATTCTATCCATTCCATATTCTATTCCATTACATATTCCACTCCACTCCACTCTACTCTATTCTAATTCTAATTCTAATTCTATTCCATTCCATTCCATTCCATTCCATTCCATTCTATTCTATTCTATTCTATTCTAATTCTAATTCTAATTCTATTCTATTCTATTGGCTTGGCCCTCCACAACAGTTTCTCATGTGGCCTCTTGGGAAAATTAACTGTTCCTCCCCCCCCCCCGCTTTATACAATAAAGCTTTCAGAATCACTCCATGAAATTGAGATTTTTGTGTTGCTTTCCCCAGAAAGAAAGGAAATAAAGATGCCTTCCTAAGCTAACCACAGAGAGCGATTAAGTATACAGCCCCTGCTGTTCGCTTTGGAAGGCCCGTGATGGTTTTCCCACAAACAGCCCAAAATACTGATTTTCTCCGCAGTGGGCGCAGCAGAGGGACTGAACTGTTGGCGAAGGAAGCGAAGCCCCAGTTTAATTTAGAAAAACCCATTTCAAAGGGGGCAGCCCGCTGACCGTCCGCGTTCAGCTGCAGAGAACCCAGGAGGGGTAACCATGGGCTGGATCCACCCAACGCACACGAAGCCTCAACAGCTCAGCAGCTTTAGAGCCTCCAGTACCTGCACCCATTGGCCTTTGGCTGACTTGGTTAAGAGATTACCTGCCACCTGATTCCAGGTATGTATCGTTTAAACCAGTTCTCTGCCACCGGGCACTCTCTGGGTTTCAGTTGGCACCTCCGCACCTTCTATGGTGCAGGAAGACGTTTGGGGTGAAGATCCTTTATTAAATGTCTGGATACAAATATTATAAAGATAATCGGGAAGATGGTCAGCTGCAAAACAAGCTTCCTCAAATAAGTTACCCAGACCTAATCCACATATCAAAGGATAAGGTCTGCAAACACAGTGTTAATTAAGTTAGGTCTCCCAGAGGAGATGTGAACCCTAACTTTACAGGTAATCCTTGACTGACAACACTTCGTTTAGTGACTGTTCAATGTTACAACGGCACTGAAAAAAAGTGACTTGTGACCGTTTTTCACAGTTACAACCTTTGTAGCATCCCCATGATCATGTGATCAAAATTCAGACGCTTGGCAACTGACTCATACTTACGACTGTTGCTGTGTCCCAAGATCACGGGATCCCCTTTTGCGACCTTTTGACAAGCCAAATCAAGGGGGAAGCCAGACGCACTTAACAACCGGGTTACTAACGTTATCCACTGCAGTGATTCACTTAACGACTGTAGCAAAACGTCGTCAAATGGGGCAAAACTCACTTAACTTGCTTCACCACAGAAATGTGGGGCTCAATGGTGGTCGTAAGTTGAGGACTTACCTGTAGTTCATTCTCAAAAGATACTCCTGGGGGATTGTAATCTCAGGCTCAAAAGGGATGTGATAGGGGCCATGTAAAGTTTTTCTTAAACTATGGAGGCCTCTAGACCAGTGGTTCTCAACCTTTCTAATGCCGCGACCCCATAATACAGTTCCCCATGTTGTGGTGACCCCCCAAGCACTTATACATCACCGGGTGCCAGGGGCATGGCCAAAGAAAAGGGGAAAAAATGGCGGACAGCCTTGTTTGGCAACCCCCGTGAAATGGTCGTTTGACCCCAAATGGGGTCCCGACCCACAGGTTGAGAACCACTGCTCTAGACTAATACTATCCTCTATTCCGTTTTGATTTCAAGAGAAGACCCCAGCTGGAGCCCATTTATTTGTTTTCTTTTTTCTTTTTGGAAAGAAAAAAAACTCTCCTGCTTTCCTTTGGTTGAGCATTATATTTGGGGGGGGGGGAGATAGTTGCTACTACCATGCAGCTGCTACTTTTATAAAATAAGTAATTCTTTTAACTATCCATAGCTAATCTTGCTTCGCTGAATTTTATTTGGATGAGTAAACTTGAGGTTAAATTGGTGATTATTTACCGTGGACTTTGGGATATTAAACCCACGAACCAGGCCATGTGCAGGTGCGTGCAGATAGTCCTCAGGTTACGACCACAACTGAGCCCCAAATTCATGTCGCTAAGGGAGACATTTGTTAAGTGTGTTTTTCCCCATTTTACGACCTCTCTTGACAACCGGTTGTCAAGCATCTGAATGTAAATCACATGACCAAAGGGATGCTGCAACAGTCATTAAGTGTGAAAAATGGTCATCAGCGCCTTTTTTCAGTGCCGTTGTAACTTGGAACAGTCACTAAATGAACTCTTTTAAGTTGAGGACTACTTGTGCTATTCCCCAAATCAGGGGGTCTGACCTAACCCTGTTGGCTCCAGCCAAGTGCCGCCTTTGTATATTTTTGAGGACCTTATATTTCATTTAAATTAAATAAAAACTTCCAGGATGTTTTTTTTTTTTAAAAAAAAAAATATCTCAGATTAGGTTTCTCTCTGAGAATTCTCAGCCCCAGGATTTCCTTGTGGTGTCCTCTCCAAATCTAAACTCTGTTTATAGGTTCTGAGCACAAGAAAAAACAGCACATTGTGCGTGTGTGTGTGTGTGTGGTTTTTTTATGAACACTAGTTATATATTTAAAATTAACACAAGGCTATATATGTAATATTTAAGACGAAAGAAAGAACTTGTATTGCTGGAAGAAAGAGACACGTTCAGCAATGTTTTTAACCGAATTCTTTATACAGAAAATTTTACGTAAAAATGCATGAACAGCCAACAAAAACAGCATCCAGAGCAGCCATAAACCCCAAAGGCCAGAGAATCATCAAGGATTTGTAAAACCTTGAACTTTTTCCAGCAAGAAAGCATTTCCCTGACATTGTTTTGTAATCCTTAGAATAACTCAGTCCATTAGGCCAATCTATTAATCCTAATCAAGTTTGCTCCAGTGCAGAAAAGAAGCAGCTGGCTTTCCATTACAGGCAGTCCTCAAAATTGAGCCCCAAACCTCTGTCATTAAGGGAGACGTTCGTTAAGTGAGTTTTGCCCCACTTTATTTATTGATTCATTTATTTCATTTGGAAAAATGTATATCGCTGCCTATGCCCTCGGGGCAATTCTAGGCAGCTTACAGAAAATAAAACAGCATGTAGAAAAAAAATAAATAAAAGTGATTAAAAACAAAAACAAATAACAACAAAATAATAAACCCCTCGCCCATTTTATGACCGTTTTTGCCACCGTTGTTAAGTGAATCATCCCAGTTGATAAGTTAGTCACCCGGTTGTTAAGTGAATCCGACTTCCCCCGCTGACTTTGCTGGTCAGGAGGTGCGAAAAGGGATTATGTGACCCCCCCCGGGACACTGCGACCATCATAAATATGAATCAGTTGCCGAGCGTCTGTATTGTGATCATCACGTGACCACGGGGAGGCTGCAACGGTCGTAACTGTGAAAAACGGTCCTAAGTCCCCTTTTTGGGAACGTTCACTAAGTGAACTGTTGCAAATGGAGGACTACACCTACACTGGATTCTGGAAACCATCGCACCCTAAGCCAAAGGACAAATTAAAAAAGACACACCAGTTTGCCGAGGAAAGTTGAAGGAAAATACATTCTCCGGCTTGGATCGGATTCATTTGCAAAAAGTGGATTTTTTTTTTTTTTACGTACCCCTCCCTAAAGCAGGCAGACCTTCCCCACCCTGAGCCACACACACACACAAACACAGGCACACAAGCACACACACTGAGCCTCCTCCAGTTGGGGGGGGCTCCATTTTCAAGAAAGGCACTCCCAACTTTGGGGAAGCCCCCCCAGGTAAGCCTACCTGGGAGAAGGAGAAGCAGGAGCCCAGCCAGGCAGCCCGAGGGTCCCATCTCACACCGAGGGGGCATCCAAAAGGTCCAGGCGGGCACGGCTATCTGGGCATGGCTGAGGCCGGGCAGCCGTCCGTTGCTCCTAGCCCAGGCACCTCAAAGGTTGCACTGTCTCCGGCTGCTTCTTTTTCTTACGCGCCACCCAAAGTCTCTGTGTGTTTCTCCCTCCTTCATCTTGGAAAATATTTTGATTGGCCACTAAAAATAAGCCAGGAGCTGGGCCTTTCCCACCCAGCCATCACTGGGATGCAACTTGCTTAAAAGAGAGAGACAGAGAGAGAGAAAGGGGAAAAAAAACCCTGTATTTTGCAGATGCCGAAATAACAAAGGTGGACATTGAAATGACTAAGCTGGCAAAAGGCCGACGGAGTTGCTCCGAATTGTGGAGATGAAAACTTAAAAAAAAAAAAAAAGGAAGCCTCATCATTGCTATTTTAAAACTTCCAAGCAAAAACTTTTAGTTCTGATCCTAGAGCAAGCGACGCGTCCAGTGAATTATCTCTACAATTTTTCATGTTTATACACGGCCAGGCAGAAGACTTGCAACTCGTAGCTGTCTCCAATTTCACACTTCACCAGGCAAATGCACAACAACAGGGTGGGAAGGTTAGCCACCAACAATGAGTTAATTGCTCATAATAAGCATGTTCTCCAAAAGGAGCTGAAGGCAGGACAAGAAGTAACGGATGGAAACTAATCCTGCCTGAGCAGGGGGTTAGACTAGATGACCTCCAAGGTCCCTTCTAACTCTTATTATTATTATCAATAACAACAACAACAATAATAATAATATCGAAGCAACATGGAATTAAGGAGGCATTTCCTAACAGTCAGAAGGCAGGACAAGAAGCAATGGATGGAAACTAATCCTGCCTGAGCAGCGGGTTAGACTAGATGACCTCCAAGGTCCCTTCTAACTCTATTATTATTATCAATAACAACAACAACAACAATAATAATATCGAAGCAACATGGAATTAAGGAGGCATTTCCTAACAGTGAGAAGGCAGGACAAGAAGCAATGGATGGAAACTAATCCTGCCTGAGCAGGGGGTTAGACTAGATGACCTCCAAGATCCCTTCTAACTCTATTATTATTATCAATAACAACAACAACAATATCGAAGCAACATGGAATTAAGGAGGCATTTCCTAACAGTGAGAAGGCAGGACAAGAAGCAACAGATGGAAACTAATCCTGTCTGAGCAGGGAGTTAGACTAGATGACCTCCAAGGTCCCTTCTAACTCTATTATTATCAATAACAATAACAATAATGTTATCGAAGCAACATGGAATTAAGGAGGCATTTCCTAACAGTGAGAATAATTAACCAGTGGAACTGCTTGCCACCAGAAGTTGTGGCTGCTCCACCACTGGAAGCTTTTAAGACGAGACTGGAAGCCAAGGGTATAAGATCTCCTGCTTGAGCAGGGGTTAGACTAGAAGACCTCCAAGGTCCCTTCCAACTCTGCTATTCATAACTAGAAAGCAAATAATCAATTGTAACACTAAGTTCATGAATAATATATTGATTTAAATACCTTTTGGATCTAATCTGCACATAAAATTTAGCTCTGGAATTTGGGAATGGTGGGGTGGACATCTGTCAGGATCAGAACTCTGAACTTAAGCAAAATACCATTTTCTCCCATCTCAAATTTCAGCTCTCGGCCTCTAAAGCAGAGATGGGCAAGTTTTCGCTTTCTGGGGCACGTTATTTTGGGAAGAGGCAAAACCTATCCTGCTATCAATTGGATGTGGCACATCGCAGAAATGGGTAGAATAAAAAAAAATTGAGGATGTGTCTGTCTTTGATTTGTTTCCTTCCCAATTCTTAAGCTTCTTTTAAGATGTATGCATAGATATTCTGTTACACCCCATAAAGGAGCACAGAGGTGAAACCACAGCAGTTGTGTTTTCTGACTCTGTAATTCAAATGTCCTTGATTTACAACAGTTTGTTTAGTGACCGTTTGAAGCTACAACGGCACTGAAAAAAAAGGGACTTAGGACTGTTTTTCACACTTACGACCGTTGCAGCCTCCCCCAGGGTCACATGATCAACATTCAGATGCTTGGCCATTGGTTCACATTTACGACGGTTGCCGTGTCTCTGGGGGTCCTGGAATCCCCTTTTGCGACCTTCTGACAATCAAAGTCAACGGGGGAAGCCGGATTCGCTTCACAACCTTCTGACTAATTTAACAACTGCAGCGATTCGCTTAACGACGGTGGCGAGAAAGGTCGTAACATGAAGCAAAATTCACTTAGGAAATGTCTCACTTAGCAACAGAAAATTTGGGTTTTAAGCCGAGGACTGAAAAGTCGTAAGTCGAGGACTACCTGTATTTGCCCTTTTTCACACTCATAAAATATTTGTGATTTAGAGAAAAACGGCAGAACCACAAGATCAGACTTTAAAGCGCTTACAAGATTTTGCTGATTTAAAAAAAAAAAAACCAAAAAACCCACCATTTTCAATCTAAGGAGTTTTGCCTGTATGTTGAACTGAGTTTGAGGTCTGCAAGCTTTTAAATAACGCAGAACTCTTTAAGGGGAAAAAAAACCACACTGTGCTGCTCCAAAGTTTGGGGATAACTTTTGCTTACCAAAAGAAAGCAAAGCTTTTGGTTTTTTAAAACACTTGTGCTTCTCTCTCTCTCTCTCTCTCAAAAGCTTTGGTATTTATCTTTGAATTGCAAATTCCTGCGCAGGAGAAAAATGTTTTGCAGATTTTTGTGGAACACAAGTAGAAGCTTTGTGCAACTGGAACCCTGAATTAGGAATTTGCCACAAAGCTCTGAGCAGGAGACCAGTTCTTGAACCAATTTATTTTTCTTCCAAATTTAAATCCAGCCCAGTCCAACCCCCCCCCCTCATTTTTATGAGCCATATAAGGGATATTTGAGAGAGATAAGTTTTGCTATGCCTGCTTCGCCCATCTATTCCCCCCCCCTCTTTGGCGGTACCATACCGGAGTCCCCCCCCTCATTTTGGGGGTCTTCACAAACTTCCTCTGTTTGAGTCTGGAGCAGAATAAGGGGTACTGATCTTGGAAAACAGTTTCAAACCACCCTCCAGACCCCTCAAACCCTGGGTTCGGTTCCAAACACCTCACTTTACGATTTAGAGAATGTGGAAGAGGTTTGATTTCCCCCCCCCCCAAAAAAACTCCTTGAAGTGGGGTCTCTTTTTTCTCCTTTAGAAATCCTGAGGGGAGGGGGCTAACCTTGTTAGTATATGGCTTATCTGGTATAGTAAGTTTTCATTTTTAAACCTTTTTATATAGTCCTTGAATTACGACCACAACTGAGCCCAAAATTCATGTCGCTAAGTGAGACATTTGCTAAGAGAGTTTTGCCCCGTTTTACAACTTTTCGTGCCAGAGTGGTTAAGCGGATCGCTGTTAAGTTAGTAACCTGGTTGTTAAGTGGCTTTCCCACTGAAGGGGATCACATGACCTTGGGACCCAGCAAGGGCCATAAAATTTTGAACCTGTAGCCATGGGGATGCTGCAACAGCTGTAAGTATGAAAAATGGTTGTAAGTCACTCTTTTCAGTACAGTTGTAACTTTGAACAGTCATTAAATGCACTGCTTTACGTTGAGGACTCCCTGTACCGTGATACATACAGTACAGTAAAAGAAAAGAAATGCGTAATTAAACCGTGGAACTCCTTGCCACCAGATTTTGTTGTTGTTGTTAGTTGCGAAGTCGTGTCCGACCCATCGTGACCTTATGGACAACGTTCCTCCAGGCCTTCCTGTCCTCTACCACCTTCTGGAGTCCATTGAAGCTCACGCCTGCTGCTTCAGTGACTCCATCCAGCCACCTCATTCTCTGTCGTCCCCTTCTTCTCTTGCCCTCCATCTTTCCCAGCATTAGGTTCTTCTCCAGTGAGTCCTTCCTTCTCATTAGGTGGCCAAAGGACTTGAGTTTCAACTTCAGGATCCGGCCTTCTAAGGGGCAGTTGGGGTTGATCTCCTCCAGGGCTGACCGGTTGGATCGCCTTGCAGTCTAGGGGACTCGCAGGGGTCTTCTCCAGCACCAGAGTTCAAAGGCCTCCATTCTTTGGCGCTCAGCCTTTCTTAGGGTCCAACTTTCACAGCCATACATTGCAACTGGGAAAACCATGGCCTTGACTCTACGCACTTTTGTTGGTACGGTGATGCCTCTGCTTTTGAGTGTGCTGTCTAGATTTGCCATAGCTTTCCTCCCCAGGAGCAAGCGTCTTCTAATCTAACCCGTCTGCGGTGATCTTGGATTAAATTAAATTAAAAGGATGTCCTTTTAATTTAGAGGGTTTTTATATGGCACTGGACAGATCCCACATTACAAGTCTGGAAAATTATTTGCTACCTCCAGAGACACCAGCCACCGGACAGGTAGTTTGCTTCTCATTCTAGAATTTTCTTACGAAGTCTCTTAAGTGACTCTCAGACGTAAAGAGCCCTCTGGGTTCTCACACGGTTTCTTATTCCAGGCTGATCATTTTCTCCAGGTTGTATTTTGGAAGAAAACTGCAAGTCTGTGATTTAAGCTTCCTGACAGAGCCACCTGATTTGAATTTATTAGCTGCCCAACCCCAGTACCTATATACTGTAGAGACAGTCCTCGACTTACAACCGCTATTAAGCCCAACATTTCTGATACAGTTAAGTGAATTTTGCCCCCTTTTACAACCTTTCTTGCTGCGTTAAGCGAACCACTGCCCTTGTTAAGTTAGTCACACGGTCGTTAAGTGAGTCCGGCTTCCCCCATTGACTTGGCTTGTTAGAAGGTCACAAAATGCACGTGACTCCGTCATAAATATGAGTCAGTTGCCGAGCGTCTTGATGCTGTGACGGTCGTATGTCTGAAAAACGATCCTTTTTTCAGTGCCGCTGTACCTTTGAACGGTCACTAAATGAACTGTTGTAAGTCGAGGACTGCCTGCATTTCAGAGGTAGCTGTTTCTTTTGCAAACTGTCTCTCTTTTGTGGATGCATATTTTTTTTTCCTATTATCCCTTCCTTCTTCTGTGTCCGCACACTATTCAGAGCGGCTAGAAATGGTGGGAGAGAATGCCCCAAAATTAATGCATAAATGAAACAAAAGGAAAAAGGAAAAAATTACCCCCAAAAAAAGCAATTTTAGAAAACAAAACAAATCCTCCTCTTCATTTGAGATTTGGAAATAGCTGGAATTATTGCTAGAACCTGAATCAATCCAATATTCCATCCACCATTGCACTCTGCTGGACAGTTAGTGGCATCTCACATTTATATTTTATACCCTTTCACATCACATGCAGCCAAGAAATTAAAAGACGCTTGCTCCTGGGGAGGAAAGCTATGGCAAATCTAGACAGAATACTAAAAAGCAGAGACATCATCACCCTGCCAACAAAAGTACGTATAGTCCAGGCCATGGTTTTACCAGTTGCAATGTATGGCTGTGAAAGTTGGACCATAAGAAAGGCCAAGCGCCAAAGAATGGAGGCCTTTGAACTCTGGTGCTGGAGAAGACTCCTGCGAGTCCCCTGGACTGCAAGGCGCTCAAACTGGTCAGTCCTAGAAGAGATCAACCCCGACTGCTCTTTAGAAGGCCAGATCCTGAAGTTGAAACTCAAGTACTTTGGCCACCTAATGAGAAGGAAGGATTCACTGGAGAAGAGCATAATGCTGGGAAAGATTGAGGGCAATAGAAGAAGGGGACGACAGAGAATGAGATGGCTGGATGGAGTCACTGAAGCAGTAGGTGTGAATTTAAATGGACTCCAGAAGATGGTAGAGGACAGGAAGACCTGGAGGAACATTGTCCATGGGGTCGCGATGGGTCGGACACGACTTCGCAATTAACAACAACAAAGAGAAGAATGGGACGACAGAGAATAAGATGGCTGGATGGAGTCACTGAAACAGTAGATGTGAATTTAAATGGACTCCAGAAGATGATAGAGGACAGGAAGGCCTGGAGGAACATTGTCCATGGGGTCGCGATGGGTCGGACACGACTTCACAATTAACAACAACAACAGCATCAAAACATTTCAGAGAAAATGTAAGATACAAAATGACAATTTTAAAAACTTTAATTATAAAGGCAGACAAAGGACAGCAATAATACTGCCGTACAAAATTTACTATTTAGCTGACAATGACAGCTCCCACCCATCAATCAAAAGCCCTAAATTGTCCTGCCTTAGGTCATCGGAGATCAGCATCAACCCTTGGAACAGCCCAAAAAAATGACTGTGACCCAGGAACAGCGTCACACGTTCCTGTCTAAAGCAACTATTTATACAGGTAGTCCTCTACTTACGACCACAACTGAGCCCAAAATTTATGTTGCCAAGTAAGAAATTATTAAGTGAGCTTTGCCCCATTTTATGACTTTTCTTGCCACAGTTGTTAAGTGAATCCCTGCAGCTGTTAAATTAGTAACATGGCTGTTAAGTGAATCCGGCTGGAAACTAATCAAGGAGAGAAGCAACCAAGAACTAAGGAGAAACTTCCTGACAGTTAGAACAATTAACCAGTGGAACAACCCGCCTCCAGAAGCGGTGAATGCTCCAACACTGGAAGTTTTTAAGAAGAGACTGGACAGCCATTTGTCCGAAATGGTATAGGGTTTCCTGGCTGAGCAGGGGGTTGGACTAGATGACCTCCAAGGTCCCTTCCAACTTTATCATTATTACTATTATGGATCATCACACAGTCAGCCAGATGTTCAGACTGGATTTGGCATTTTGTCTACCTATCGAGTCCTTACCCAGGACCTGGGATAGGCAGATGTGGATGTTTGATGGTATTACAGGTATCGTCGCAGAATGGAAGCAGTTCTTAGTAAAGCCGCCTTTTGCAATTGACTAATAGCGAATTACAGAATAACAGAATTGAAATAGACCTTGTGCTCCTGTTGTATTATTATTATTATTATTATTATTATTATTATTATTATTACTATTATTATTATTGAAACATGGTTCTGAGGGACACCGGAATGGCCGAGTCAACCCAGCGGCTGTCCCAATACCACAGGTTTGCCATGTAAAGTAGAATCATCCCTGCAGTCTGTAAACCACGATTCATAGTACTATATTCTGAGAAACAAATGTGCAACTCTGGCAAGGTTTGTAGTGTGCCCCCCTCCTTAATGTGGACTAGATGGCCTCCAAGGTCTATTTCAATTCTGTTATTCTGTAATTCAGTTAATCCTGGGAACGGAAAACCAAAGAAGAGTAAATTGAATGGAATTCCCCCCAGTACAGAACGATATTGACATGCTGGTTCTATGTTAACATGCTTAACCTGGGTCTAAATTAAATACATTTGGGGATTGTGTACCACATATTGAATCATAAACTATATTATACCAATCAGCTGTCTTAGCAAATATTCAGATAGAGCAGGGGTGTCAAACTCAATTTCACTGAGGGCTGCATCAGTATTGCGGTTGCCCTCGGGGGCAGGTGGGTGTGGCCAGGGTGGGTGTGGCCTACTGGGTGGGCGTGGATGGAGTGGGTGTGGCCTACTGGGTGGGTGTGGCCAACTCTACATCGTTCGCGTCAAGGGGGCCTGTGGGGGCCTGGGCAGGAGTGGGAAGATCTGAGGGTCTCTGACAGAAGGGGGGGGGACCGGGGCAGAGCCCATCAAGCCGGGTTTTGTGAAGTAGGCGAGGGCCATTTGCTGGCCACTTCCAGGCGATGGTGCATTTCTTCATTCCTCACAAAGGGTGACCCCTCCCCAGCATGCACCCAGGGGTGGGGCCGACATGGCAGGGGCTGGTTCCTCGCTGTTTCTAGATGGCCTCGTAGAGCTAAGACTGAATGCGTTTCGGCATAGATGGCCACCACAAAATTGTACATTGGCTCCCGGCCAGCCTGGGCCAGGGCCAAAGCAACAGGGGGTGTTCCCTCACTGGTTCCAGGATGGTTTCGTGGGCCACATGAAACCACGTCGCAGGCCACATCCAGCCCCCGGGCCTTGTGTTTGACATGTCTGAGATAGAAAAACAAGCCCATCCTGTGAGCATTTTGGTGTTGGCTTAGCATGCTGCGTGAACTCAATTATAGCAATCATAAACCATGGTCTACAGCTTGAACATTATCTATAAATCCAGCCATTGCAGCTTCCTTAATAAACCATGATTTAAAAAAAATCACTAGATGTGAACTCAGCTGTTAAATTCTCATGTTCCTCTAGGCTTAAACTAAGTCCTATTTAACACGCTGGTGCAGTGTCTGCATTAATCACACGATCCATTTCGAGCTTATTGTCAGCCGTGCCGTCTGTTCCCCAAGTGACGTTGCCCGGATCCTCCTTGGGGTCAGTCCGGATTGCCTCAGCCTTCCCCAGGACGGACATCAGCTGCACCCAGAAGAAGGCCTGGCGACTGGGCTCCGGAGGCCACTCTAAGTAAGTCCGTTTGCTGAGCATCTTCCTCAGTCTACAAAATTTATTAGGCAGAGCTTGGGGGTCAATGGCTTCCTTGACCACCAGGACCACGTCCTCGAAGCTCAGCCCCACTGCCCGCTGGTGGGCAAAGTAAAGCTCGTAATTGCACCAGTCGCTGTCGACAAAGCTGCGCGAGAGAACAAAAATGATTTTGCGGCTGTTTTCAATGTTCTCGATGATGTTGTCAATGATCCACCGCCCGGGTGTGAAATCTCGCTCGTGAATGCAGATCCGGTACGGCGGGGTGGAGGCCTCCAGCCTCTGGAGCAGCTCCCGCCTGACCCAGTCTGCATCGGAGCAGCTGTACGAGATGAAGGCGTGGTAGGCGAAACCTCGTATCGGTGAGGAGTGGCGGGCCCGATACTTGGAACGCACAATTTGAGCGGTGGCCTTGAGGTACCAGGGGACATTGAACCACCAACACAAGACCATGATGACGGTCAGCACAACGGCTGTGATGGAGACAGCAATGGCCACCACCACCATGACGTTACATTGGGTCAGCCTCGGCGCATAAGCCATCACAGCCATATCCAGGAGGGGCTCGGGGTGATAACAGGTCCACCCGTTGGGCCAGTCCACAATCTTCAACTTGCCATTCTTCAAGGTCTCCTGAAGGAAGCCGTAGAGGTCACAGACGCAATGGTAAGGATTGTTCCCCGCTTTCAGCTGTGTGAGCTGAGGCATGTTCATAAAGGAACCTTTGCTGATGACACCAAAGGAGTTACCATCCACCGCCAAAACCCTGAGATTTGGACATCTCCATTCCGTCGGGATAAACTTGATCTTGTTCCCGCTCAGCCGCAGCTCCTGAAGGTCAACTGCAACCTCAAAATAGCTCATCTCCAGGCGCTCCAACTGAGAGTAGGACAAATCCAGGAACTGCAACGTGATGGGAAGGCACTTGAAGATCTCCATTGTGACGACATTGTAAGCCAAATCCAACCAGACGAGAGTGGGGCTCCAAACACACGGCAAATCCTTACAGATCCCGATTTGATTGTGGCTCAGATCTAGCTTAGATAGCCGGGGCCAGCTGGACGTCAGCTTGGAAATTATGCCCAGGTAGGTTAATCCGTTGTTGCTAAGATTGAACTGCTCCAGCCTGGGCATGATTCCTTGATAGAGACAGCCTTCATTGTAGATGTAGCCATCTAATAAGCGATTACTAGAAACATCCAGGGCCACCACGTTCCTCATTTGCCCCCAGGCATCGCAGGGCACAAAATTAAAGTTAACATTGAGGATACTAAGGTACGTAACTCCGGCAAACCAAGTAAATGTCCAGTCAAAACGCAAAATGTCAGGGTTGCTGATGTCCTTCAACAACAAATGGCGAAGAGTCAGGTTGGCGATGCCAGCTTCAGGAGGCTTCCACTTGGGAGAGCGGGCGAAATCGATCGCGATGAAGGAGAGGTCTCGCACCCGAGACTTCTGGACGTTTAAGAGGACCAAACGCAGCAGGTTCTCGTTGAATTTCCCCCTGTAGAAGACCAGCTTTTCCACTTCGACCTCGGGCAAGCTGGCAAACAGGTCCGTGGAATCGGTGTAGTAGGTGAACTCAAAGAGGTTACGGAAGCGGAGGTACTGGAGCTGCTTCCCCTTCAAGTCACCGAACATAAGGGGCAACGCCTCCGGGTTTCTATCCAGGGCAATGTCACACCAAAATTCGGTGGTGTTGAGCTTAGAGAAGGCCCCTTGTTGATACTCGGTCAAACCGGACGCGGTTTTCAGGAAGAACTTCTTCAACGGAAGGTCCTTCAAAGGAGCAAAGTCTTCACTGCCCACCTTGTAAATAACAGGGCCGCCCAGGGACAACTCTTCAAGGTTCTTCAGGGAGCTGAACACCCCATCCAGCCTTGAGAGAGGATAAAGATTGTTGGAGATGGACAAGGCGGTGAGCTTCTTCAACGGCGTCAACGCCCGAGAAGGGATCTCTCCCAGGGAGTTGTTGAAGAGACTCAGTTTCTCTAGAAGGACGTTGGATGCAAAGGAGTCGTTGGCGATAGAGAAGATGTGGTTGTAACCCAGATCTAGCTCTTTCAGCTGCGTCAAAGCAGAGAAGTCTGCAGAATCAATCTGTTCTATCTTATTGTAGGACAGGTCCAATTTCTCCAGAGTGCTGGGAAGGTCCTGAGGGACTTGGAGCAAGTTTTGGCCTCGGCAAGGAGCGACGGTGTTGGAGACAATCTGGCAAGGAGACGTCATGGCACGCTGGGCCCAACCCAGGAATACCAAGCACAGAACCAGGAAGAGGTCCGCCAGTGGGGAAGATCCCATGCCAGTTCTTCACATTTTCCAATACTTCTGTCCTAGGCAGAGAAGAAAAACAAAATGGAAGGCAGTCAATGTGGATTTTCCCCAGGGAGGGGAAAAAAAAAATCTTCCCCTCTATCTTTCTCTCACCATTATTACTACATTCAGTGGAAATAAAGAATTGGAATTAGAATAATAGAGTTGGAAGGGACCTTGTAGGTCATCTAGTCCAACCCCCCTCCAAGCAGGAGACCCTACACCAGGGGTAGGCCACCTTGGCTCTTTTATGACTGGTGGACTTCAACTCCCAGAATTCCTGAGCCAGCATGGCTCAGCTTGGAAACCTCTCCCTTTCCCCTCAGCATGGCTGGCTCATGAATTCTGGGAATTGAAGTCCATGAGTCACAAAAGAGCCAAGGATGCCTACCCCTAGGGCTAGGCCTGTATTTCTCAACCTTGGCCACTGGAGATGGGTGGACTTCAACTCCCAGAATTCCTGAGCCAGCCACGCTGAGGGGAAAGGGAGAGTTTCCAAGCTGAGCCATAGTGGCTCAGGAATTCTGGGAGTTGAAGTCCACGAGTCATAAAGCAGCCTAGGCCTAGGCCAGGCGTAGGCCACCTTGGCTCTTTTAGGACTGGTGGACTTCAACTCCCAGAATTCCTGAGCCAGCCATGCTGAGGGGAAAGGGAGAGGTTTCCAAGCTGAGCCAGGCTGGCTCAGGAATTCTGGGAGTTGAAATCCACGAGTCGTGAAGGGGCCAAAGTTCCTCCATGTTGGCTCAGGAATTCTGGGGGTTGAAGTCCACGAGTCATAAAAGAGCCAAGGTTGCCTACCCCTGGACTAGGAGGTGCACCACTTAGAACAGGAGAACTTAGGCCAGGGGTAGGCAACCTTGCCCCTTTTCTGACTCGTAGACTTCAACTCCCAGAATTCCTGAGCCAGCATGGCTCAGCTTGGAAACCTCCCTTTCCCCTCATCATGGCTGGCTCAGGAAGGAGGCTGATGCCTGCAGCAGCTGTTCTTCCCTGGCAAAGTTTACACCTGCTTGCTCGCAGTGAACGACAAAGCCAAGATTATGTTTACAGCAGGCGGGGCAAAATTTGTTCCCGGGTTCTGCGCAATCTTCCAGGCAATGAACAATGGGAGATAATTGAGCCTCCCCCCTGCCCCCTCCAGTTCCAGGAACTCCGAATCAATGGTGAGAAAACCTGTCAGATCTGCTATCTTTGGCTTGGCCCCTTACTGTGGAGGGAGGAAGAATCCAATTATATTTCATTTCTAGTTATCGACTATGGAAAACCCCATTTCTGCCCCCTCTGGATTCTGTCATACTACGAAGGGGAAGGGGGGTGAGCAAAGGGGTTTTATGGCTCTCACTTCCTTCGTTACAACTTCAAAGGGACTGAATGTGGATCTCACCAAGAGGACTGACCATAACAATATGGCCATCGCCTTTCATCTACTCCTCTCTGAAGTCTCCCTTCTGCCGGTCGAGAGGAAAAGGGGGTGGAAATGTAACGCCTGGGATTGTCACTGGAAGGACGGTGGGGTGGGGGCTGCTTGGGACCCCTTAAAACCTTGGATGGTAGGGGTTGGCCCCTCAGATCCTATCGAGAACGCCAGCAACCATCTTCTCTTAATAAAGATGCCTGTTGGAAGAGATATTCCAAGAGTTCTGTCTTCTTTACAGCCCTCTCTAAGCAGTTTATAGAATCAGCCTATTGCCCCCAACCCCATTATACTGATTTCAGAAGGCTGGAAGGCAGAGTTAGCCTCGATCCGGCGAGAATCGAACTGCTGGCAGTGGGCAGAATTAGAAATAGAAATTAGGCTTATATCCTGCTTCACAGTGCTTTACAGCCTCCTCTAAGTGGTTTCTAGAGTCAGCCTATTTGCCCCCAACCCCATTTTACCGACCTTGAAAGGATAGAAGGCTGAGACAATCTTGAGCCGGTCCGGATCGAACTGCTGGCAGTGGGCAGAATTAGCCTGCAATGCTGCATTCTAACCACTGCGCTACCACGGCTCCTCATGGGCGCTAAGCATGTATTGGGGTAGAGATGAGAAACAAGGAGGGGGGGGGAAATGACAGGCTGAGAAAGCAGCCCGTCCCAATCTTTGAGGCTGTGAAACTTGGGAATGGAATGCGAATTGCAACAGACATCCCAGCAGTTCCCAAAACACTTAAGACAGCACAGATAAACTGGTCAAGGGGTGGGGGGAGGTCAGGACGAAGGGAAAAAGTTTGTAAACTTTTGTGCGGGAACTTTAACCCTAGTTTTGCTTTTTGTTTGCAATTACTAATCCTTAGTAAAAGAACCTATCGCTTTAATCAAATGGAGTCGAGGGTCTTTCTTTCCTAGGGACCCAGCTGGGGCAGCAGGTCTGACACATCCTGGAAAGCATCTAGAGCACCACAGGTCCTTGGCAATGAAATCCCTGAAGTCTTGTTTTAGACTAGACTAGACTAGACTAGACTAGACTAGAATAGAATAGAATAGAATAGAATGGAATAACAGAACAGAACAGAACAGAATAGAATAGAATAGAATAGAATAGAATAGGATAGAATAACAGAACAGAATAGAACAGAATAGAATAGAATAGAGTAATAATAGAATAGAACAGAACAAAACAAAACAGAATAGAATAGAACAGAACAGAATAATAGAATAGAATAGAATAGAATAATAGAACAGAACAGAACAGAATAGAGTAATAATAGAAAAGAATAGAACAGAATAGAATAACAGAACAGAATAGAGTAACAATAGATGAGAACAGAATAGAATAGAAGAACAGAACAGAATAGAATAGAGCTGGAAGGGACCTTGGAGGTCTTCTAGTCCAGCCCCCTGCTCAAGCAGGAGAACCTATCACACCAAGTATTAGTACCGCTTTATAAAACCCTTTAGTGAGACCACATCTGGAAGAACTTCATCCAGTTTTTGTCACATTATTAAAAGATTTTTGAGACCTTGGAAAAAGTTCAGAGATCAAATCACCCGCAAAGGAGGTCCAGCTTTTCCCCAGATTCCCTCCCCTCCAATTTTATTAGCCTCTTAAATGCAACATTCCAAATGAAAGGTTAAGGCAGAGGCTCATGACCAACGAAGCCTAACTTTAATCACGAATGAGTGATCAAGAATACAGTGGATCTTATCATGACCATCAAACCACTGAGTTCCTCCTCCAACATTCTTGGCTTCAACAAACAATCGGGAACAAACAACAAAAAATGCCGCTGCTTGCCAAAATTTGCTTTCCTGGACTCTCAGTGCACCTGCAAAGGATCATCTGATCTGCACCCTCCACTTATGGAATCTAGTCTTTTAGGCAGAAAAGCTCCCCCCCTCAGAAAAAGGGACATGGGGCTAAGTGCCCCCCAGTCTGAAGAAAGAGAAGAAGCCTGCACCATGAAGGTGGAGTTAAAGAGTTTGCATTCACATAGCATATATAATAATAATAATAATAATAATAATAATAATAATAATAATAATAATAATAATAATAATAATAATAATAATAATAATAATAAAAAAAGTTGGAAGGGACCTTGGAGGTCATCATGTCCAACCCCCTGCTCAGGCAGGAAACCCTATACCATTTCTGACAAATGGCTGTCCAGTCTCTTCTTAAAAACTTCCAGTGTTGGAGCATTCACCGCTTCTGGAGGCAGGTTGTTCCACTGGTTAATTGTTTGCATTGTCAGGAAATTTCTCCTTAGTTTTAGGTTGCTTCTCTCCTTGTTTAGTTTCCATCCGTTGCTTCTTGTCCTGCCTTCCGGCGCTTTGGAGAATAGCTTGACTCCCTCTTCTTTGGGGCAGCCCCTGAGATACTGGAACACTGCTATCCTGTCCCCCCTCGTCCTTCTCTTCATTAAACTAGACATTCCCAATTCCAGCAACTGTTCCTTATATGTTTTAGCCTCCAGTCCCCTGATCATCTTTGTTGCTCTTCTTTCTAGAGTCTCAGCATCTTTTTTACATTGCGGTGACCAAAACTGGATGCAGTATTCCAAGTGTGGCCTTACCAAGGCCTTGTAAAGTGGTATTAACACTTTACTTATTTATTTACCCATGTGAGCTAATCCTAGTTTACACAATTAATTCAACGTTTTGAGACTGCCGGCAGGAGAGAACCAAAATTCTTCAAGGGGAAATAAAGCACGTCTGAGGTTTGTGAACTATCTTGCATTATTTTTTTTTAAAAAAATCATAATACAGGTAATCCCCGATTTACAACAGTTCACTTAGTGACCGTTCAGCACTGAAAAAAGCAACGTATGACCATTTTTCACACTTAACGACTGTTGCAGCCTCCCCCTGGTCACGTCATCAAAATTTGGACACTCGGCAACTGACTCGCATTTATGACGGCTGTTTGTGTCCAATGGTCAAGCAATCCCCTTTGGCGACCTTTTGACAAGCAAAGTCAATCGGACCGCCGGATTCACTTAACAACCGGGTTACTAACTTATCCACTGCAGCGATTCACCTAACAACGCTGCCAAGAAAGGTCATAAAATGAGGCAAAACTCACTTAACAAATCTCTCATTTAAATGTCTCCATTGTGGTCGTAAGTCAAGGACTCTCTGTAGAGTCTCACTTAAATGTCTCAATTGTTGTCGTAAGTCGAGGACTCTGTAGAGTCTCACTTAAATGTCTCAATTGTGGTCGTAAGTCGAGGACTCTCCGTAGAGTCTCACTTAAATGTCTCAATTGTGGTCGTAAGTCAAGGACTCTCTGTAGAGTCTCACTTAAATGTCTCAATTGTGGTTGTAAGTCGAGGACTCTCTGTAGAGTCTCACTTAAATGTCTCAATTGTGGTCGTAAGTCAAGGACTCTCTGTAGAGTTTGCACAAGCGGCTAAACTTCAAACCTGAGTTAGCAAACTGCAGTATATTCATATGGAACCACATCACACGATGGTCTCGTTCACACAATACATGAAGACAAGGATTGAGTTTAACAACCTGTTCAACCACAAGCAACTCAGCCATTTTACACCTTATTTTGGCATGTTGTGTGGACCCTGCCAGAAATGCTAGCAGG